AAGTTTTGCAGTTAAACTTTGTTAATATATTTATTTAGTTAAGACTTTTATTTGTCTTTTTCAATAAAACCATTACAATGCCTTCTTTGCTGAACTTATTTGAAGACTAAATGAAAAAACAAAATGATCAGAAAACATGAAATACTCATTAGTAATTGGTTTTTATTTGATGAAACCATCAGCAAGAGGTAAACAATCTAGATCTCTGAAAACCTTGATTTCTCAAAACTGAGAAAATGTAAATGAAATTGTCCGCACATACTGTCTAGTACTTATTAATCAGTCTTACTGAAAAGAGATTTCCTTACTTAATGAAGTAATCTCTTTTTCCTGCGCCACACATTCAGTGCATCCTCATAACTTATCTTACTCCCAGGAATCTTAACTCTTAGCAGGTGATTCGCAGAACATTTTCGTTTGGGTGCTGTCGTACTGGAGCTAGGGCCATAGTTGAAGCCATCGGGGTTTGAAACCTCGTGCGACCTGAGAGTGAGAGGTGCTAGCACTAGCAGTAACACTACTGTCAGTGTCACTACTACTCGTCAAGGAGCGCTGCTCTCAGAAGTTGGTACATTTTATTCCTCCGTCTCCTTTGAGACTTTTTCCTGAACGTTGGACGGACCCTTAGACGAAGCGGTTGAAGTACATAAACTAACAAATGTAGGCTGGTCTGGTGAGTTTTTAAAAATCTTTTTCGGTGGCATTTCTCTTTTCACTTCATCAAAGTGCTGCTTGAAAAAATCTCATGTGCTTTCAGAACGAAAAGCAAGGTTACTTCTAATTGGATAAACATGACCTATAAACTGATTGGCCAATAAGATATTAGCTTTTATTTCATTAGCATATCTATTGGGACGATGAGCTAATTGCTCTCGGCAAACTTCGGCGATTGTGTTCGATAGCTTTCGAATTCGTTCCTGAGACGTCTTCAGGTATGAGAGGAAAATAACGCTAATCAGTTGACGAATAGTTTATTGACGAGTAGACTCTTTTTAAAAACGCGAGGCATAACAAAATCACGCACATTTATGGCGCACAAACAGGGCTTTTTATACGCCCAGTTATGATTCTATGCACGTATGGCGCAATGGCGCGTTCCTTCCCAATCACTGCAATCACATTTTTCAATGTAAATCGAAGGCTAATGTTACTAATGAAAGTTTTCACTAACCCTGCGGCTCCACCAGACACTTCATAGCTTCCAGCAACTAAAGCCCAAATATCACTAGGACTTCTTCCCCTACTGATATCTGTTCCATTATCTGTTCTCAGCAGCAGATCATCCATTTTATCTCCATTGAAGTTCCCACATAGTCCACAAACTCTGTTTCTGTATTCAGCTGGTACACGAACAGCAGCACTGTTTCCATTGAATATCACTTCAAAACCACCATCAGTGGACACTCTCAATTGCTCTTTTGTCAAGAGCTGAATACTGACTTTATCATTAGCAACTACCCTGGGTAAGTTGATTTTCACTCCATCAACCTTTCAGAAAATTAAAATGGATCTCATATTAAATTTTATAATGAATTGTTCTTTATATATATATATAAAAAACGGTATTATGAAATTCTACAAAATTAAAGATAAATTTCAATATGATTCNTATAAAATTATATATATATATATATATATATATATATATATATATATATATATATATATATATATATATAAGGTGAATGATTGAATCTGAAACTGTAAAGATAGGAGTTTATTTCCATTTTTGACACTTTATTACACAATACACAATAACAGGTTTACCATCATTTTTATATAATCAACTAACAATATTGTTAAGATGCAGAAAATGTCAAAAGAACACCTTGACCTGCATATTATGAATATTCATCAGTTCTGTAAGTTTTAAGCCAAAAGGTAAAACAGTTTTTCACTTAGTGTGTTATCGGTGTTGCATATATGCTGAAAAAAATGAAAAAATAGCATAACTTCCATAAAAATGGCCAGATCATGGTGATTTTCGAACTTAACCTGTGTAATATAAATATTCATCAGTTCTGTAAGTTTCAAGCCAAAAGTGAAACGGTATTTTACTTATCGTGTTATCGGTGAAAGTGCACGGCGACGACGACGACAGCGACAACAGAGGCACGTGACGGCTATATGTACAGACACATCTGTTTTATATCTGTACATAAAAATCATGGTTGTTTGTTATGGGATAAAGCTTTTCTGGTATACTGAACAGTTTATTCACTGCACAAACTCAATTTAAATAATAAAATATACACTTCCAGTTGTACGGAGCAATCAAATGAAATGCACTTACCAGTATTAATCCTCTTTTCCCCAGTGTTAATGTATGATTATAAATGTTTACTTCTATGGCAAGTCCTAATGGTCCATTGTTCTGAAACACCGTAAACCTCATCTGTTCTGCTGTCAAGTTACCACATGTACCAGCCAGCAAGTATTTGCAAGTACCATTAAATTGGTAAGCTTCCTCATCAAAAGTCACAAAGTTGGTTAGACTTGAGATACACGAACCAGTTTCTACAAACAAGTGAAATCATTATGAAATAATCTACTCTTTATTTCAATCACTCATTCTAAATACATACTAATTAGGTCCATTTAACTTTTTTTAAATTTCCTAAAAGCAAAAAAAAAAGAATTGCTCGTTCAAATGGAACTTTACCAACATCAGTCTAGCAACCTAAAAAATAAAAGTAAGCACTTGATTTATCTGCTCTCACATGCAAAACTTAAACAGACTAAGTTTTATGTACCAGTGTTCATACTTCCTTATAATTTTGTGTCAACTCTTTTAAAGAAACATACCAATACAACTATAACCATCTCCTGTATAGGGTGGGGTACACTGACATCCTCGAATATCATTTAATAGTTTACACTCGGCATTTGGATGGCAGCTAGGGCGACTTGTTTCTTTGATAAATGCTGTCCTGTTTTCATTGACACATTCATAATGCTTCAAGCAATCCCCTGACAGCCAACTTGCTCCTAACTAAAATTAACCAATACCTTCATGTTAATATAAAACAGATAAATACTGATAAATTTGATGGTGATGTCAAGATATTATATGGTGTAAAATACAACAGTTGACAAAAAACATTCAATATTGAGTGAAATAAATTGCATACAATGTTTTTTACCTAGTATCAGACCATTATCGAATCAAAATGAAACATACTTCCCAAAAGACATGTAAACATGCTAATCTTTGCTGTAAGTAATACATTATTTAATCTTTCCACCCCTCCATTCCTTAAAAATTCCAATGATATTGACCAAACTGTGTGTAGCACCTCATAGTAATTTCCTTCAGCATCTGAACATCCACACTGGTCAGCAGCCACACAGGTGTCACCACTAAGTAAATAGCCCTCTTTGCATTCACAGTCTTCCACTGGGATTCCTTCACATTCATCAGGAGCATTGGGATTTTGACATGTAGCAGGACAGGCAGATGCAGTTGGGTTAAACTCCTGATTACTGCCACAACTCAGGGCTATAAACGGAACAAACATGCATTTGCCAATGACCAAGGTTTAATTTCAAAACACTTTCAATTATTCAAGGTAACAGATATTGTAAAACAAGAAAACTATTTTTAAAATTCTTCTAAATTGCCCCCATCATACATGACACAAATTTGATCTTCAAAATAAATTGAGAACTTGATGATGGCCAATACAAATTTGACCACCTTTTTCATTTTTTTAGAACAAGAAAATACAAGAAAGTACATACGGCAATTAGTAGCAGCTCTCCATGTCACAGCTTGATCTGCTGCAGCACACTGATCTGCCATATTTGACAGAGATTCACAAGCTGCTTCCTTGGCTGAAGATTCATCAACATAGATCAGCTCGTGACACACATCAAACCGGCAGTCAGCATATAACTGAGCAACATCCACAACACCACTTTCAACACAGGATGAGAAAACACTATCACTCTTGTTCATTGTACCACAGTGACCATCATTGTCTACTATGGCATTTTGACTACCTAGGCACTCAACCCAGTCATCAGGGCTGCCTGCCTGACACCTAGTTTCAAAAGGACAGAAGTCTTGATAACATGCAACAAATCAAAAAGATATTTCTGTCAAACATAACAATATTTTGTAATTTCCAGAAAAATGTGTTCAATGATGCAATGTCTAATTGGAAGGTGTAGAAAAAATTTAGATTCCAGTCCTTGCACAATCTTTGCAAAAATCAACAGTAGACCAGGTCAGACTTACCCAATTGTTGATGGATCTGGCACCAAATAGCTATTACCAATTTGTGCAAAGATGTCCCTCTTCCTACCACCACTAACATCTGTTCCATCTGCCAGACGAAGGTCATCTGTTTTATCTCCATTGCAGTTGCCACAAATACCACACATCTGGTTCATGTATTCAGCAGGTACCCTTACAGAAGCTTTTGTGTTGCCATCAAATATCACATTCAGTCCAAAGGTGGTCCTCACCCTCACACGTTTTTTGCTCAATCTTCTTATGCGTATCTTTCCTCCATCTATATTTAACACACGAGGGAGACTCTCCTTTTGGCCATCGACCTACAATCAGGATTATAATGTGCAATCACAGGTCAGAAAAAAGGGAAGTTTGGCATAGACAAACAATGTTTTATGGCGAGGATGAACTTTATTGATTTATGGGTCGTTGCAAACTTTCATTAGCTGAGGAAAGGGCATCAGGTATTACTAGGTTATCAACTATATCCTCATTTAAGTGAAGCAAGTCAGAAAAGATGACAAATTCAAAGATGAATTTAATACATTTAAAGAGAAAATTTATATTCAATAACTATGGAATGAACACTTACTAAAACCACTCTCCTCTTCTTTAGAGTGATCATATGATTGCCAACAGTCACTTCAATATTGCGTGTGAAAGAAACTTTCTTGCTTCGTCCACGGTGTTCTTGTTGGACAGTTACTCTAAAGTTGGTCAGATTTGAACCACTTGCAAGACAGCTCTTTGCTGCATCGTATCTACAAGTCCCTTGGAAGTTGATCTTCACTCCATCAAAGGTTTTGTAATGAGGGTCACCATAGATCCAGCAGGTTTTTGTAGCTATGAAAGAGAAGCAATATGGTTTTATCCCTCTTTTGAAGTGCATTACCTGAAAGGTCTCAATCATAAAAACAATCTCACATAAATATAGCCAACAGGTCATTATTCTATATAAACAGTCCCAAGTGCCCAAAATATTCACCTACCTCCACAACTATAACCATCTCCTCTGTAAGGCCATTTACAATAACATCCTCTTTTTCCATTTTTCAGCTTACATCTGGCATTTACATCACAACTGGGTAGGTGAGTTTCTCTAATGAAAGATGTACCATTTTCTCTGACACATTCATGCTTGGTGGTGCAACTGTTAGACACCCAAGATTGTCCAAGCTGAAATATCAAAAAGGCAAAATTCATCTTAACATTATTTAATCATAATTGTTTTCAGGATATTTAATGCATTATTTTTCTTTCTTTCACTGACTGGATACACACTAACAGAAAATAAATATTTTGGGATCTATTTATTCACAAAAATCATTTCATAAGTTTGATAAAAAATATCTAAAAATCCTGTAGATTACCTCCATTTCTGAGACATAATAGCCACTTTATTCAACTAGAACAATCTCTTATTTCAGAAAAATTTCTTGTGTAGAGCCAAATTTAGTGTTTCATTAAAACTGCAAAGAAATTAAAATTGACATTTTTGGTCTACAAACCTTATGATACCGTCCCTGTCCATCTGTACAGCCACACTGGTTTTCAGGTACACAGGTGTCACCACTCAATACATAGCCATCTTTACACCTGCAGTCCTCCACTGTGCCAGCCACTGTACATTTGTCTGCTGGAGTATTGCAGGTTGCAGGGCAGGCTGGGGCCATGGCGTCATACACCTCATCCTTACCACAAATCAGGGCTGAAAGTTCCAATTAATTTTAGAATATATACTCAAGGATGCTTTCAGAGTAGAAGTGATATATTTACTGTTTTTCATTAGGATTGAGTTTTGATGCATTTTGTATTGTATATATTTTGTGTATGTATTGTATATATGTATTGTATATGTTTTGAACATTATCACTATAGCAGTGGTGTACGTGGTAACGGATCTTTTTTATTGGGGGAATTGTGAATTTCACAGATGCTATGCTTTTTAAGTCATCAATTCTTAAAATTGCAACATTCCTGTAGTATGGGCAACAAAACTGAAAAGCAGGCTACCCACTGTATGGAAAATACTGTAAAAGAACCAAATCTAAATATAGACCAGTGTACTGTCAGATCAAATGTGAGTGTAAAATCAGCATGCAAATAATAAGCATGCTAATACTTACGACAATTGGCTGCATTTCTCCATTGTACGTAGAAGCCAACATCTGCACAACGTTTTGCAAAGCCCTCCAGGCGTTCACAGGCAGTCTCTTTGGGGAAGGAGTTAAACTGAAATGCTGCACAAACATCAAATTGACAGCTAAACTTTATTTCTTCAATATCCAAGTCGCCGCTTTTGATGCATTCCCGAAATACATTGTTTGTGTCATTGATCAGGCCACAGTATGTGTTCGTTGTCACTAGTGCTTTTTGAGAGTCAGAGCATTCTATCCAATCATCCTCTTCCCCTTTCTTGCACCTGTAAAATATTTATTATCAAAGAATAATAAGAAAAATTTGTCTCTATTGTTCTGATGTCATCATGCTTAAAATCATAACTGCAGCTAGTTTCTTAATATTGAAAATGTCACATTATTTTCATTGAATGGCAAAGAAAAAGTTTTGATTCTAAATGAGCAGCATTCTACTCAAAACATTAATAAAATAAAATATAATGAAAATGTGAATGTTCAGGAGGTGTTTATTCAAATGATATTCCAGTTTCTGTTGAATATTTTTGTCCCTAAATGATTAAGTGTGGTTATTAAATCTTAAACCAGTTAGTTATGCTTACGGCAGATACACTAAATAAATGAACATATTGAAGTCATAACCACAGTGACATAACTAGCACATGTGCCACAAATAACATTATGCCATTGTAACCGATTGGAATATCATTTGAATAAACACCACCTGAACGGACATATCCTATGAAACTCAGAGTTGAAGTTTAGACATGTCTTAGGTTTAATTTTTTTAAAATCACACACACACACACACACACACACATACACACACACACACACACAATGCTGACATACCCTGGGATACCAGCTCCTGGGATCTCATAGCTGTTACCAATTAGAGCATATGCCTCTTTCCTATCTCTGTTACTGACATCAGTTCCATTTGCCATAACGAGATCATCCGTTTTGTTTCCATTAAAGTTGCCACAGATACCACACATACGGTTTTGGTATTGTCTTGGCACCCGGACCTGCACTCTATTATTGCCATCATACTTCAGCTCCAAGCCAAAGTCAGTAGACAACCTTATAGTTTTTCGTTTAATGAAAATCATGGAAATGCTTCCATTTGCCAAAGATATTGGGAGTTCCACTCTTTCATCGTTGATCTGGAAATAGTGTTTCACAAAAGAAATGTAACATATTCTGGCAATAGACTACAGACATCTTAGCTTTAGTAATTTTTTATTCAATGTACATAATTGTTTGGTTAATTTCATTCCTAACTTTTTTCCATATCATTTCCATTTATTATATTGCCACCAAATTCAAAGACTTTTTATGGTGTTCCAATTTTACATTTCAATATTTAATAAAAGCAGTCCCTGATTCAATATGGGAATCTTTTGCAGATGTCAAACTGCACATCTATTTCTCAAATTACACAGTTATAGTTGCTGATGTTGTACTTACATAGACTTTTCTTCTTTTTTCTAAGCGGATAATATTCCCATAGACCTCAACACCAACTTTTCTCAACCAAGACACCTTCTTATTACCCTTACGGTGTTCATTTTCCACAGACACCAAGAATTCAGTGAGATTTGCTTGTGAGGCACCACAGCTTTGAGCCATAGTGTATTTACAGGTGCCTTGAAAGTGTATGATCCGTTTATCAAATGTTCTGTAATGTGGATCTCCATACCCAATGCATCTTCCAGTGCCTAAAGAATAAAGGACAAATAGATGTTTTCCTATTAAGATTAGAGCACAGAATTGGGCTTGATGGAAAATACAAAAATGCTTGACACTGTTCCTGTAGGAAAGGACTTCTAGTAGGATAAGCAAGTATCATGTCTTTACATACCTGGGGGTCTTGTAGGTGAAGTGGTAGGACTTAAAGTAGAGACCATAGTACTAGCAGCCGTAGATAAAGTAATGGGAGTATCAGCAGTGGTTGGTTTTGAGGTGACTTCCATAGTTGTACTGGCAGAGGTCATTTTTGCAGATGTACCAGCACTGGTTGCCTCTGTACTTGCAGTTGTTTCTGTTGTCCCTGAATCATTTAGTAAAGGGCTGTTCATTAGTGAGAGTAGGTGTGTAATCCTTATGCTTAGTCATATTCTAATAAAAATTCTAATTTTAAAATGTCTTTTGATTTGAAACAAATGTTATGGCTTTTTAGAAATCAATAAAAGACAAAATTTGAAATTGGCAGTTTTTCTCATTTTTATATCAAATATATGTTTTTTCTTATAAAGTTAAAAGCACAGAATTGAGTTTGAAGGAATATATGCAAATGTTGGACACTGCTTCTTTAGGAAAAGACCTCTATGAACACTGGTAAAAGGATAAGCAAGTATTTTCTCTTTTTATACCTGGAGGTCTTGTAGGTCCAGTAGTAGGACTAAAAGTAGACCCCTCAGTACTAGATAAAGTAATGGGAGTATCAGCAGTGGTTGGTTTTGGGGTGACTTCCATAGTTGTACTGACAGAGGTCATTTCTGCAGATGTCCCAGCACTGGTTGCCTCTGTGCTTACAGGTGCTTCTGTTATCCCTGAATCAATTAGTAAATTGCTGCTCATTTGTGTAATCCTTAGGTTTTGGAACTTGTTTTTTGAAAAAATAATAATAATAATTTCTTTCATCTTAAAGGAACTCTTAAAAACTTTTGAGAAATCAATAAAAAAATAATAATAATTTCTTTCATCTTAAAGGAACTCTTAAAACTTTTGAGAAATCAATCAAAGTTTGAGAAAATCTATGATGGCAGTATTTCTCAGAAAATACCTTGGGTTGTTAAAGATGTCATTTCTGCAGTTGTTGCTTCTACTGTTGTGGGCATACTTGTAGTTGTTTCTTCAGGTTGCAGGTCACAAAATACAGGTTTAGGATCTACAAATATTCCATCATATTAAAATTACAATCATGTATATTAACAACTGAAAGTAGCAGCTGATTTTAAAACTAATACCATTTTACTATCAAATAGCATGTAAATAGTAATGCAAACAGCACAATAAACTAGAAAGTTGCATTTCATGGTGAAACAGTAGGTTAAATGCCAAGTTGAAGACCCAATATATGCTTTTCTATTCAAGTTCAATATATAGTTACTATGGGTGTATCTCTGCTAGTTTTGGAGATATAAGGGCTAGAAAATTTGCAAACTGCACTTCATGGCAAAAAGTAGGTTGTAGGTCAAATTCAAGGTCACATTTAGATTCCCAATATATGATTTCCTATTCAAGTTCAATAGCAACTATGGATGTATCCTTCCTTGTTTTGGAGATACACTAAAACCATTAGTTCCACCAGGGCTCACAATGGTGGTACAAATTAATGCATGGAAAACAAAATAATAAGACAAGGTTCTTAATTTATAAAAAGAACTACATTAAAACTATCCAACCTTTTTTCTTAAATTAAGTGGTAGTTGATAAACACCCAAGATTGTGATGACCACAGTTTACCACAAAATACAATTTGGAGACTTGATTTAGAGTGCATTCATGCAGAACAGTGGTCTAACAGATCCATAGATCAAATATAGCCATTGGACTTGAATGCTTGTTGCGTAATCCCTGTGTGGAATCTATTCAGTGTCTAAATGAGAAATACCCAGCAAGTTTTTTTGTGGATTGTAATGTTTGATCTTCTTGAATCTGTTAATCCACTATTCTGAGTGCACTCTTATATTGGCTTTCGGGCCATTGCCCTTACCTGAGATAATATAGCCTGGCCTAGTGCACTGAAATCTTACTGAAGAACCAAGGCCAAAGTAGCTCCCATTGTATATCAAAGTCCCATATTCTGGTGTGCCTGGGTTTGGGCAGCCCTCAGCTGAAAACAAATTTACATGTAGTAAGAGTTGATTAAGTATCATAATCACATAAAAGCCAGGCAAGAGATGCCACAAAACGACAGAGAATCCAGCTGCAGATGAACTCCGCACGATCCAGAATACATTGGCAGAAATCAAAAATGAGATGATACGTAAATCTGACGTTATGGAATTTCTGTCACAGCTTAAGCTCGAAATAAAACAGGAACTAAAAGATTAATTTAAGAAAGAGTTGGAGCAAGATCTTAGGGCCAAGATAGCTGCTGAAACTGAAAAAGTTGACGCGTTGTGCCTAGAGACAGAATCACTGCGTGAAAAACTAACTAAACAGGCCTCTGAAATCAGAAAGTTAACCGAGAAGCTGGAGGAAAATAGCCGCCAGACAAGAGCTGTCATACAAATGGCGAACCATAATCAGCAATACTCACAAAAGAACAATATAAAATTTCTAAACTGGACAGAAAAACCCAAGGAAAACCTAAGGGCTGACCTCTGCAAGATTTTCAAGGAGAAGGTCAATGTAGATATTAACCCATCATCAATTTTAGCTATTCATCGGATCCCATTACCTTTAATGAAAAATGCATCCTTTTCAGCTATCCAACAAACCCAAACAGCCCAATTAATTTTGTTATTCTTTGTACGAAATTTTATATTTACAAAAGTTTCAAAAAGAAAGAATGTATCCGTCTTTCTTCACTCATAAATTACATAGAGGATCAATTTATAATATATAATAGAAAGATTTAATGCATTAAAAAAGCTAAATTTAACAAACTTTGAAAAAAAATGGGAAAATTGGTCAGACATGTTTGAATTTAATTAGCTTCAGCAAAATAATACATTGCACTTTTTTCTTGTTTAATAATCTATTGTAGTTTTGGTTGAATACATTGTGGTATCGATCTTTATTATTATTATTATTATTATTATTATTATTATTATTACACCTATTGTTCACGAGATTATAATCTTATATTCGTGTGTGTGAGAGAGAGTGTGTGTGTGTAAGAGGAGAGTGAGTCTGCATTTACCATATTTGGGTATATGTACATTCTTATACTGAAATTATTCAATAAAAAATAAAAAATGAATAAAAAAAATAAAATAAAATAAAATTGTTTTTTTCTGTTCACATCCGAAGGGTAATTTATGCCTCCTATGTTAATGTAAGTTAAGGATATCATTCAAAGTTCCTACCAGGATGTTCATCATTATTCCTAAAACATATACATTACTGTGAAATAAAGAACTTGTATTTGTAATATGATACGACAATTATCTGCACTTACGAAGACATTTAGCAGATGTAAAGTTCCATCGTCCATTAGCCAGACAGTAGGCCTCGGAAGCTCCTATCAATTTCAGTCCTGGACTGCAGGAAAAGTGAGCTACAGACCCAAAGGTAGTTCCAAGACTTGTGGAATATCCAGAGCTAACATTTGGTGGAGGGCCACAATCAACAACTGAAAGCATATATAATCTTATTATGTGTGCTGTTTCTCTCTACATGTATTACTGAACACCTCAAACATTTTTATTAAAAGAAGAACATTTTTCCTTTGAAATGCTTTAAACAACGATCTTTTGTTTTATGGATCAATAATATATGCAAAAATTTGGGAAGACATTAATATCATTAATTTAAACACTATAAAATACTAACTTTGACAATCTGGTGTTTGACCAGTCCAGTTGTAAAAAGTCTGGTTGTTCAATAATTCAAATTTAACACAAAGTCTTATGCGATTCCCAGTCAGCTTGTACCCTTCTTGGCAACTATAGTTTGCCTGGCTGCCAAAGTAGTCCTCATTTGACAGAGAGACCATTCCATTAGCAGGAGCCTTGATCATACCACAACGAACCCCTAAAAAATATAGTACATTGATCATTTCCAATTCAAAACTGTATCAAAATTACCATACCATTGTATACATAAAAGCCTTCTGTTTCACAAAGAAATTCGACACTGGCTTAATGTTAAGATATGATACAACCAAATATTAAGTAGAAGAAACAGAACTTTTTACCATAAAGTTCTTCAGTTTTAATGCAGACCAGCAGTGGACGCAAGCAGTATGAATATTCACTAGAAACTAAATTGGAACACTTACTAGAACACCTGCTAGTGTTGGAAGACCAGCTTCCATTGGACAAGCACTGAATGGTATCTGGTCCCTCAAGGAAGTATCCCGTCTTGCATGTGATCTGTACCTCTGCTGGGTAGTCATATGAACCATCAGAATTAATGGCGAAACTGCTAAATAATGCACTGCCTTCTCTAATGTTGACCAAAGGTGGACATCTCATTGCTGTGAGTGAACAAAAAAAATAATATAATATAATATAACATGACAAGGGCTTAAATCTAATTTATTAACCTCCCATAATGAACATGTAGTCATTATACAACAAGACATATACAACTGTTAAAATTGATAGCAATTTTTAAAATCCCCCTGATAGATATAAATGTGTGTGTGTGTGTGTGTGTGTGTGTGTGTGAACAAGCACACATTTCATATCAGAACTATATAAGTTTTTTGAAAGCAAGAATGATTGCAGAACTTCTAATTTTTTGACATAATTTGTACTCATCTCAATGTCAAACTATAAGTAACACTTACGTATACAAGATTTATCCACCATCCTTTCAACTGTGGCATTTCCCACCATGGCACTAGTCTCATTGCCAAGGTACAAGTTGTATCCTTCCATGCAGGAACAATAGTAACTACCATTGGTGTTATGACAGGATTGCTCACAGCCTCCATTGTTCACCAGACATTCATCCACATCTTTGAATAACAACAATAAAAGTAATTCACAATAACATTTTAAAAAGTTCACATAATCCAAAGTTTAGCAGTTAGCACATCTTTGAAAAACAACAATAAAAGTAATTCACAATAACATTTTAAAAAGTTCACATAGTCCAAAGTTTAGCAGATAGGAAGATTTTTAAAATTGACAGACTAAAAAGGAGAGAAAACTGTGAAAGATACAATTCACCCACTGTTTCAATCATACCTACTCAAAAGGGTAAAAAATCTAAATATTACATGACACCTTAAGTTTTTCAAGTCAACATAACAGTGGCTTTCCATGTTTCATTAACATTTTTACAAAATACCTACGAAAAGTTGAAGAACTTATTAATCGATAATCATATCAGAAAAATTAACAAAATTTTTAATACTTTTCTGACTACTTACCAATACAGTTGAAAATAGTCCCATTAGGACGTGCATACCCTGGCAAACAGGAGCAAGCGTATGATCCAGGAAGATTAACACACCTACTGACACTGGGGTCACAAACACCTTCCATAGCTGTGCACTCATCCAAGTCTAAAAGAAGTTCAAAACACTGTGGCAATTCGACATAATATTTTCAACACTTTGAAGATATGATGATGTTATCATCAAGCAAGTTTCAACATCAATAGGCATTATTTCCGACTGTGTATTGTATTTAAATATAGCTATTGACAGACGAAAACATGAATTATATTACAAACATATCCCAGCAGAATACAAATACTTAAAATTAAATGTCAAAATATCAGTGAATATCCGAAAAAATTTACACATTTTTGTGTAAATGAAAAAAAATCATCATATTTGTAACATGTAATACACACATCACAACAATATTGTTATAATGTAACAGCACTGATGAAACCCACCAAAAATATATATATACACTTTACCTGTACAGTTAGGCATGGGATCCCAGGTTCCATCGATATAACATGTTACACTGACATTCCGAAGCCCATTTTCAGCCACAAAGCCAGGTTCACACTGAGCTAACACAGTTTGATTCCTAACATAGGGTCCTGGGGTTATAATGCTTCCACTGGCAAATGGCAAAGGTGGTGCGCATGGTAATGCTAAAAATACAGTTAGAAATGATAAGGTGCAACTGAACAAAAACAAAAATGTGTTTTGTCTGAAAAACATTAAAATGTGTTTTGACCTAAAAATTCTTAACTAAATGTACATGCATGTTTGAAGTTAATATATAGTTACATCTATGTAAAAATCCAACTGGTCACAGAATATGTCACTCAAATTACCCAAATTGGCATGAGCAGTGTAAACTTGTTACCATTAAAAATCTTTGCTTGTTAAATTCTTTGGTTTGGTTACAACCACAGGTTTTATTTCCACCTTACTAAAATTTTTGTTTTTTTTTTGCCTTTTTTATTATTTTATTTAGCAGTGCTACTTCGATACTTTCAAATAACCTTGTTGTTTTGATACTACTAAAAACAAATTACCTTCAATTTTTGGAATATTAATAAAGTATCCTTCAGCAGAACACATAGCAATTGGCGCACCAACCACTCTATATCCCTCATCAGCCGCAATGATAATCACTATCCCAAACTTGTATTCTGGCTTGGTATTGACAATTCTACCATTCTTGATCACAGGCTCTGGGCAGGAAGATACTGTCAGATGAAGGGAGAAAATAAGAAAATAATACACATTATAAATCATTAGAGCAAAAATGATTATTAAACCTAAGATTTAACATTTAGGAAATACTTGTTCTTAGCCCCTGTTAATATTTTTATTACTAGTAAAAGTATACAAATATTATGTAAAACAGAATCCAAACAACTATATTTCACCATGGATTTTTTTCAAATTTTTCGATTATAATTTTATAATTTCATTTTACTTCTGCTGGTACCCTTTTGGTTTCTTTTGACACAGAATAAAAATCAATCAGCAAACATAAATTATGATATAAATCAAAAAATCTTTTAAAAACTACCCCTTACATTTACAAGTTGGTGCAGGTTCCCAGCCATTTTCAGTGCACTTAATGGTGGCCATCCCCTCCATAGCATTTCCAGTATTACAGATATAAGTGACATTGGATCCATACAATGGTTTCCCATTGATGTACTGTGCATCAAAGACCCTGCCACGGTCTATGCCTGGTGCAGATCCACAACTGATTTCTAATACAAAATAAATAAACAAGCTTGAAAAATATACACCAGAAATTACATTTAAATAAAGTCAACTATTGAAAACTCATTTTACATTGTCTTATATCTTTATCAATTAAAATTCAAATAATAAACTATTGAGGAAAATATTAAGTATTTTATTAGGAATACAGTATGCAGTCTCCTACTCAAAATTAACCATCACAAATTTTGCAACTATCTGACAGTCAAATGCCTTTAAAATAAAAATCAGCAAGAAGTCTGAACCTTATAGAACTGGTGCCAGAAATAACTCATTTGCAGAATAGAATACTGACAGGAGAAGAAGGTTAAATTTACAACTTAAAATATCACTCAGCTGTGCTGCAGATAAAAACAGCACCTTTACGAGGGAGTGGTTCACCCATGCTCACCTGTGCATTCTGGAGGCGGGTTACTCCACTCTCCTCCACTAAGACAGGTTCTGGTCGTTGGTCCAGTGAGGTTATAACCAGCCATACATGAATAGGTGATCACACTACAGTAGTGTGGAGAATCACTACTGATCATGCTGTTATTTGGTAATGGGTACAAACTTGGGCAATCTTAAAAAAAGATAACACATAGACTTGTGACCCAAGTGAACTACTAAAATTTCAAATATACTGACATTTCTAGCTGAACTTTCAAGAAATATCTTATCAGTAAAGCCTCTACAGATACTTATATTTGTACATAATCCTGACTGTAAATTATGTGGAAATCATAAAATGGTTGCATTCTGATTAAAATGTACTATTCTTCACTTACCAATTGAAAATGAAGCATTGAAGCCTCTGTAGTCATTAAAATCACTGTCAGTTTTGAATGTCATGTAGAAGATTCCATTTTGAGACCTCAGGGGTGGTGGAAGGATGCCCCCAGAAAAATTACCAAATGGAAATCTACCATCTGTGCTGTTGTAAACCTATAAAATTATTTTACAAGATATAAATATATGACAGTGAAATATGAATGATATTATTCATAATAATTATTGACAAGTCAGTGAGCAATTTTTGATGTTACACTTAGAAAAATATCTTATAAGGTTGAAGGTTTTTTGAATATGCATACCCATCTCTTTTCTAAGTGGCTGAAGAGGCTGAAAAGCTTATTACACTTTAAAATGTAATCAACTACCTACACAAATAAATTCAAAATTACCTGCAATAATTATTTTGTTTTCTTATCTAAAAGTACCTAATTTTCTTCCATGGCAAAGGAAAGAGGAGTAGCATTATTTTTACAGGGAGAAATTAAGAACAATATCTTACTGTCACAACATCATAATCTAGCTCTGTATCTAGCACACTAAAACACATGGTAAGAGGTGTTTCATCTGGGTTCCTGATTCTCCATGTGCAATCTAGCAGCGATGGGTAGCTAGTTGTACCATAATCTGGTGACTCCACTATTCCACTGCTTGCCTCTATTTCAGCCGAACAACCTAAGAAAGTTAATAAAGTATAAGAATTTTTTAATAAATGACATCAAATCATATATTTGAAAAAAATAACTGCTTTTATGTCTCCTCATTAAGTATAAGAATTTTTTAATAAATAACATCTGAGCACATTTTTGAAAAAATAACTACTTTTTATCATTACCAATCTATACATTCAGCTAAATTGTTTTATTTCAAAGATGAATATAAACAATCAACAATATATCACACTTATACACATTTTTAAATGGGTATTGTATTGCACAATCATCTTACTACATACCAGCCCTGTAGGAAGCATTAAACCCTTTCCCACTGCCATACGCATCAGAGAAGAAGGTCACAAGCAGATGACTGGAACTAGACACCAATGGCTTGGGAAGAGCACTTCCTACAAATTTGCCCACAAGAGATGAGTCTCTTGTTTTTCCATCCAAAACTTGCACTGAATCCCCAGAAGTCAGGTTGAAATCTTTGAACTGAAGTGATTACATGTCTATTATAATGACAAAAATTATGATTTTCTTACTGCACATTTTCTCACATTTCTTTTGAACTCTGTATAATGGCACTAACAACTGAGTTTATATAAAAAAAAAGATGTATGCATGTTCTCTACTTAAATTTTACAGTAAACATTCTTCTTTGTTCAATATTTTTTTTATATAAACTGTACATAACTAAAAACTTACCTCAAGAGTCAGTGTCTCTGCAGGGAATAAGGAAGATATATTGTACAGACAGTCCATGCCAACAGGATAACCATCTGGATACTCTGGGGATGTAAAGTACTGCCACTCCCTAGTAGCCACTAAGTCCTGGTCACAGTTCGGAGCAGGGACTGCAGTGTGAAGCAAAAATCTTTAATTTGCATAAAAGGATATATTTCATGTGTAACTTTTTATACTTTTTAATACAATCCTGGATTTCGCTTGCTACAAAGTGCAATTGTATCTGCTGCACTAGATTAAAAGATGCAAAAATATTAGATTTTAAGAACTTTGAAAGGGCATGTATATATTGTGCACCCTCTCGATCTCTATTTGCAATAGTACAGGGATGACAAAAAATTTAAAACTGATTCTAGTTCCCTCAGTTATTTATAGTGTGAGTGCTTGCGTGCATGTGTGTGTGAGCAGTATATAGATGGTTGTTGGAACAGAGACAGAAACCTTTCACTGTCCATACCTTCACGGCAGGAACAAACATTATCTACCTGCTTTCCATGAACATGCAAATCCTGGGCGCACTGCCTCCTCATCTGATGTGAACTTCAGAGTTACAATATTACTGGCAATCTCTACTGAATTTCTTGATACATTTTTGCCACTGAGCTTAGTGTGAAGGTTGATATCACTTGAGGGATTGCCACTGTGAATGAACAGGAAGTCATAATTGTCCTCAGTGTCAAATGCAAGGATCTGAAATTGAATCCAAAGAAATCAGAGAATCATACACAATTTTTATACTGTATCAACATCAAGAAATACATGTACATCGTGTAGAAATATAGAGTTGCATTTGAGTATGCACTTCTAGAGTGGGTACAACATCCACCTTTATACTCCATTACATTTATCTTTCCATATCAAATATTGTAAAAAGACACCCTGTCGCTCTTTTTATGTAAGACTTAAACATATAGTATTACATGCAGTCTTGATTTCCTAAACAATAGGTTGATCCAAATAAACACATCTCTTACATCAATCTGTATTCTGTATCCAACCTCCACTTCTATCACCCACTCACAGCTGGCAGAGTTTGGGTATGTGTCACCAGATTCAGGGAAGCTGATATTTCCAGAAGTTCCTTTCTCATAGCCACCGCACGACACTAAAAATTGCAAAATCTTTTGACATAATGTAAAAATACACACACCTAAGTGCTTAATACTAGCCTTCGGTTTCTCAGATTTTTGTAGCATGGCTAACTAATTGTTCACTTAAGACATTAACTGTCATGAAAAATAGTCTTTGATGAACCTGATAGAGAAAGGCAGAAATAAAGTCATTTCAAGCAATATCTTTAAAACTCCTTTTTCATATTCTTTTTAAATCTTTTGTCTCAAATTGCCATTTAGAAAACTTTATAATCAAAGCTTACATTCTTAGTGCTGTCATTCTTGGATGTAAATTAAAGCTAATGAGGTTGAGTATTTTGCAGATTGAAGACAATTTATTTTACTACCTGTACAGTTCAATTCATCAGCCCCTGAACTGCACTGCTGAATGCCATCACACACTTGTTTTGCAGGAATACATCCAGTGCCATTGCAGTGAAATTCTCCTGGCTGGCATGCTGCCGTCTCACAGACAAAATAATTCAGTTCAATGCAGCTAACAAAGCCATACTACAAATAAAAAGAAACATACCATCAAGACAAATGCTTCTTTCTTTGTCCTTTTTTTCTTAATTAATTTATTTTTTATTAATTCTCTCTCTCTCTCTCTCTCTCTCTCTCTTTTGATTTGCCAACATTTAGCTATGTGAAAACATTATCTATTGGGCAAATTAATGGTTTCACCTCAGCAGGTGTCCCTGGTTCACTCTGCACTAAGGCATCAGTACAATACTTCAGGGGCTCATCTGTGGCTTCATCCACCTGGACATCTGCAGAAAATATCATAAAAATATGAATAAGCTCAAGTTTCAGCTAAGCATTAAAAACATAAACTTTATCATAATATTAGAAAAGAAATCAAACATTCCATGTCAAGCAGTTTTAACTAACATTTTAAACGTGGTTATGGTGGAATTCCCTTATTCACTTTGCAGTTGGTTTGAATAAAGAGGACACAACAGAGATCATGATGTTTATTCTTCAAAGGCCCTGCACCCAATCAAGAGACAAAAGGAAGGGGCACTGGTTACAATGGGTAATGTAACTTAGGACAATTGCCTAACTTACCTGCGGGATCTAAAGGTTGCCCAGCCCTCCATGACACCTTGTCTGTACATGTGTCAGCCCCAGTGTCCGCATCTGCACACAAAGACCAATCTGGAAAAGGAAATAACCATGAAAAATATAATGTAAAAACAAGTAAGATTGCACTTAGATAAATAAAGGATACACACCTAATCAAGCGGCATAGCTAGCCAATATTCTCTCTCTCTCTCTCTCTCTCTCTCTCTCTCTCTCTCTCTCTCTCCTTTACTCTCTATTTCCTTTAAATATCTGAACTGACTCTTCGAAGTTTAAAATTGCCCTTTAGGCCTCCAATAAATAAAACATATGAAAGGAAAAACATAAAAAAAAACTAATCAAATGTCACAGACAAAAACACACATTTTCACTTCAATTATACTATTGGTTTTACTGAAAAGTTGGCATTTACCAATCCAATATGAAACTGGTGCAGAGTCATTGATGGTATTCTTTACTAAGACATCTAGTTGCACAGTAGTACTTTGGTCATCCAACACACCAAGGAGAACACTGCCATAGCTTTAAAAAATTTAAAACAAGCCTTTTAATTTCCAGTAACCACAAATGTATAATAATATTTTTTTCTTAAAAGTACTGCTCCACATGGGTCTCAGCACTGTGTAAGATAAAAAAATTAATAAAGAATAAATATCACAAGCAGAATTCAGAAGAAAAAGTTGGTAACTATATAAACTGAATAAGAAAACTTTGTAAGTCAATTTATAAAAATTATAAATTTTCAATTATTCTTAGATACTGGATCCACATGCTGTTATATGAATAATATATATCAATCTATATTTTTTCTCAATTTTGCTGTAAGTTAATATAAAAAGTTGGTATACCTTGTTCTTGTTTAGGACAAAAAAACTAGAGTTGCAATGAGAGATGGCTAAACAGATAAAATCCAAAAACTTCCTGGTCATCATACAAAGGACCATTTACATTTTCAAAAGGCAATCTGCAGCTGGAAACTACATCTTATCTATGTTATATACTATGTTATGTATTTTTGAAAATAAAACAATACCATGGTAACAAACAACACACTTACTTATTATTCAAAAAAGTTAACAAATGTGCATCAGATATTGACAATTTATGTGTTACGTAAAGAAAAAAAAGCATTCCACCCAACCTAAACCAGTCTTCATTGTCAAAGCAAACAATGTGAAACCTCCTACTAGTATATGAAAACCATTAAAAGAGCAGAGTATAATCTACTGGTAACTTCATACTGGTTTTCTATTTTTGACTGCAATAAAAAATTGCCTCCAATGTTTAAATTTTGTTAAAAAACAGAGCATAACAACTTTGAGCCTGATTTTCTTTTCATAAAAGCAAAAATATCATGTTTCCCATCACCGAACTTTTGAAAGAACACAGTTGGCACACATTCAATCAAAGGGCTAAATACCCTGGTACATTTTTTTAGGTAATCTTTACAAGATTTTTTCACCAAAATACTTATATTTAATGTTAAATTCTTTTAATTTAATGGCTAGCCAGTCATTTGGAGCAACATATGCCTTCCCGATACTCAAAATACTCGAACTAAGCACTGTTTTCACTTCAAGGCACAAAAAAATGAAGCACTGTTTTGTATCATGGTCTTATATCATGGGATTCATATATAACACAATTTTATTTTATACCTCACTTGCAGTTGCAAGATGGCATTGCTACCACCTTGGACTGAGAAAGGAAGCAGTGAAAAAAGCTATGCTTCAGATAAACTTTTATCTAAGGAACTTTATCATTTTTAAGGTCTGATTTGGGAAAATTTAAGAAGCTTTGCAGGATAAAAATATGGACACTGTCTAATGCACATGGGATACCTTTAATTTGATGGATGCATTTTCAACTAAGCACTTATAAAAACTATAAGAATGCCAAATTTCTATTTATATCCTTGTAATTGAGAAAATTATAATAACCAGTTATATATAGAAACTTCACTGTCTGTTTTTATTTTTTTATCAGAAATACCCAGTCCTTATCCTGTCTGAAAAAAGTCAATAATCAATCCAAAATTCACATATTACATGTTTATAAGCTTGTCTTACCTCTGGCAAGTTTCTTTTGCTGTGTTCTCTGTTACTTTGCTGCTAAACACTTTAAAACACTTCTCTCGTATAAAAACAAAACCTGCAAGAATATTAAGCAGTCAATACATAACAGGAGCAAATATGCAATACTTATTTTCTGAAGGGGCAGCTAACTAGTGTATTAAAAGCACTCCAAACACCACTCACTAATCACATATACACCCCATTTAGAATAAATATATGTCACAGACTATGTTTGTACAAGTCTTTTTCTGGCATGATTAATTAAACTTATCCTGTTTACATTGTTTTTAAGTATTATGTACAGCCAGATTATGATGTAATAATTCAAGCTTCATGGAATAACAAAGAATCTGAGACAGGGCTTTGCAAAGGATTGGAGGTACAGGCTGTCCAAAATTACCACCACAAAAATTTAAGGGTGTCAAAGTATACCTAAAGCCATCATATTTCCAAAAAAATCCATAAGCTGTCCAGCCGTCTTCAAAATATACTGTAGGCTGTCCAGTGATGCTGAAGACTGTCCAAATGACGGCTGGACAGTTCACTGGGGAAAACCCTAGATCTGAGAACTTTAATTTCTTAAAGCATCTCACATAAAAAATAAAAAATAAAAAAAATAAATTTTAGCTAAAATAATTGCTCACCATCTGGACACTGCCATTGTGCACTGTAGGATTCTGGCAGTGTATATCCCTGCAACTTAAACAGCAATGGATCTTGTCCTGGGGGTGTCTGTGCAGTTTCCTGAGAAGCCTATAAGGAAAAATAGTGGAATCACTAATAAAATCAATTAGTTACAAAACCCATTAATCACATTTATTTTATGTACTTCATGGTTTTTTAATTAAAGTGAAACAGAAAAAATACTTCTTCTAAAAATATATATCTCAGGCCTATAGCCAGCAATTTCAAAGGATTTTCTTTTTATTCTAAAAGGCGGACATTTTGGTCCCTTTAGTTAACCTAACTTGAGAGTTGGCACAGAACCTACATCAAAATTTAATTCAGAGTGCACATTGGAAAAAAGCTTTTAAGCAACATCTCTTTATAATAGTAAAAGATGGTATTCTAATTGATGACTTAAAGCAATAATAACTCTTCCTTTGAGATTCAAAATTCCGCAAGAAATATATTCTATTGCATTTTACCACTAAAACGGCTGTTGTTGTAGTAGAACTAAAATCTGTGCTTGTCAATAGGGCTTTCGATGCCTTTCTTCCCGGTCATCAAGGCATCTGTTGCCAATGACATTAGAGTGTCATGCGGATTCTCGCGTTCATTCGAGACCAAAATAACATGGCGCCAAATGCGTTGATGCAATCTGCAGACGTAAGTTGCGAGTTTTTTTATAGTGCATCGGATAAGGAAAAGCCCAGAATTGCACACATTGTAGATATTAATGCATTTTGAGCAATAAGACGAATATATCTTATGAATCTCATATTATTGTTATATAGTGTTGACGTTGTCTGCTTTTCCCACGGTTTTAAGTAGGTCACCAGAAAATATCGCTCGATATCGCGTGACTATGCAATGTCAGAGAGGGCTCCGTCAGTTAAAATCTCTTAAGAGATTTTAACAAAAAACCAAACATTTAGGAAAAAAACCTGGACTAACTTGGAATGCAGGAATGGGGTCGTTGACCATTGGTTAGTACGGGAAAATTGCCGTTTAATCCAGGAAAATCCAATTTTTGGCCAAAACGAAGAGTTATTCTGACTTTAACTTGACTTTAATATTGACTCTTAACTTTTATTATTTTTTAACGGTCTTATATTTCATTTTTATAACCTGCGACAGCATTATAATTTCCATTTTATATGTATTTTACTATACACTCACGCACTTAAGCATATATGCATGCACAAACACACAACCAATGGCTGAATAAGCTTTTTTTTTTCCTTCTATAAGAGTGGTTCTTAAGAAACACCTGAACCCATCCTGTCTACGCAGGCCTCATCTCTCTCCTGAAAATATTTATTCTTTGTACATGCAAAAGCAGGGGGTGAGGGAGGGGCCAGATAAACATACAACAAATAAGTTTAATGTTGCACATCCCCAACCTATATTATATTACCTAAATTAGTTTCTCTGAAACAGTGAGACCATCTGACTACTGAACACGTAATCAATACTACAATGTAGGGTGGCAGGCCGGCAACGTACGTTGTCTTCAAAATGCAGACCTTTCTCTTTGTCTCACTCTAGATTTTCATCAGTGTTTTGTAACAAGAGTCTAGGATCCATAAAAGGAATATCGCATAAACAGTGGAAGTCTAAAAGCCATTAATAACACTTTGTTCCTGAATGTAAACAGGCAGTACAGCGATTTACCAAGCAAATTTTTCAGCTCTGACGGTCAGCTCCTGCTGATAAAATTCCATGATCTTGTAACATTAAGTTTCTGAAAATTTGCTAATTGTCTAAGAACAAGATACTCAAATCACCCGTGTTTACCTTTGACTTATGTTACAAATCCACATGGACGGTCTGGGTGGAATGTAACCTACAAATGTCCCGGGAAGCCTCGCTTTCATTTCGAAACTAGGTCATTATTCTCAAACATGATTGGATGAAGAATGACTGAAAGCAATGCATGTTAAATTTCGATTCCATTACGGGTATTATTTTAAACACAATAGTAAGGGGTGGATAAAGGAATTCCTTGAGGGAGGGCGGTACAATTCAACACGTGGACGGAAATATTCGAATTTAGCATTAAATAAACCAGGGAATTATATCGGATATCCGATATAATTCCCTGAATAAATATATCTCAAAATCGAACGCAGATGCAGCTTACATGTATAAAACCCATAGGCCCCTACATGTCGAAATTAAACAAAATCTTTTTCGCTACCAATTTTGTGTTGAAAAAGGTGACAGTAACCCTAACCAACCTTTTGAAAAACATTTGAATCGTATATTTATCTGTGTTGAGTAAAAGATTCCTATGTTGGACACCCTAGTCGACTGTATAACAACTGTATTCAATTGTTAAAACTATAACAAGAATAACCTTGACATAAAATTCTAACAAAAGGAGGTATATTTCATGTATTTTACTTTTCTTGGTAATTTTAATCATCAAAAAGCGCCAAGCGCAGCGTAGACTTCCAAAGCAGAGGTAAGTTTACGACTACGATTTTATCAATGCAAGCAAGAAAATAGGCCTACTCGTCTATAAACACCTTCAATGCTCACGATTTACCGTTGCAAGGTATAAGCATAGGCAACTCAAAGCTTTAATCGTCAATTTAATACATTTCTCTTTTGAGGTGAGATAGCAATAGGTATGGGGCATAACTTCATTCCTGAACAAAATTTTATCACAAAAATTGGCGGGGTTGACCACGAGTGTATTGACTACAATCCCGTGCCGTCATTGTGGTTATATTTTGTTTTTGTTATGGAGTTATGAGCCCCTATTTACAAATTTTCGTTAAACAAAGGCAATTTTTTGCTTTAACAACGATAAAATCTGAACTAAGACTTTAAGAAAAATCGCTGGCAGGGTTTTGGAGTACTAAATGGTTTTGGAGTATTAAATCGGCGTTGGAACAGTGATCGTGGGTGCTCAGGTAAAAGAGAAATTTGAGAAACCGTTTTTCAGTTTTTACCTCAACATCGCAATTATGACGTTACCCGTAAGCTGACACATGTGTAAATGTTGATTACTTTAGTCACTGAACACTGACGATTTATCTATTATCCAAAACAATGTATGTAAGACAGTAAATCGGGAGTTTTGGGCGAAAGGTGACAAAATGTGAATTTATTTTGGGTACAAAAGCACTCCATAGCGATTTGCAACCTCCTCCATGTGCGCATTACCAATATAGGCCTATTTCATCGAATTACAAGATTTTTTAAAACAATGAGCTAGATGTTACAGGCTTATCAAATGTTTCAAATGACCTCGAATCCGAGCTACCCGATACGACCATTTACGGAATAGTGCTTTTATTGCATGCAGATGATACTGTTCTCCTTGACGACTCAAAAGAAAATTTGTAATATCAACCTGATTGCTTCTCAACCTACTGTCAACCTGTGAAAATTGGAAAACAACTCGCTTGGTAGCTTAGACGATCTTAGAGGAGAGATAATAGGCAAAGATTCGCCTAGTTCATTAGGACGATCAACTACTATTAGTCTAATTACCTTAGGTAGACGCAGGTTAATTAGACAACTGACATTTGTGTCACGGGATGCCACTGCATGCAAGCTCCAAGCAAGTTTACCAAAGAGATGAATAGAACTCTATTCATCTCTTTGATTTTAAAAATGTAATAGCTAGGGTAGGGCTTCTCTCCTACGTGAGATAACAATCGCAATTGGTCACTCCCATTTAGGAGATCTGTCAGATAGCAACCGGATGTGATGCCGACGACCAGTACCTGAATGAGTCACACAGAGTAGCGAACCCTAACGAAGAATTTGAGAAATAAACATACCCGACTTTTATCGAGGGGTTCGATTTATGCCTACTAAAACGTGTACTTTATATTTTAAAAATTCAGTCAGGGAAGGAGTTCGACCGAACTCTCTGACCCTCCTAAATCTGCCACTCATAACAAGGTAATCAATTTTTAAAATACTGCGTACTAAGAATCGATGCGATAATATTTCACAATAAAAGAAACTTCCTGAATTAAAATCCCTTTCATTTGGTCCAACAGCTTTTTGAAACAAAAACTTGCATCAAAATTTTTCATACATACAATTTACATGCACGTACACACAAAAAAATGCCTAAATCATATACTAGTATAACACGCAGAGGGCTTTGGTTTTGAAGAGTGGGTAATATTTGTTGTGTGATTTATGGCAAATTTAAACATAATGTCATATGTAATTCTTCTCCCTTTTGTGATATTATTACTTATCTTGACTTTTAAAAACTTCTTACTCCTGTTCCTATATATAATTCTTCCTACTCCTACTCGCTAACCTACCCTGTTATATGATATCCTACAAGTAGCTTCGTCTCATTGTCGGCATCGTGCATGGTTTTCGAACTCGAGGCAGTACCGAATGCGCTACCGACGAGGACATGTGGAAGATGGCATGGTTTGGTATAGGCCTATTTGCCTGAACTCTTAAGCTTCAGTCTTTAATATTTAAAACACATGTAATATAAAGACAAAAAGATAAAAAACTAGAGATCAGCAGCTCCTCCGTCGGTATTTTAATTACCTGGGTATCTTTGTTTCAAATTGAGACGGGAAGGATGCAAATTATACACATAGGATGCGTTCATATTTAAACTACCGTACTTTGAACTCCACAGGGACTCTCGCTGAATGCAATCCGATTAAAATATTTTAACTCCCATGACTCCCTGACGTTGAGCAGAATATAGTGATTATACGAGTACATAAGAAACGAGTAGGCGTACTAATCTGGTAATCTGATTGCATTCAGAGAGAGTCCCCGCTGAGTTCGAACTACCTAGTGCGAAAGTTTCATTGTGAACGGACCCTTAAACCTTTGAACCGGAGAGGAAAATGTGTAATGAATTTTTAGAGCAATGGACATTTGAATTAATTAATTGTTGGGTAAAAGTGACATTTTCAATGAGGGATAAAAACTATAGACAACAATGATGGGTCCAAGAATGGGAAATCCTAAACTCCCATGGTTCAAGGGAGAACGGACCTTTTAATAAAAGACTGTTGTAGGCCCCCTATTTGGTGTTTGGTTTGCGACACGTCTTAAACATTATAATGCCATGCACGATATTAAAAAAAGAATTTTTCCATACAATCTAATATATATATTTATGTTCACTGGTACAGTTGTATCAGAGCAGGAAAATAGGGTTACCAAAATGCAATGACTCCAAATCCATAGGCTATTACATTTTCTTAATGACACGAGGATGAACTTCTGTGTAAGGTATAAAAGGCAATACTCACTTTTGTGTGAGAATTCTCTGGTTGCTGCGTAACTTTTGTTGGAAAATATCAAACAACACATGCTTATATCATTTTACGTAACGCTCGTTGATGCTTTAGTGAATATGATTTATTAGGATACCTGTATCTTGTTCTAAAAGCCTATAGGGTGGATTAAACTGCTGCGTTTTTATATCTGTTACTTACCTGACAAATACATTATAAATACCCGAAATTAAGAAAGAGGAAAAGGGGTGACGGTTTACAATATTCATCAAGAAAACAAGACGTTTGACATAAACTAAGATAAATGAGGAAAGTGAAATTGCAAAGAAATAGAGAAAAGTGGTTTAGTATAAACAAGTTTAAGTAAAACACAAAATGAAATATAATATAATACGCGTAAACAGGGTGAAAAACACATAAATATGGGCCCTGTAGGTAAATGCCAAACAAAGGGAAGCTAGAAAAAGGAGTGGGAAAATACAGTAAAGGGATAGTATGTATGTTGTAGGCGATAAACCCAGCAGGTGGAGACAGGCACGGAAACGATAAACGTGTGGGAGCCAATGTAGGAGGCGTTGAAAGAGTTATAACTCCACATTTCTATTTCAAGACAAAAGTTTAAACTGTATACCTTGAAAAGTTTCATCTAGTTTGTTGGTGTGAACATGATGCGGGAGAAAGCTATTTAAATCAGAGCACGGAGGCAAATGTTTACTGTCGTATGTTTGAGAAATCATTTGTAACGAGTTTCACTTGATGGCTTCTTATAACATAGTGATTTGGTGATTGGTGAATGAAAGTTCTCGAAGAGTGTTGGTAATTAAAAGCATTAAATCATCTAACAATACAAAAAAATGCAAAATTACGCCTTTTTATGCCATTTCATTTTTCCATTGACGAGTACTTTCAAGAGCAAAGACATTGCATCTCAACCGTATTCCCTCGCAAGAACTGATCCACGTTACATAAAGCATATGCTTATATGCACCCACGTCACGTAGGAAGGAAAACAATATATTTAAGTAAAAATGTTTCAAGCCTTTCGCAAATAATTCTGATTGTGCTGTACGGACAAACCAGCACACTGGAATAATCCTTAAGTCAGCCACGCCTATGTTCTCAATAACGGGACAACCTGCCACTTTCAACGAAAATAATAGAGTTTTATACCTGTATAGGTTTCAGATAAAAAGGAATTTGCTTGAGATGTTTTTATTGACGAATTATTACATCTAACATAACATCTATTTTGCAATTGATCAGGACAAACGGGCCACTTCACAGACATAAACAGGTCTTCTTTTAAATTTGCTCCAACTGAATGCAATTGTGTTAACGGAATTGGGATAGCATGTTTGCTGCAATTTGCGTATACACAAACGGATAATGGTTTGATCAAATGTTCTCCTTTATATTTTCTACAAACGTCATACTGTCTGACAGTGTCAAGAGTATCTGCTGCTATAGGTCTTACTACTTCATTGACGCACAGATTTCTCTCGTTTGCAAGCAATGGGTAATGTCTGTGTGTGGCGGTGGGGGGGGGGGGGGGTAGGTAGGGAGTGTGCCAGAGGTATTGCTCTTTCCCGTATGTTCCAATAAGACCGTAATCCCGTCTCTCGTCATACATAGTAAGCCTCTACCCTCTACCAGGGCGACAGATTGATTTTTCACAGATATTCACAGATAGGTCTCCAGATAAATAGACAGTCAATTTGGTCTGATGTCGAGCAAAAAATGTCCACAATGATAACTGAGACCCTGGTAGAGGGTAATAAGCCTCCGTGCATGACCTCGACTTTCTTTAATAGAACGATGTTTAAATGGTGTAAACAAGCCTATTTAAAGGTGTTTTATACCGCGTTTAATCACCTAAATGAATTTTCCTTGAAAAAAAAGCAATTTTTTCCACATGTACTCACGAATCATTGCTTGACCCGGCTATGCAGTTAGATTGTAGAGTATGTAGGGATAGAAAATACCTTAAAGTAATGTAAAAGTTATCCATCAATAAAGTGTCTTATTTTGATACCAATAATTCGACCTATACATTTAATCAGTAAAAATATATAGCTTGAAAATCAATAGTGAGGTGCTATTGCGAATGGAAATTGATCACGCAAAGTGGGCCACCCCCCCGATGCGGGACCATGTTTACTTTTGCATAGGTAATGAATTGCACCACGTAAGCTTTCTAAAAAGCAAATAGCTTTAGTCTACAGACTGACCGAGAAGTAAACCCCGCTACTGTAAGGCCTACCTGTAGTAAATATAACGATATAGGAAACAGCTTTACCCCAGGTATAGGCCTACTATATTGTTTTGCATTTTTTTCCTATTGTGAAAGCTTTCGCTATATCTTAAATGCTGAAACATAACAATGAGCCTTTTTTCGTAGTAGGTCGAACTAATGCTTTCTTTCAAGCTTGTTGCAATGTACATGGTAGAATGTGATATACGGGATCATAAGAAGCGTTGAGGTACAAGTAACATAAACCGTCACACTTAATTAACTAACTACTTTGTGACCCCCTCTCTCTTTCACTCTCTCTCTCTGTTTCTCGTGTGTGTGTGTGTGTCTGTGTGTGTGTGTGTGTGTGTGTGTGCGTGTGTGTGTGTGTACTTTTTTGTTAACAATACTCACCACTAAACTGCTTGTCAGCAAAATGATAATGGCCCAGAAACCGCTCTTCATAGTTTGCGCTAATTCCTTAATCTTAGTTTATCATCCATTTAAAGTGGAAAGAACAGTCGCCCTTTCGATGACGCACTGTCGCAGAGTTGAAAATACAACTCTTGCTGAAAACAGCGCCGAAGTGAACTGAATCCCCGAATTGAGTAGGAATCAGCCCAGCTTCGTATCCTTTATCCTACTGATCCACCTATAACCCTTCTCTTGGTGACAAATCAAAAGGCGTCGCTGCTGAATTGGTTGTCATCCTAAGGTCAACCGGGGGTCCAAGTTGAAAAACGCCTCCGCCTAAAGAGCAAACCCGGTTGTGCTATACCCTCTTAACACAGTGTATTTGTAGTACTCTTTAATATGTAGACTTACTACTCTTGGGATTACCACACTATTTTAAAATGTTTTTGACTGGAAAGTTTGTCTAATGGGTTTGCAAACAGCGGGTAAGCAAACAGAGGACTTGAACGAGATAAATCCCAGATCGAAAAATTCGATCTGTTTTTTGTTGAAAAAAAAGTTGAGCCACGCCCAAGAAATGTAAACATCGACAGAAGCCAGTCAGGTACAAGGCTCGCACAAAACTAACCTAACATGCATTTGATGTTATTTCACCTGGCTCTTATGACAAAAAAATCTGATGACATTTCCCAAGATTCACCAGAAATGTAACTTATTGTGATCCCCAAGTTAACACAATCAGACTTTTTTGAAACCATTACTAGACTTTTTTTGTAATAAATCTACATTTTTCTTTGTGGTTAAGGTTGTTGATTGTTTTGAAAGGAACATAAATACTAAAGGAGTCCTACTTTTTACAACAATGGGTACCTTTTTACGCTTGGAGTCACAGTAAAGGCGCATAGGAACCGCGTATTACATACAAACGTCAATGTTACGAACCACTGTATTAGCGTTAAGGGATTGTGCGTGATAGAATTTATTGTCTCTCATATGTGTGCTATACATGAAACAAAATTCAGCTATGCGTTATACGTTTTAACAAATATAATTTACACTGGTTTCTCCTCCTTAAATCGGCACTGGCATGAAATATTTGTACAAAGAACAAACGACGTTTTTCCTTTAATTTTCCTACCTGCACTTTTTTTTTATGCGACAGAGACATATCGATATTTGATATTTTCATATGACAAAGGGTCGCATTCTACCAACACACTATGCCAGGGCACTGGGTTTTCTGCGAACCCCGTGTAGTTTTTATTTCTTTTGTAAATGACGCTGAAGCATTTCTAATCTTTTAAAGGAATGGGGAAAAGATGTGTACTTAAAGCGGCCCCATAGAAAAAATGTCGCTATTCACTTCTTTCCACTTTGGGATAACACGACACGATTTAAGGTAAATAGGTATCGGTGCAAACAACAATATATATATAGCTTCTTACATTTATTTCAATGGCGATATTCCAGTGTCACAAAATTACAGATGTAAATTAGGATAATAGTTATATACATGGTACTGCTGTGTCGCAGCTCAACAATTAGGCCTATAAGAATATTCAAATTTATACACGTTTGTTGTTTATGATACTAACACTGCCATAAATGCACTATTAAGAAAAATAGAAACTTATAAGACCATGCTCAACTGTAATATTAAGGATACTTTCTTAAAAAATTGGATAAAAAGATTACATCAGTTTATTACACGCCTGATCCAGGGCGTACTCTGCTTTAACATTTTTAATTCATATGGCGTATACATTGGACCTGTAAGAGGCAACCATAAATAGTAATAGACTAATAATAAAGTGTAAAACACTTGTTGAGTCTATAAAATAAGTTTATGTTGCCTAATTCCTTTATTATTTTATAGAAAATATAAAATATCTGTACAAAAAACAAATTCACAACCATGAAAGAGGTCTAGTCTAGGCAGTATGACATTACACTTTAAACAAGCAAGCATCAATATCAGCACTCTCAAATCTCTTGAGATTTTCCACACTTACGAATCTGTCAAAAAGCAGTGATAGTCCTCAAGTTTTGAAGTTGTCTGATACCTATACTTAATGAATTTGACCCTTACTCAGTATCTGTTGCACTATTCCAACATGTAATAGCTGTCTACATTATATCTGTAGAGAAAGGAAACATCTAAAAGTCATTATGGATGCTGAACCATAGATAGCCAACTTGTCTTATGTTGGACCACTGCTTTAATTAAATAATATCATCATTGCAAATAGATCAATTATTCTTTATCCATTTATTTATTAATTTATTGTGTGGACCTTCTCTTACACTTATCATGTTCTCTTGCAGCACATTTATTTTAATTTGCTAAAACACAATTCAAGTGAAAATATTAATGTTAACATCCATTCTTACACATCAATATATACAAGTGCCATATTTATTACTAGATATAAAAACATCTTATTTACAAAAATTAATCTTTGAATAAAATCAAATTCATACAGCAGATGCTTTTAGAGATATAAAAGATACCTATTATCTATATTAAACTAATATGATATGAAAACTTCATTTGAGGAACCTAAAGTGCCAATGCCAAGCTTTTTCCATATACATTTACAAATCAGTTCATACAAACCTTAATTTTTGTGCAAATATTTTGATCCTTTTTTAAGAGGTTTTGCTTTTCACTATTGGACCACCACTTAACATAATACTACTAAAAAGTAAAAACATTTTTTAAAAGTTGGTAGCACTGTTCATGTTTCATTGGAAAAAAATTTAGCACAATATATTTGTCAAATTCTAGTAAAAGTGTAAGCTCTTATACATATCAAAAGCTAAAAGGATTGGTATAAAAGTATTTTATAGAAATCTGGCGTTTCCTTCAGTTTCTGCACTTGGCAAACCCAGAATCAATCAAGTTTTGTGTAAAATTTAAACCCATGTAGCATTTGACAGAATAGTACTTGGTACCATAAAACTGCATAAAAGTACACTGAACAGAATGTTTATGACTTCAAATCTTCTAGAATTAAAATTGCATCAGACAGAGGTACTCCATTTTATAAAGAAGCAATGGATAAAATTACAAGATGTTTATTGATTAAGACAATTAAAACAAACAAGGGTGCAGCACTGATTTTTTAAAAAATGTACAAAATGTTTTGTTTTAATTACAGACACCAATAAGAATTTGCCCCTGTGTGCATTTCTTTATAAGTAAACATATTCTATATTACTCTGTAAGTAAGGGCATGTTGAAAGAACTGACAGGGTTTATAATACAAAATTATTACCTCTTACTTTAGGTTTAATAATATGTATAAGGCAGACCACAAGTCAGCAAGGTAAATGTGATAAACACAAGTGTGAAGCACATATGGATATCACATGCACCTTGATGAGAAACTGGTGTATGTATCCGACTTACACTATGGGAGATGTTGTAACTCGAGTGATGTGTGTATATGCCAGATATGACAGGTTCGGATCATTATTTTCAACATTTTTGTTTTCTTGTCTTTTGTTCTTGACATCTGCTATGGTAAAATCTTCATTAATAATCATTCATTTTTACATCCTTACTAAAAACCAATGTAGCTATGGCTCTATGGATTGCTTTTTCATGAGCTCAAGATATAAGCAACACCATGTGGTGCAAATAATATAATTATTACAAGTGAAGGAGGAGCCCAGTGAGCATCACAAGGATGGTGGTTATACAAGAGGCATATATCCAAGCTGTACTGGAGACAGCGCCTCTTAGCAAATCTGCTGGATCATCTATTAGTACTTTATCTATGATATGAATTACGCCATTTGTAGTCTCTATGTCTGGTTCAATAACACGTGCTTCTGCACCCTTGAAAAGGACTTTAATTTCTGGAAAATTAGAGTGTAAATGAACAACATTATTCAAATATTTAAGAAAATATTTGTTTCTATTAGCCAAAAACAGTTGTCAGGCTGCTGGATAATAAATTATATATAAATAATATTATAATAAATTCTATTCAGCCAAAAGCCAACATTTCAAATAATCAGCTCATCTTTCCTATAGATATATTTTTATAAAGAAGACCCATCCAAGATTTGAATATAGCTTGAAATAATCTAATCTAAAGATTTTCTGTTTGAATTCTTTATTTCGTACTTACCACAGGAAGTAAGTGAGGTACATTGTCCAAGTTTTTTGACAGTGATTTTCCCAATGTCACTTGAACCCAAAACAGTGTTTAATTCAACATTGACACCAGTCTGCAGTTGTGAGCTGTCGCTGTATATCACCTGTCCCTTCACCATGTGCCTTTGAAGAACCTGTGAGATTTAAATAGTCATACATCCTATAATATCCATATTTCACAATAAATGCATTGTAAACAATTCATAGAAATATAATAAATTCTATTTTACCACTAAAACGGCAGTTAATGCAATTATTCTGGAATTTGTGCTTGCCATCAAATCACGTGACCTCCACAGCTTACTTTACTCTGTAATAATCTCTTAAGATAATATTACAAAAAACAAACTTTTAAGAAAAAAAAAACAGGGACTAATTTTGAATGTTGGAATGGATTCATTAATCATTAGTAAGTGTGGGAAAATTGTCGGTTACCCCAGGAAAATTCAATTTTTGGCCAAAATGAACAGTTGTTATCCCTTTAACTTTCAGAAATAAATAAAAAGTATAGCTTAAGTTTCTGAGCAAAGAGAGAGAGAGAAAGAGTCAAAGTTGAACTTACCCAAACTAGGTTTTGTCTATAGTTTATTTTGTCAATAAGACTTTTTCCTGTGCCTTGGTTGTACAGTGTTTCCCAGGCTATATTACTTGGTACAAACATAGTGTATTTACTGGTCCGTTCACTTAAATCTGTGAGTAAGTCTGTGTGAGTTTGAGCTGTGATAAGGACAGAGTTCATATACCTAAAAAAATAATTACATAAATAGGAAACTTAAAAACAAAAAACATGAAATTTGATATTTGATTAACTTAAAGACAGTTTCTGTAACAAACACTATGACTTTAAAGTTTTAAAATGATTTTAATTTTATCAAAATAATAGAATTTGAAATCATACAGTGGGGTTTATTAGTCATGGTAAATTAATTTCCGTTGGAAAAGTGCAAATTTTGCAAATAATATGACCAACTGTTTTAAATACCGTTTTTGATTTATGAATTAGTTGAAGATCAGATTATTTCCTTAAACATTTTTGCACCAGTAATTTGCCTCTTTGCCTTTACACAATTTAGGAGATTTATTCTTAAAAGATTGCTCAATTTAAGAAGAGGCAATATATTCTTTGAAAAAAAAGATTTTGTCCTAATTTTGCACAAATAGCAGTGTACCTACCCAAGAGCATCATTACTATCTAGTTCTTGTTTCAGATTTTTAGTAGCAATCCCCATGACATTGTCTATGTAATGAATGATACCATTGGTGACACCAACATCAGGTTCAATGATTTTTGCCTTGATGCGCTCTCCAATGACAAAGGTGCCTGGAAAAACAATGATAATGTTAAAAATTGACAAGATGTTCCTGAGATAGGTTGCAAAATAAGATAAACAGATAGATTAAAAAAACAATCTTAGTAATAATTTGTAGATGAATGGTAATAAGATTTGTGTGGTTACTCTTATTTATCCCAATCCATGGAATGTGTGGAAGTTTGGGCCATGCCAATATATCAGCACAGCAAAAGACCCAGAATCAGGACTCAATGTTCTTGCAAAAAGGATAAAGCTTTGGGATATACCCTGATCAATTTATATTCAAATGGTTAACTGTATCCCCCCCCCCCCCCTACCTTTAACTTTGTAATAAATTGCTGACAGAGATCTATTGGTGTAAGGATATTTTTGTATTACATAGGGTTCTCTCATTATAAGAATGAAAGCCATTGATGCTTGCAGGGATGCACCAATAGCTAACCAAACAGATGATCATTATGTCATTTTTATTGAATATCAAAAATTGTCTTAAGTAATGATATGGCATGTTGAATTATAATGTTTTTTTTCTATTTAAAATTAATCTTCTATATATTTTAACCTAAAATCTCAAGCAATAATCCCATTATGATTAACTTTTTAAGACACAAAACATGTTGTACTTAATATGGACATATCATTTTTAGGTAGTTTATTAAAAGATAGATGGACCAATTTTTCTCTTTATTTTTCTCCTTTACCCTGGTCATGGACTACACTGATTATTTGTTCTGTCAATTTGTAGTGCTGAAATTCCATATCATGTTTGGATTTTGGGTGTAGTCAATGATACTGACTATTATTCTTGAATGATTATCCTGAATAAAGTTCACATATGGAATGCCCCTTTTCAGTCTGTATTAAAGCACATGTATGAAACATCATACTATTGTTTGCACTTAAGACTCATATATCATTTTATTCTGACACTTATCAAATTGAATGTAGTTCAGTGACAGGCATATTGTCACAAACAGAGCTAATCTTTTTTACTACACTGTACTGGGCAAGCTATTTACATTTTTGTAACACAACAAGGGGCTATAGCTTACCACATTGGCTGAATGGTCATTCATATTGTTATGTCTTCGGTTTATTTTTTTTTTTAAGTTCAATAAAGACACCCAAAACTTGTTTACAATGCTTCCCCAATATGTTCCTGACAACCCTTGAAAATAATATGCATATCTCAGACTTCAGTGTCTCCTATGGTGACAGACAAGGAGAACTACTATCTCCAAACACACACACACACATATATATCTCCTCATCTGACATATATCTGCTTTCCTGCAGGCAGTGTGAAATAGTTTGTCATTGGGGACAATAGAAATGCCACAGTTCCCAAGGACACAGTCTATAGCCATTTTACAATACTGATACAAATCATACCTGTGGGGTTTTTCACCTGTTTTAGAGGGTCTTATTATGACTATTCACACACAAAACAGCAGCAATATTTTTTACATAATGTATAAAGCTGTGCATGATATACAGGGGCAGGTCCAGAGATATTTTCTGACAGTCTTCCAAATTTTCTTTGTTAATCCATTCTCCATTTTTGACCATCTTCCAACAGAGAAAATTGGATGTCCCTCAATGAAAACTTGAAAAATTCTGACCATCTTCCAGAAGATTTCATCCGTCTGACCCTGTTATGGATGTCACAATATTATATGTGAGTGACATTACATTACCTTTAGCTACTGTTATTTGCTCTCACCATGCAGGCGGCGCTCAGTGCAGCTGATCTTTTTTAAGCATTTATCAAATAACTAAAAGCAACTCTACATATAAATATTGCATCATTTACACCATTAAATGGTGGAATCGTACATGTCAAAAACTGAATGATTTCACCATCTCATATTAAAATGAACCAGTTAGAGGAAAAGATAAATATATCACAAATAAAGACATGACAAGCAGAATAACTCACAAAACTTGTCCCTACAATTAAGAATTGATACATTTAGTGCATATACAATATGATCCAACCAGCATTTAAAATAAATAATACTGAATGTCATCTGACACTGAATATGCTGACACTACACCCTCCATCTATTCGAAAATCACTGAATGTAGCTCTTGACTTGTCTGAATTTAGAAATCCAGTATTATCTTGCAAAGAATAATTAATTCACATACAGATAATTGAGCAGAGAAACTAAATGCCATTCAATCTTAATAAAATGATGACTTATGGCCATTTTCCCAAAAAGTAATCATTGCCCTTCAAACTTTTATCCAAACATTCACTGCTTATCCCATGCACTCAGAAAACTTTTAGAACCCGTTTTGAAATTCTAATTTCTATTATTACCACTGTGAGTGAAATTCACCCATCTTCCTCTCTATGAAGAGAATGCCTTAAGTAGTGAAAAAAGTGTTGAGATTCCCAAGACTTTTTTTTTTTTGATAGATATTATTCTTAGGGTGCAATCAAAACAAATTGAACCACACACCAACTGAAAGCAATGCTGCATAGTCCCCTATTGACTTTCTGCCTCCCACACAACTACCCCTGCAGAGGCACAGCAATTAAATCTGGGCTCCACTTCGATCAGGGCACAATTCGTCTTATGCTGATGTTTGCCCTATTCCCTATGCCTGTTCCTTACACCTATAAACTTCTGGCTGGCACTGGACATTTTCATTTAAACTGCTTTTTTTAATAACATGTTTATAAAACCTGTCTATGACAAAAAGGCTTAATTAAGCTGTACTCATGCTAGACCTTATCATAACAGTGATAGGTCAATGGATTATAAAATTAATCATTTAACAGACATTTTATGGCTAAATATTTTCATACCATCTAATTTTCGGCTCTACTCAAGAGCCTTCCTCAGGACAAAATGGTCATGTGCTGATGTTCTAAAGCTGAGTTGTAAACTGTCCGTGGAATGATTAATTTAACAATCCATGTATAACTACCAGACTAATGAGCTTTTTAAAGAGTGATAGGTCAATGGAAAAGTTGACTATTGAGTTTAAACTGTATGACTTACCATTGTTGCCTTTGACGAACCGCAATTTCTTTGAATTCACAGAATTCAATACTGTAGTATTTGTCAAATCCTTAAAGGCCACCTGTTGTCTAACAATGTGCAATTTTAGAATCTGAAAAGAATTAAACAATAATACCAGTTTTACACAAGTACAGTGCACAAAAACAATAGTTTTTATCATTGCAATGTAACCACTATACAAAATCTAGGGATAGGCACGCACACTAAACTTCACCAACAAGGAGAGATAATTTACTCTAAGATATTGAATTATTTAGCCAATAAATTTAAATAAAATATACAATATCGGGAATAAGTTGCCCTGTAAAAGTGTTGTTGTGTTAAAAACTTAAAATGTAGTAAAGGCTGGCTGACCAAACTGGAAATTACTTGTTACTTTTACAATTTATTGTTTTTCATAAGCACTACACTCCTACACTAGTCTAGTATGCACAGATATAAGACTGACTATAAACAAGACTAAATGGCATTTGGTTTAAAACTGTTAGGAAATCTCAGGTGAAAAAATGAAATTACTACAAAGATACAAAAAAAAACGTACAAATAAATATTTTAAACAATAACTTTTACTAAAAGTGTGTAATTTCACCATTAATTCATTGACAAAAACAATTCAAATATTTTGATGGGAATTGATGGGGTAGGCCTAACTTGTCTCACATCTGGGATTGTGTTATAGTGAACAGTTATCAATAAACTGTTACTTTAGTTTATACCACAGCTGGTGCCTCAAACAAAAGAACAATTGCACTTGTATTTGGCATAAAGATTGCATGTATTTTCGTATGCTTTGGTGTGTTCATCTTAGTGTTTGAAGCGCCAGCCATGGTATAAGTCAGTTACAACTAATTGTGGTCAACTGTATGTGACATATAAGAGCAAATTATATTTTGGCTCAACATAATTATGCATTTGTATGTCACATACAGTGGATGACTTGTGTTGTAACTAGTATATAACTGATGAAATCCCAAATGTGGGACAAAAGCTATCAAAGGTACACTTTCATTTATAGTGTAGAAATAGAACAATTGTTACATTTCATCATTTTGAATTCTAATATTCTTTCTAAATACCAATAAAATATCAGTTATAACCACCAAAGACTTACAATGTCCAGAAGAGTGACATTGGCCTTGAGGTTAACAGCTGTATCAACCAACTGAAAAGCAGAGTCCACTGGTGCAAACAAGGTCAGTTCCTCACCCTCTCTCTCCAATAATGCCTGGACACCTGTTCCAGACTGACCACCTCCTGGGAGGCTGATCACTGCTTGGGCCAACTGCCTGAGGGTGTGAATTGAAAGTGTTATTACCTTAAAATTATTTCACTACTTTGTCATGGCATGTATCATTATATATATATATATATATATATATATATATATATATATATATATATCAATTTATTTTCCCAATTCACACATGTACAATCTATTTGAATATACCCATGTTTGTCCACAGTTTTCTAAAGCTCAAATCTTATGACATACTAAACTTCTTTTAACTGCTTGGTCGAAATGCAAATGTGTCCTGCTGAGAATGCACAACAACCACATTCATCCCAACAATGCATGCTTTATAAACATGTAGGGAGCCTTTCTCAGAAAATTTCTGATAGAACTGGGCTTGGCTAACTGGGTGGAATTATTTTTTTATATACCTATAAAATTCCTCTTCCCTAGAGAATAAACTCATTACAGTAAAATTCCCAAACTTCTGGAAAAACTGACATATCACAACAGTGAATTATGTTTATGGAGGATAAAAAAACACAACTTACTGGAGTTTACGTTCCTGACTGATATGAGCGTATATGTTAAAGTAGGTGAAGTTAAGAATGTGGTCAACCATATGGAAAACCCCATTATCTACTGTGATATCTGGCAGGACCACACGGCCACCAATATTATTACTCTTGATAAACACTGAAAATAATAAGAAAATATCAGTAACTAGAAAAGCACTCCAAGAGCGCAGACCTCTGCCAAGGCAGCAATTTTTGATTATTATTGATTATTGACTGATTATTGATCTGGATCACCACCAAAAACAAATCATCTGTTCCTTGGCCCACTTCTGACAGTTCCTGAAAATTTCATCAAAATCAGTCCATAATTTTTTGAGTTATGTTGATGGGGGTGAAAACATAACCTCCTTGGCAGAGGTAACTAAAACGATACAAAACAATTTTTTCTATAAATATAAAATATTTTTTATAAATCAAGATTTCAAGTACACTTATTATGGTCATATAGTTTGATCACATTTGATTGTAGTAAAGTTCACTTTTTTGAACAGATACTCAACATTCTTAAAAGACAAATGAACCTTAATAATTCTAAAATTAGAAATACAATTTTAAAAATATCAAGAAATTGCAGAAGCTGCATAATTAAACTTAGATCAAACAGAAAAAAAACACTACGATAACAGAATTTATTTGATCAGACAAAATTCAATGTCACAATTACCATCATTTGCTATAGTGCGCCCCACAATTCTTCCCTCTACAGCTTGGACTCCATCCTCTCCCATACTGTCCACTATGCTGCTGAAGTAGACTTTATTTGGAATAACATGGGATGCAACAACCTAAAACAGTATCAATTCACTTGTGTATTCAAATAGCATATTATTTCTGAAGTTTAACAAAATATATTGTGCAAGTATTGTGGGACATGCTGTCCTTCTATGCAGCTGCTTTTTCCACTGGTGGCCACATTTTCTTCTTTTACCACTTAAAAAAACTAATGCACTGGTTTCAAGCCCCTTTTCTATTATTGTCATTTTTTAATAAATCCTAACCATTATCTATTTGGTATGATTTCTATATATGTTTATGAGCCAAACGTATGACTTACTTGTTCTAGTTTGGTTGTATCTGCCATGAGTTCATCCCATTTGGCTGTTGGAATTGTGCTGAGGGCTTCATTGGTGGGTACAAAGACTGTCAATTGCTCCAGGTCAGTCAGTTGGTCCCTGAGACCCCCTGGCCCTCTGATTGGAAGGGCATTCATCATCTCTTGGAATTTTCTGGTTTTGAAAACACAAGAATAATGTCAAAAAACATGTAACTGCACTCTTCCAAATCAAAAGCACATTTTTCTCAAAAGAGTAAAATGCCATGCTTTCCCTACATAACTTACATTCTTTACTATGTAATGTCAATATTGTTATTATTTCTTACCATGCTCAGTAATATCTATATACAAATCTATCTATTCTAAATATATGATGCAGGGTTTATGAATACAACAACTTAATACTAACTTAAAGGAAGTTGAGAGTGTTACTTTACAAAAACAATTTTGGTGTAACCCAAGTTTCCATGCATTACCGATGATGAAGTATGTTGTATATATATTTGTGTATTCATTCTTCTTTTCTTTTCTCTCTCCTTTATTTGTAAGTGCTTTTTGAAATAAATAATTAAATACATATATAATTGAACTTGAACCTGGAACTCAGAAATGTCACTCACAGTACTCCCATATTAATGACTTCTTGTGACTCCGGTTGGGAAATGTACCCAGACATGGATTTTGTGCTACCCATGGGAAAAAGATATTCATCGATGATGTGAAGGTAGCCATTTTCTGCATCTGTATTTGGCTGGATAATTTTAGCTTGATTCACAAAATATCCACCTTGTTGCTAAATGGGGTTTTAAAAAAAGAAGAAAAGAAGTAAATTAATTAATCATATAAGATAAATTTTCTGCATAAACACCCAAATTTATAAATTTCTTGGTAACATCAAGTAGATGTTTGGTTTCAATAAAATATTCAATTTTCAACTGTGGAAACCCTTTTTTATGTTATGTTATTATAGGTCTGTCCTAAGCAAATCAAAATTTGTCAATTAAAGACTTAACAAATTAACACTTTCTCATTCTTAAATAAATTGAATGGCTTTTTTAATCTTTTTTATATTAAAAAGTAATATAGTGTTTACTACATAAAATGATATGTCAAACAGATAATTTACTCACATTTCCATTAGACTGAACCATGTTGAAGAAAACTTTTGCTTTGTTGCTCTCCATCGTCTCCTTATACTTTAAGTTTGCCATCTCAGTTGTGTGAATTTTAGCTTCTTTTACTAATATGTAAAAAAAGAGTTAATCAGTTTCAAGAGGATCAGTGTAACTGCGTATACTAAGAGCGTATTCAGAACAACAGACTTACAGATCTGCAGATCAAATATGGCAACCCACTCAAATGCTTGCTGATTAATTCCCAATTAGACACTGAATAGATTCCCCATGGGGATTACACAACAAGCATTTAAGTTGGTCAGCCATATTTGATCTGCAGATCTGTTATTCCACTGTTCTGAATGTGCTCTTAGAATGCATATTACTTTCAAAACAAAATTTACTTTATTTTGGAACTTAATATACTTGCCAAGTCAGTTTGCTCTAATGACTCTTGCCCTTATGACTTTTGAATAAAGATTTCATCATTTTAGATATATTGTATAAATGTGTGTATACAAATTAGCAGAATACAAGTTAGAATATTACCTGATAAATGATTTATTACTAAAAAAAAAAGATGGCCATATACTTTGTTTTTACTTTGAATTGTTCCGGGGGGCTTTGAAGATCCACAAAGAGATAGTTGTATCATCACTTTTGAAGACTTGGTATCACACAGAAAGAAAAATATCAGAGGCACATGCTGTTTTTATCAAGCATTTGAAAAGGTAAATTTTGTAAGTATGTTAATGTAAAATGACTTTGCAACAGTCTTTAAAGTACTTATTTGTAATATTCATCCAAAGGTCTAACAAAAATATGTTTTTACCTTTTTTTTTTTTGGGGGGGGGGGGAGGGGGGCAGAAAAATGAGAAACAGAATACTATAGCTAAAAATTCATGAAATTTGCCATAAATAAACATATTAATAGTTTTTAGGCTTGGACAAAATTATCTGCTGGTCGCAATAATTGCCTGATCATGATCATGAGAGCAAGTGTCAACTTGAGATGATTGAGAAAACACGGTTTTGTTCAAGAGAAGTAATGGATACAGAATTGTGATGTTTAATAAATGAACAAAATTATGCAATTACTGAAGATTAAGTACAAGCAGAGTATAAGTACCTTAATGTTAACCTCAACATTAGTAAAACATATTTATACACAGGCCAACTTGGGCAATTGATATCTGTGCTTATTGGCCCATCTTTATATATACTAACCTAAAAATGTTCAAAGGCAAAATATTGACTCTGCTTCAATATGTTTCTTTTTATCAATATAAATAATATACTTTTTGTAACCATTTCTGCAAAATAAGAAATATGTACCACTTTTGTAAATTCTTTTTAGTCATTTGGATTGGATTCAGCTTTTACTGGGCCTGATGACAACCTGTTTAGTAGGAGAGGGGGGTAGAGAGCCAGTGATTATTTTAAAACCTATATTTTATGAAAGAAGTGAAAAATGAATATTTACTCACTTATATGATATCTCAGAAATTTATCCAAGCTTTCTGCATTATTGACATCTCGTAGGTTATTTTGGACTATTTCAGGTAATTTGTCCCATGCAGCATCTGTTGGAGCAAACACTGTGTATTTCCGTTCTGGCACCCCATTCAGATAGTTGTCTAGAAGTAGCGACCTGGATGTTTCCAGCAATTCCTTGAACTGCAAAAGTATAGAAGTTTGGAAATTAACAACAAGTGAAGAACATCAAACAACACATTTAGCAGTCTAAAGCATTGATATACCAGGTATTTACAAGTAGTGGAAACCCTGTCAAGTAGCCAGCTTTAAGATCAATTGCAGGCAGAAAAATGTTATAATTGAAGGAGATAAATGCATTTTAATTGTTTTATTCACCTTAGCTTTTATTATTTATATAATTACTTGTAATTCTGATAATTTTATTTGTAAACAGCACTGAGACGGTAGTGTAGAGATAAATGCATTTTAATTGTTTTATTCACCTTAGCTTTTATTATTTATATAATTACTTGTAATTCTGATAATTTTATTTGTAAACAGCACTGAGATGGTAGTGTAGTGTGGTTTTTAAGAAATAAATATTATTATTATTATTATTATTATTATTATTATTATTATATAGGCGTAAATGGGAGTATGAAGGTTTGTGGTTTAAACTGGGATGGAGGAGATGAAAATTTATATTCATATTCTCGTACAATCTACAGAGCTTTCTATTCATAGTACAGATATAAAACAAAACATTTATTGAATTTAAAAATCAATATAATTGAAAAAAAGATAAAATACAAATGCCAATTATGTTAAAAAATTACCAGCCTACTTTTTCACTGGTTCTAATCTTTGAGCTTTATAGCTCATTTTTCTGAAACATCATTGTACAGAGAGATGCTACTTGTTAGATGTGGAAATAACTTTAAAAGCCTTAAATCACCTGGGGTGCATGTATATGCAAGAAAATGGTAGATAGATCTCCTTGTTGTTTACATCTGCAGACCACTTGTAATATGGTCAATTTTATGGCCCTGACTACCACATGCATATGTAAATCAATGACCATAAATGTGCCCCTCATGCAGGGTGTAGGGTATTCAAGGATCAGTGAGCTCAAGTCTCCTACAATCTGTGACATCATATACTTAAGATGCAATAAAACTGGTGTTCATGTTCTGAATTTGCTATAAAACTCTTCACTTACTCACTAGGTACACAAGGCTTGAATCTGAATTAGGTAAATAACACAACTGTGGATGAGAACAGACTTGGTATTATACCGATATGAACAATGTGGGGAATTATTTTACAATTTCATCAACTGACAGAATGTGTACTTTAACATGTAGAATTGAATTGTAAATGTGACCTTGTCTTTTTTATGCAAGAAAAGATTATTGTTCAAACTCATATGTTGCAAATTATGGACAACCTGAAACATTTTTACTCCTCGTGGCAGATAAAATGTGTTGTAAATAATATCACTTTTTTACTGTCTTTAAAAAGCACTTCTTTACCTTAAAATTTTGTCTATGGAAAAGTGTGATGTGTTCTGGAAAGTAACAAATTAGAACAATCAGTTGGCCTGAAGAATTAAATTAATATGATGCTTCCAACTGTGACCTCAATCGCACCTTCCCATTTAAACAACCAAAATATGACCGATTTAATATTTTAGATAGCTTTTGGTCATCAAATCAAGAAACGATATTTGTGGAAACGTTATTTTTCACCATAATGCACTGAATTTGTAGACAGAAAGAAAAAAAAAGACAGTGGAATCCACTGCCCAAGTGAGTAGTGATATGAGTCACAATGAAGCCGCCATCTTGGATCACCTGCATTCCACAGCTATTTACAGGTGGTTGATAGTTTTTGACTTACCCTTCTTAATCTCTGGTCGTTTTCAATCCTTTGCTTTAACTTATTTTGGCATTCTATCATTCCTGGACCTAATATGAGCAATCCAAGCAAGATTAGGCACCTAAAAGACGCCATCTTCGGAACAGGTAGGAGGCCTACACACACAGGTAAAAGTTTAAAGAACACCTTAACACAGCCGTTAAGCAGGCCGAGCGCGGTTTCCAACAGGTCTAAATTGATTTATCAGTCAGAAGATATTGGAGTGTGTTTTTACCAAGTCTTATCATAACACTTCTGCCTTCTTTTGTATCTTGTGATGTTAAGTCTGAATGTTGTGGTTTTTAAAAAGATTGTTAGAAATATATAATTTACATTTCAATATGTTAATAAATCATTGATTGATTAAGACCTTTACGTGAACCAGCAAAAGCATGTCAGGTGAATGGAATGTGTAAACACCTACTCAGCACTGTCTACGAGTCTTCCGAGTAAATTATAAATGAAAAGAGATTGTCGAGAGAATGACTAGACAAATAGATAGAAACTTCATAACTTTCTAGCTGGTCCAACCACGACGCTATTTTATTTATTAGTATGTTTTAGGGTATCCTTGGACATTCCTTTTTATGTCCAAGGGGTATCTTATCCGGGGTTTCCTCGAAAAATTTTTTTTGACCTAACGAAAAGGCATTGATAGACCCGTCCCTGCAATGTGCCAGAGGCCCCTCAAACGCTTAGTGATTTTGCAACAGTGACATTGGCCTCTAGTAAAGAGTATCCTTGCACTTGTGTTTTATCTTTTATCTTTTATTCCATTTCTAGTTTAGATAAAACCATTGTCAAGTCACTCGACCGTGGCTTCCTCTTCATTCCAGATCGACATCAAATGCTGTTATTAGAGGGATTTTAGGGTCGTTCTGTATGATGTATAGAATAAGACTGGAAAGGCCTGGAAACATTTTCAAAATTTTAAAATGTGGTATTTGAGTATCAGTTATTGACGCATCCGATTACAGTCTATTCCTCATCCTGCATGACTCGATTTCTGATGAAAGTGCACTAGATAACTGGGAGGTGCTTATCTAATGTGGGCTATTAAAATGGTCTTAATAAAATGTAATGTGAAATCAAATTATTGCGCTTTCCAAATATTTATTGCAATAAATACACACTGAGTAATGATATACACTATTCCAATATACTATATATCATAGATCTCAAAAATAAACAAGCATAAAATAAACTTTTAAGCCCTTAAAACACACAATTTATGTACACTGAAAATATATCGTCTGTTTTAAGTCAGATCAATTTATTAAATAAAATGTTTATAGTTATTATTATGTGCAGTATTTTCCATTTGTCATATCAATGAGGTAATCCGCCCATTAGTACTTTTAAATCTGAGACAGAAAAGCAAAGGAATTCCCATCCCCCTACCCATGGAGCCGGTCATTTGCTCTAAAATATATTTGATGGGGAAAATCTTATTTCAAAGCCAAGACTTACACAAAAATTATCTTAAGCATTTTATAACTAGAAAAAATTGTCATTTACGTTCACCTCTCGTATTTTTGACGTAAATGTTCCTCTTTTGATACACCTCCGTCTCTTCAACGGTTTTGGGTACTGTTTCCTCATTAAGAGTGAGTGCGGCGTAGGAGCGATATTGTGGCCGTTTGGGCGGAGGGTCTCGGAGAAGCTGGTACCCTTCCTTGTTCATGCTGGGTGGATCCGGGTGGACCGCGTTGGAAAGGAGGTCCCGGCTTTTTCGCCTCTTATTCCTAGGTGCGGTAAGTCGCTTCTTCCCTAATGAACGCCTTGGAGCCGGGCGTGGAGGTAATGTGGCTGCCCGAACGGTTGGTGAATAGATATTCTGGTAAATTTCGTCGTCACGTTCACCGTCGTCAAATTGGCCTCGGATTGCGGGTACCACAGTGGTTCCGTTTTGTCGCGGCTTGGGAGCAATGGCGGGTTTCTCCTGTGTCTTTTTTGGGTGTTGTCCACTGGATTCCTGCTGCACGAGAATAAACTCCTCTATTTCACCAGTGCGCTTCGACGACTGTGAGCTCACCATGCTTGCTGTTAACTTCCTACTACAGTGACAATCTGGCTTCAGAAGCGCCGTCAGCCCGTTGGTACTTTGCAGCGGACACGTCCCTTCCCTTGCGTTGGCCATCGGCATCAGGTTAAATGATACACGACTAGTTTCACGTGGACGTTCCATGACATTCAGGCTTGTATTTTCTTTTTCTGTACCTGGCATCAAAGATTTTCGTTTCACGGTTCTGAAAGTTAAATAAACATGAGAGATTTCGTCCAAAGTGATACACTGATCAGCTTTGTTCGGATTTCCATAATCTTCTCCCGTCTTCTCGTTATGCACGGTAAATTCTTCGCAAAATCGGTCTTGGTTTGTAACGTAAGAGTACGGGCAAGCCGCTGTGTCATCATAGGAATTTGATTCGAAATCATCCAAAAGGCTCGTTTCAGTAAAAGCTGTCTCTTCTTCTTCCTGCTCTTTAAAAATGTCCCCTTGGTCTCTTTGAGGAGTACGCACGCTATGGTGAGCACGACGCTTTTTACTTCGACGTTTCGGTCCACTTAAATTATACCTCTCCTGCTCTCTCCCCTGCTCGGTCACCCGCCAAGTCTCTAACTCAGTCTCCCGCTGCATCCTGTTCAACGATTTTTGCCTTTCACGTTGTTCCCGGTGACGTTTACGGCAATCGGCACACCTGATGATGAATACGCTGCCCAGTATAGACAAGATCACCGAGCCGGTGGCAACCGGGATAAGTATGCGATAATCTACTGCCCAGCTACATGGGTTTGGTGTCAGCGTGGCAAATGCGCTGTTCGCGTTGGATGCTGGAGGAGTCAGTGTTGGCGCCATGGAGGGGCCTGATTGTCGAGCGGGTTCACTGTTACTGTATTTGTTGGCACCGGTGTCAGTTTTAGTCTGAGCTGCAGAAGACGGTTCCTCTAAAATCAAAATTATTGACGTGAAATAAAGCTGGTAACAAGCAATCGAATTTTAGCAGTATAAGTATGGAGCGCCGTCTTTTTTTAAATACTTTTCCTCTTCATGCCTTTCGGAAAGGACTGAAGCAGGTCCACACTCTAAACGTAAGACGGAAATGAATACAGCTCACCTTCACTGCCCGCACATCCTGTCGATAAACAATAAAAAACCAACCACACTGTATTCGCGAAGAGGGATATCGCTGAAGTAAAAAGCCTCATGCTCCTGCCTGTCTCTACGCCTACATCTCTCCAGAAAAAATGGACCGACTGTCTTTTAGCGGTCGCTGACTAATCCACAAGTCTGAATTATATTCATACGATGTTCTTTCATTTCAGATTGTTAGTAAATACACTATGAATAAAATCTGGGGTTTCCCTTGGCTAGGTCCCAATTTTCTTTTTAAAGTGAAATTGAAAGTAATGTTGCACAAGATTCAAATTTTCAATAAGATAAGAAATGTCTATTCTAGAAAAGTAAACAACAATGTTTGTCTATTTTCTTACTACGTGTGTGATATGTAAAGTGAAAGTACTATGAGTCACTCGACACTGGGGGGTTACCCACCAAATGTTTTTTCTATTTTGGACGCGAAAACATTCTATGTGATGGACGAAAAAGATCAGTATTTTTAAAATGATGTCACTGATGTCAAATTAGGAGAGACGTATATTTTGTTACTCATACTTAGAAATATTTTTGTGACTATGAACAGAATAGGTAATGTTGTGTGTTTTTTTATCTCAACACTGTGCCACACTTACATTTTCTTTGTTGTGCTAGGTAAACTCTTTCTTAATCAGTTGTTATCGAAAACGTTTTCTTTCAAAATGAAACCCTTTGCCCCCTATTCGTCTGTATAGGTAAATTGATGCAGTTTCATGGCGCACTCCATGATATTCAGACTTGTATTTTCTTTTTCTGTGCCTGGCATCAAAGATGTTCTTTTAATGGTTTTGAAAGTAAGACGAAAGGGAGAGATTTTTCAAAAGTTATACACTGAGCAGGTTGTTTGGATATCCAAGAAAACACAGTGTAGATCCACACACAATGAAAGATATTCCATAATGCAGCCTGCTTTGCTAACACAATGACATTTGAACCCACTGACGTGAGACATAATACATGTAGGTCTACTTATGAAAGAGCTTTTGCGAAAACTGCGACCGCTTTTTTATATGTAAACAATCAAAAAGAGAAACGATTTTCACACACGGGCACCTTCACACACGACACAGATAAATTTTTTGTTTTCTTATGTTTTTCTTCTTATTGTTTTCTTGTAAAATATTTATCTTCTCATGCTCTAAGAATGAATGTTGATTCATTGCATACTGACTTTGATAAGTGCAATTATTTCTTATTTTGAGTAAAAAGAAACTCCCATTTAAACAGATAAACAAACTGAAAACCACTTTATATCAGCTGTTTCCTTAGCAAGTTGTAATTGAAATCCAAGAAAAACTAAATCAATTTACTAAAAAATTTATTATCAACACTCATTTTGTACACGTAACATTGACAGCAGCATTAATATATGAAAGAAGGAAACCACATATTTTATAAATAAGTTCCTTTGAGGATATTTAAAATATAACATTTACACTTTTATCTATCCTAAATACTGATATAACTATATCATTGATTTAAATGCAAGAAAGGGGACGTATCCAAGGGGTTTAAGCTGAGGGCACGCAGCCCACCCCTTAAACTCCCATGACATGTTTCAGCAATTAAATATGAGCAAAACGACGCGATCCCTGTCCGCCCCTGCGCACCACTCCCCCCCCCCAAGAGCCCCTTTAAATAAATTCAGGGGCCCATCAGAGGGATTGTTCGTGATGGTTCGCTTTTCCTTTTTTTTTTTTTGAAGAGTATACAAATGTAACTCTGGATTATGTAAATTGCAGTCCGTGCGATTATCACTGTCTCAAGCATCTTAAAATAAATACTTTTCTTCTTCTGCTTAGAATTTAAATTATAGTTATAATTGTTAATATATTCTATACCCGAATCATACAGATATAGGGTATCATTGTGGTGTCACGTTTTATCATTTCCCTTTCAGCAGCTTGGACGGTCTTGGGGCTGGATGGGGAGGGCGTACAGGAGGCGACTGTGGAACGTTCACGTAGATTCCGGGGCCTCCGCATTTAGGGCCCGTGCTCTTCTCGCGCTCTTTGGGAGTATGGATGCCCTGGCGAAGTGAAGTGCGTAAGTCGGTGCTCGCTCTGACGCCGGTAGCAGGTGGAGGGGGCTGTGAAGGCACAGCATCTTTACAGATTAGTAATTCAGGATCAACCCAGAAAGAGCACTCGCGGACAATGCTTGTTGCAGAGAGACGGAAGTCTTCTCCGCTCATATCAAAGTAGTCCTGCGAGTCCGTTTCATCTTGGTCAACTAGGAACTCAGAAGAACGCTTTCTGGCGTAGAAGGGTTTTGGTTCACCCACAGGAAGACTTATATCTCGTTTAGCAATATTACTGGTGTTTCTTGCGGGTTTCGGGTGTTTTTCCTGGTCTGTCTCCCTTTCTGTACCCTTATCCTCTTCAGCGGGCATAAGACCGTCCTTTTGCATATTGTCATCGGCATTATTCGGATCTTCTGCAGACCGTGTTTTGGACATGCCCTTTCTTACAGCTATAACAACTACGCAGATAACGAGAAATACTCCAGCAAAGACGCCTGAAACTATAAACCGCAAGACGTAAGTTACGTACCCGTCATTGGACATAACCATAGACTCGCTGGATGGGGACTTGGGACATATCGTGTCTGGGATTGCGATTTTAATGATGGTCGGTCGTTTAAAGTCAGACGCAAACAGGCTGCATCCATGTTCAGTAGACATGAATGCGAGTCGGAGCACAATGAAGTCTTCCAGGTTTGCGATCGTTTCTATCTGCTCTGAAGAATTTATTAGCTTCGTAACTTTGATGGTGTTGTCGGACAAATCGTAAGCAAAAAGATAACCACCGTATTGTGAAAGCGCCACAGGATAATTTGGAGAGGTCATATTAGTAGAGTTGATGTAAGGAATGACAGGCTGAACAATGTACACATCTTCAACCGGTCGCAACAAACCTTGTGTTGTTTCATACACAGCATATTTTGTCGGTTTAAGCTCGGCTATCGCAAACGCAATAACACCCAGGACAGGCTGCCCAGTATTGTCATTAACAAGCAGTGTTTCCACTTGTTTCGCATTTATGTCCAGCCTTCGAACAGTTTTATTATCTAGTAGGTATAATGCATGTTCAGAAAACGAGTAGGTCATGTACTCGATATCACCGAAGGATGCTGCCGACAGGGGGCCATCAATAGGTTCAATCCCTCCCTTTGTCCTTCTCTCACCAGCAAAGCTCGATATCTCACAGTCTTTCTCAGATACTCCGTCAATTTTACGTATAATGTTATCATCAGTGATGTACACAACAGATGGATCCCTTGTAACGGTCAAGTCAATCGGCCTTTGGAGTTTCGCCTCTGTGCATGGACCGTTCAAAAACCCTTTCTTACCAGACCCCCCGAGCACAGTCGTGGCTCTCTTCAAGTCGAGGTCCCAGTACAGAACGGCGGAGTTCCCGGTGTCCACCACGTACAGGCGGTTTAAAGCAGAGGAGACGGAGATACCACCGGGTCGAGACCATGATAACGACACTATTTGTTCCGGTTCTGTGGGAAAATAAAAGAGATATTTGAAACCTGCAAATGATTGATGAAAAGCCTTGCCTGTTCTTGGTTGATGATAGGCGCTATGAGACAGGCCTAGTACTTGTTGAATATGGAATACCCACAGACAGAAATTTACCCTTTTTCAGGAATGTACTAGTAGGAGCATGATTATGAATCAGTTAAAAATTGTCTAAGAAATGCAAATTGTTAGTAAAGTGCAAAACGAATTAGAGAAAGTGAGAGAAATGACCTACCTTTGGTATCAATTATGGTAGCTGCCATTAAAGGCATCGACAAAATTATGGGTATCCACCGTGACATATCGCCCAACTTTTTGCGATTGTTCCGAAATGCCATCTTAAATTTCATATCCAACGCGTCTGCATCTTAAATAATAATCTCTTGGTTATTTATAGACTTTAAGTAATTTTCCAACCCCAGGTAAAGAAATATCGAAAGTGAAACAAATTACTCAGACATGGCCAAATAATACTGTTTCATAAAATAAACAGTGGTCTGGTGTATATACAAATACAAGTATACACAAAAATTTCCCCTCCTCAAGTTTTAAATGACTCGAAATAAATGATGTCAAATGTTAAAACCTTAAAGTTGTTTTAATTACGTCTAACTCCTTTTTTGGATTTGTGCAAATGTTGACGTTGGAACGAAAATAAAAACCTTCTATTTATTTACTAAATGATTCACCGCCTGTTTTTTGTACACCGTATTTTACTTTGAAAAGTGAAACTAATTGCACGAAGTACGTTGTTAAAATATAAATATGAACTTGATCCCCCTATGCGTTCGAAGACTTGACACGGTCAGATAGATTAGATTCATTTATAGGAAGTTCAAAAACTGGCGGGCGAGAGAGAGAGAGATTGAGAGAGAGATTGAGAGAGAGAGAGGGATACCAGGGCCGGAGGCTGCAGGAGGGAGGGGGCAGGGTAACAGGTGCTTCAGCCTCCATGGATTTTTGAAAAAAAAATAGACCTTGATAAAATGTTAGCCTTTTCCTCTCTCTCATTTCATCAGATGTCTCTTGCCTGTCTTTCAGTTAGTGGTACAAATAACCTGCTCGCAGGTGTCGTCATGTTCCTAGGCCTTCAACAGCTCCCCCCAAGCATTTGCCTTGGCCAACGACTCTGAATATTGGTCATGGGTTCCATAAAAGTCTGCTAATGTATATTTAGTCTCATTTCAAAAGCGACAGCTGTAGTGTTTTTTATCTACCAAAGTTCCCGCAGGGAATTCCCCTCATCTTATTCTTAACCTCTGTGATTGCACGGACAATCCAGGCTGATTGCGGCATGAGAGCAGCCTGTGCACATTCGATATTATTCTAATGAATGTGTTAGAGAAAACACCAATAAAATAGGAAAATCCTTTGTCTTATTCAGTCCGTCGTATTATCAACAGACTAGGCAAATACCTAGGCATTTACATTCTAAACACTCTGGTCTCCACACTGAAGAAGGATAATATTTGGTAAGCGTTTATTGTTGTCTCCTCAGTCGGGCATATAGGTCTGTGTTTGTTCTCTTTTTATGTATAGGTTCATTGAAAGTAAGCGTATAAAAAGGGTTATTGTCATAAACCTATATGCACAGTGAGCGACGTGGCAACTGAATATCGACCAGTTCAATCAAGGTCGTTGTTGCTCTCTACCCGCCATATTTTTTTCTCATGTTGTAATATAGGTACAGTAAGTTCATTGTTTTTTAACGTTGAAGACACGGCGTCCATTTTTCTTAGAGTAAATACGGCACGTGTCAGAGACAGAGAGATAGAGCACTCGGTGAGCCATGCCACTCTACCCTGTGTCACCAATGTGTCATACGTCTTTTAAATCGACAATTGAGTGCCATATACCTGCAGTATCATTTATATGATAATAAAAGGATTGGTTATAAATTTAGGTATAAGCAAAGTACGATCTGCAATATAAGTTAAGCCTGATGTAATGCTGAGGTAGTCATGCAAGCAGCGTTTCTGACACTTGCATTTTGGAACATTTCCAAGTCCTACATATGTCCAGTGGCCTGGTAATGTCGACAACTGGGATGTCAAGACGTATAGATTAACCCATGAGTCATTACTGTGTGCAATGTCACAGAGTACTGTCACCGTGCGCTCTGTGCTGTAGTTAGAGTGGCCTAGAGGCTGGAATATGAGCATTGTACAAAGATAGTCATCACTTTTTCAGTGACAATTTTACCGAGCTGAGTCACGCTAGGGCATGCTTAATTTAAGTAAGTAAATATAGTCTAAAGGAAATATGGTGCACTCGTATGTATTATATCTATATTGCATTTAAAGATTTCCGTGCGTTCAAGAAGCCCACTATTCAGAGTTAAAAATAAGCTTTACTGGAAATAATGACAATCAGAGACAATGCAAAGATTTTAGACATTTTGGTATGGGATGGTTTAACAAGTTATTTTCTGTCTCCAAATTCTTATGTGCAGCTCCATTTCAACTCAGCGTAAGGTTATTAATGTTTTTATATACTATGCTTTAATTAACTCATAGCGGATAACCGCAAACAATAAAGAACAGCAGGCCGTTCTACATTTTCAGATAATATTGATCCGAGTAGCCCCTGAAATTTCCGTGGACAGCCTCCTATTGTACGTCACCCTCTTTTGTTTTGCGGGTTACTGGCCACATATAAACGTCTGATCTTTGTACTCTTTGTCGAATTACAGCTCCTCGCGCCAGCAGCTGCAGTGCAACTCATAAGCATGTGACAGGGAAAGCTCCCATTTATCCCGATTCATAGTGTTTAGGAGTTTGGGCGAGGTATAGACAGGGATAGCTCAAGAACTCTGACTCAAAGCAGAGGTGAGTACTAAGTTCATAAGTAATGACTTCATCTTCTCATCCTTCTCAGGCATGTCAGTTTATTTTACGGGCGCATTTGCTGTGTAGACCTTTGATCAAACTAAGACCCTTGTAGCACAGGGTTTAATATGACTATCCATTGCTGTATATTTGAATTTAAGGTAATTATGCTAACAGGAATAATGCTGCCCACAAGCTGTCGACCTGAGATTTTTTGCTGTAAATTGGTATATCGAAATAATCTGGTTTATTGTTGTTAGACATGTGCTACATGCACAAGATACCGAGGATATTGCCAGCTGAGAGTTCTACATGACGCCACAAGAGGTTATAAATGGAAAATTGGGTCGGTCTCTTAACTTTCAGTGCTGGTTAATTTTTTTTTTGTCTCCGTGTCTTAGGGGTTTTATGGTTATATTTTAACCGCACAGCCAATTTCCTCTGCTATTCATACTATTTACAGTAGAAGCAACAAGACTGCAAATTGGTGGCTCTTTAAATCATTTAGAATGATTAATTTCTCGCCCAATGTTGTGCAGTTGCTGTTTCCTGAAATTCCTCAAAGTGATATAATCATTTAGAGCAGTTAGATTGTTTCATATTCACTCGTAACCCATGTTAACGTTCTTTGTGCTGACGCCAAGGGAATATAATCACATTCAACCAGAAACAAAAACGTGTCTCTGATTGATAAAATGCAAAGGCGGTCTGTATTGCAGTTATTTCATCAGCTGAGCCAGCACCTGCGTGTCAGAGCTTGTCATTTCGCATACAAGAAATGACTGAAACTGTAACCTAAGCTGACAACTTGATCATAAGTAGTCGTAATTTTAGAGTCGAAATCTCAGTGACTCATGGCGTGAACACTCATATAGCTGCCAGGAGCTTACAATGTAATCAGATTGTAATATTTGGTTTCCTGGTCTCTTAGAATGAAGTTCTAAATGAAGCTCTTCCTGTTTTGTCTTTATTTTTCTGTATCCATATGTAAATTTGAAAGGCAACCTCTAAGGTTTTAATCGTGACTATTTACTCACTATAATAAAAAGTCATTATATTTTACGCACACATATTTAAGTAGATACTCAAACTGAAAAAAAATCTAATCAGTTTAGTTATTAAAATAAAATGTGTAATGCAAAATTTCTTTCTTTTCTTCTCCTCCCTATCTATATATGACATTTAATTCCAGTAAAAAATCTCTCTTTATGACACCACATCAGATTGATACCTAAGGTTCTTTGGGTGATCCCTCACCGTACTAATGAGTCTCTTGAATACACAGGGTCTCGATTTTTTTCTAATTTTAGCAAGGTTAACGAGAATTAGATAGTCTGTCGTGTAATGTTGCTTGTGTTTATTTTAAAGGAACAAGAGAATTGGGAAAATTTATCAAAAGTTTTTTTTATCCTATTTTATCCTGTGCTGACTGCTGACATGGGTCATTTGAGATGTAATATACTTGCATTTGCATCGTAGAAAAACAGTCAAGTAGTTAATGAGTTGCTAACTGACAAACAGACATCCATCATACCTGACGAATATGGGTTTTCCCTTTGTTCAAACACCCAATAGTCCTTGTCTGAATATCGTTGTAACACTCGTTTAAAATAATAGTACAAGATAAAAGAGGGAAGTCGTTTCTTATTTCTTTTTTCTAATTTTTCTCCCTTTTCTTCTTTTTCTAAATTTTTTCGTCAGGAAGATCACAAAATCGGCCTTGAGGTAGAAAAAAAAATATATATATAAATTATAAATGGAGTTTTGTATCCATCAAGTTAGCTAGGATTCCTATCTATCTTAGACATCACGTATATTGTTATCTTCCTGAAACGGCCACTCCACACTTCACACTGGTAACCAAAGACTTCTGCATGCATGGCCACGTGTCATCTTCACAAGTAATTTTGATTATTGCAAGAGCAGGTCGCTATAGAAGACAGAAATTGGAGTCGCACATGATGAAACTGGTGACGGAAATTAGATGTGATACTATATATATATATCAGAAACTAGTCATGCTGCACATGGGTTCCTTCGGAATTACGTTTTTGCCACGAGCCTGTTAATCTTCTGATCATACTTAAAGAGCTTTATGCTCATATAACAGACTGCTTTTATAATAAACTATTTGGTTACATTTGCAGATGCGGTTTATACTTTGTCGAGCAAATACATTTATTTCGCTGTTTTTTACTTAAAGAAAGAGAATTTTACTGTAGACGAGATTAAAATGTCATGGTACATTCTATTTTCATTTATTCGTTTTCTCGAAAATCATATCGACTTGACCGTAAAACAAGATATGAAAAAAAGATGGGCTTTAACTTTGAACAATGTGTTTTACGTATTGATCCATATGCTGATATGTACGAGCACATAGTGTATAAAACTATAATAAATCACTATAAATACTGATGTAACGAGGCGGTAGAGACACCACAAGTAACGCCCATAGTTCATCACTGCGAGCTATAGAGTGGACAGACTGTATACGGGTATCATGTCTTTAAAATCACATTCGACGGAAATGTTTACATGTACACTGTATTGCTTGCCATTATATTTCTTTCATTTCGATTTTATTTTAAGCATTCCTCATTCTCAAGTTTCATATTCGGTCACTTGGTGAAAAAGCAATTTTATATTTTTGGGAGGTACCTGCGTCAGTATATTAAAGTAATGTATCTTAGCACATGTGGCAGTTTTCATATTAAAGTATTATAAAACGTTCAAACAAATGTTTTGTAGCCTACAGAGCATATTAACACTGTATATCATATTCAACATGTTACATATCAGGCCAATATGTATGTAATTATGCACTGGCCTTATTACGACGGGTATCTGATACAAATCGAGTAAATGATAACTTAAATATATCACGAGGGCATCGGTTTGGATTCATCCCAAAATCTGATCGATATTGGTCCTTGTGCCTAGGTCAACATAGAACATCCTGAAAATATGTTTATTTTTACCTAAAGGGCTTCAAGTACAATTTCATTCCACAAATCGCCGCACCAAATCAAATATAAACTTATTTCGGTGATTGTACAAATATATCATAATAACCATATGGCTAATATATACTAGAAGATGTGTTAATATTTTGACAATAAAAAACCAGTAATGTTACAACAGCGATGAGTGTGAACATGGGGCTTGAAATGTTTTCTGATTGTCTTTACCAAGAACTGATGTAACAGCTGTTCATATTGAGAATACGCATGTCCCGGAGTCCCGTATATTAAGGGATGCTTGTTCTTCGATTTTATTTCAGGATAAATTTCTTTGTTTTTGGTAGACTGCAAAGAGTCACGTAAATTGTACAGCAGTTATTTGTGCCCTTACGAGAACTGATATAAGAGAAAATGGCACTTAAGGAAGTAAAATGATCAAATGGATTATTCCGTTAAGAAGACTTGTGTTTCCAGCGTGCTTTTTGACTGAAATGATATTGTGAACATTGCCTAATTTACAACGCTGGCCTTTAACAATTCGAACTGGTAGCATATACATATGGCAGGTCAACTTTTTAAAGTATTAAAGTACAAAGAAAATAAATGAAAGGAAAATAAAAGAAAGGGAGGTTGTGACACACACACACACGCACACATGCACGCACGCATGCACACACGCACACACATCTGCAATAAAGAGAGAGAGATCATTAAATCCCAAAAGTGACTCATAAACACAGACACACATGCGCACGCACGGTCGAGAGAGAGAGAGAGAGAGAGAGAGAGAGAGAGAGAGAGAGAGGGATAGGGAGAGAGGGATCATAAAATCCCAGAAGTAGGGCACAGTGCTATAGGGTTCCTTACGAAAGAAAAAAATCAATTAATACAGGGAAGTCAACTGATTTTAATTAGGTACTAATTATCATGCACACCACATGGAAACCGCAGCCCTGGCCACAATATTCTGTTATCGAGCGTTGCCGCCACAACTGTTCAGCAAAAGAAACCACGTTTCTCCCCATGAAGTAAGATATGCTCATAAATCAATGAATTAATCGATTTTCAAGCCTAATATGACTGTGGACATGTAAATACATTATTTATGCAGCGGCGGGCTTTCTGCCTTCATTGAGCTTGTGCTGTGAAACTCGCGATGCTTACGGTAGCGGATGTAAAATATTGGTTTACTGGAAACCACATGAATATTAACTAATAGGCCTAATTGATGTGCGTTATTAATTATCAATATAGTTCTCACAAGTGTTTTATGGTTTTGTGAAGCATATTCACGGTGAGTAAACACTTCTAAATTTCTTTTTAATACGTTAGTTGCTTATCGAACAGGGTCTGCAGAAGATTATCGTTTGAAAAGAAATGTATGCATCTAAAGCGACCAATGACAGTATTTCATGTCAGTCTTGCAGACAACTTATGCGTCACACAGTGTGTACTGTGACACGAACAACTAAGTAGGCTTTACAGATTTATGTAAGTGATCCCGAGTTTCCACGTATCTCTTTTCTTAAACGATCGGAAAGAAATATCCTGCGACCGTTTTGTGCTGAATTTGCAAAAGTTTACAGCATTTAGTGCTAAATACGACTATTTCCCCTCCTCCTTCTCTGTGTATACAAAGTGCAACTTGTTTTTATCGAGTTACAAATTGATCTACAGTCCCACATTTCATTTTGTCCAAACCGACCTCGTCATGAGACAACAAACATTACGTTTGTACATCCACGCTGGGATTGATTCAGAAGTGTGTGCAAATATCTGGAAGCAAAGGGGTAAACCTGCCATAAAATATTTGTATCCAGTATCGCGGTTTAAGAGGAAGTGATGCGTTACATAAGTATAAATTTAGCCAAGGAACATGCAGGCTGAAAAAATGGTGAACTTCAGGATAAATTATCTGAAAATCAACCCCATTTACAGAGCAGAAACAGTTGCCCGATTATTTTACCGCTTTCATGGGAAAGTTCAACCAACTCAGATTCTAAATTGCATAGCGTTTTTTTCACCTTAAATCTTGTGTAGATTAGCAGGGACGTGTGTATTTGCAATTTCAGCTACAGATGTTCCGAGATATGACCCTTTTTATATAAGAGTACCACGCAGGTCATTGCGAGGTGTCTTTTATGTTTTTATTTTATGTAAAGCGAACAGGGGCAGGTGTCATCTATTCATAGATCAATTAGGAAAATTGCTCATATGTCGGGATATACTTCTGTATACGATAAAGCTAAAGCGACACAACACATTAAAAGAGTGCAAATATTTAGAACTGTGCCGTATATGTTCATCCGGGCAACTCAACTGGCGAAAGCAGCTTGACTGACAACAGAACGAAGTCGATTTCATCGAGGCTGCCCCAGGCTTCTTTAGCTCCTTTCTGAATGGGTACTCAGGTCTAATTCTCTGCTGTTTCGTTTCTGACGAAGAAAACAGCCTGATGATGATCGTACGTCCTGTATTTTAAGGTAAGGACAGGACTGAATGCTCATTATAAGTGCTTGATGGATTTCTCATCACACAACATCATGTACATTTACATGTACGTTTATATATTGGGTACCTGGCGAGGTTTTAATATAGTGCTGTTGTTACACTTAGTTATGAAGTTTGTACTACAGGAACGCTATTGGCATGCAAGGTGCGTTCTACAAGTTATTCTGGATCTTATGTACATCTTATTCAAAATCTATAATCTCTGCAATATTTTTTTTCGCAAAGAAACATTTTTTTCTTTGTAGGGACGTATTTGTAGATTGTATTTAATCATTTCTTAATATGTACCGCAGTAGTAGAACAGGTGTTGATGAAAATGTTGAAAAGTGTAACGGTTCAAACCTTATGTGGAATAATGGAATGCCCATATCTTAGATTTATATCAGACTTTGAAGTTGGTTCACAGAAAAAAAAAGCACAGTACATATTTCTTTGTTGAAATACCCCGATCATCGAAACTCCTATTTTACAAATACCAAGACTTTGAAAACAGCTGTTGTAAAGGGCTGTATGGACCTGATGTTTAGGTGTCGGGGCGAGTAGGTGGAGGGGGGGGGGTCAGCTTTTTTGGTAACACTGCTTAATGTATGCCACCATTGTTTTTAACGAAATTTTGACTGAATCTATGGCCCACCTGTGGTAACTTTGTTATAAACCGCAGAAAGCTGCACGAAACCAGTCAAAGTACAGCCAAACAGCGTTGAAAACGGGAGAGAGATTTTAATATGGAAAACTGACGAAATTTTTATGCCGGGGTTAAAGTCCACCACATGTTAATCTCGTGACCTGAAGGGAAAGGCCTCCCATGCCATTTGGGTGCTTTGACAATAATGTCTCATCGTCACAAGTAGGATTTATACCACCGCAATTACAACTCAAAGGTCGCCTTTACGAGTGGGCAGACTGTGCATGTGCCTGTGCATTTAGTAGATTTATATTAGGGCCGTAAATAACAGAGGCATCATATCAGTGAGGTGGCAAGTGAACAGTACATCAAATAAAATTCCTGTAGCAGGATTTTTTATGCATGTTTCATTATTCATTGTCGCTGTTTAACCGGAAAATTCAGTTAGGGAACAACTGAAAGGCGTTAGTTACTGAGTAACTATTTGCTTTTGTCATTCCTGTAACATGAAACTTGTTAAACTTGTGATGTTTATCTTAAATTATTATTTATTTATTTATTTATTATTTAAATATATCACATTTGGATCAGTCGATCATTTTGACGATTTCAGGATGTGTGTGTGTGTGTGCGTGTGCGTGTGCGTGTGTTTTAGTGTTTGTTCATGGTTGGAAACTATGGTAAATAAGGGGAGTTTTTTGGCTAGTGACGTACAGTTGTGGAGAAATGAAGCTAAGGTCGTGTCAGCAGCATAAAATGTAATGCGGATATCATTATTGCTTATAAAAGCCCAACACTGTCTCACAATTAACTATTCTCCCATCCATGTGGGCATCACCACTGAAGCATTAAAAAACATGCTATTTGATTCACACTGAGTAAACTTGAGTACGCACAGCTTTAAATAGGTACATGTTGGTAGTAATCACAAAAACATGTAATTGATGAAACAAATCTCAACATCAGGCAAAAAAGTCTGGAATAAATGAAGTACTGTAAGCAACTTTAAGTATATAAACAGACGGCGACATCTCTCATAATTGGTATTTATGAAGCAAGGTCTGTCAAAGAGCAAATATAAAATCCACAGAAAGATCCGGAAACAAAGAGGATCAGGAAGTGTTATCTCTTGTGCACATCGTGTAAAAAAGACTTACAAAAATCTATGAAGCAATTCTCATCAACCAGCAAGCAAATGATAGAAAATATTAAATAGATTCACGGAAGCCGAAGTCGAACGAACGAAGCGAAAAAAGTGAAAAACGTCAGCTTCTGTAGTTAATTAACAATCGAACAGCAGGCGAGTAAAAAGCACGCAGCAAGAATAAATTTGTTCTACATCGTGGAACACTATTTCGTGAAATTATTTAAACAATGTGTCAGGTTTGAGAAAACTTCAATGGATTAACCCTATCGTTTAACCATTTGTAGATGGTAAAATCAGTAGTTTTCGTTAGCGCATCAGTGGAACGACTCCAAATACAAGCTGTGAGCCCAATACATGGTTCGCCCGTGTAGCTTTCACCAAGTTTGCGTGTTGTTAAAGACTTATAAATCATTAGAATGGAATCATATATGTCGATGTTGTCTGGCTTTCAGCGACCAATGTTTAGCTTGGGGGAAGCTATTGATTTTCAGCACTACTCAGTACTGGGGATGCCTGGTGTTGCTATATACATCTGGTTTTAGTGAAAACACTGGAGAGAGCTTTTAAGAGTTTTTTAATGGTGGTTTTTGGAAGTGTGCACGTACGTCATGCCCCGTCATGAACTACCGTCGACCAGTAAACAACTTACTTCATATGTAGCAAAAATTGCAAACTAGAAACTTCTACACATTAACTAGCAGTTGCAACTTTCATGTGGGTTGTTGTTGTAGACTTACTTGCCTTTTATGTTGCATAATTATTGTTCATATGTTGATGTAAAACAAACACGCCGTGTCAAAAATCTACAGATTCCGCCATTGTTTGCCTGTACGATAAACAGTCATAATGTCAAAATCCTGGTTAATATGTTGCGAGCTGTATCTCTGCCTCTGATTAGCTTCTCTTCCTTTACCTCGGTAAGGTCGGTACCTCGCAAAGGTCTAATCAAGTCAATCAAGACTAGTCTTAATTATATTCCACATCTTGTATTGAATACTCTAGGGCGCTACAGCTGTGGCCGTCTTGCAGACATGATGTAACTATAAATTTACCCAAATAAAGAAAATAAATCTGTTAAACATTGTCTGATTCACCTTCCTGTGGCAAAGGGCTATATCTCCTCTTTCCGCCAAGCTTGTCTTAAACCTTCAGACGTGATATATATGTACGTTTGTGCTACCATCTGATATAAGGGTCTGCTAAATATTATACTTTATTTTTATTTTAGTATCAGCGATGCAACAATTTTGTAACAGACTACTTGCGCTCCCTGTCGTCAAACAGTACATGCTCTTTTGTTATTCTTTTGTTCTCTCATTCACTTACGAAATCTGTAATCTTTTACCTATACCTTGAAAAGGCTCTCAAAGGTTTAAAAAAACAAGGGTTTGGAAGCAACTGGCGTCTTGTGTTCACAAAACCTTCATCAGGTTTCAATACTTCATTTGGTAATTTCCTCATAAAAAGCGGAATTAGCAAAAGTGGTAATGAGAAGACTGATTGCGTGTTCTTGGTGGTAAACAACTTCTTGTAACACGAATATCTGTATCAGCGCAGCTGTCAATCGATACAAAGCTAACGAGGCCTGTTTTCTTTTTTTTTTTAACTGTAATACATCATATGGAATTTTTTTTTTTTTTTTAATGTAAAATACCCATCGTTAACAACGATTGTTTCCTCTTGTAATGAAGTTTAAATGCAACTGCTTAGTTATGCAAACACCTTGACAGCTATACTAAGCTGATTGGACTTTAGGAAATAAGGAGATCATCATTATGACTTTTCTGCAAATGTCATGGCATGACAGGAAACATTGCTTCTTAAAACCTCACTGCAAATGAATAACAAAAAAATGATATTCGTGCTTCGAATACCTTTCAATACCTTTACTGTGCCTGGCATGCTTATTTTTCCATTTTCATCAAATGACACGTCTCTCCTGGCGGAACTCTAAGCACTAATTTGGATTTACCACCTGATACAGTCCTTTGATCTAAATCTAATTTTGTTACTTCATTGCAATAACACGATAGGTTACGTTGACTTCAACCAGTGACAACAGGCTGGCGAAGAACTCCTGCTACTTGATCAGATTTTTGAGACGCAATTTATCTCTAATACCTCCCTGGGAGAAGGATCGTTGTTAGCTCTTTACTAATCTTTAATCAACACTTGCATTCTCTTTCAATCTCAACAGGTGCGCAAAATCCATCTTACGTAAGGCTAAGCTGTCTTTAATCTGATTGCTTCTTCGTTTCAGATCTTAGCCACGATGAGCGACAGCATGTCGACAGGAGAGCAAGATGAGCCGGACCAAGCTATGGCTCTGGCCAGCGAGAGTCGGGGAGATCGTCAAGAAGCATCAGATTTTGCACACCAAGACGCTCGCCGTCTTCTTATGTCTCCCACTGAGGAAAGAACGGATGATCGTGCTATTAGTGAATCGTTAAGACGCGATTTAAGGCGATGTTCACCCAGGAGTAGTCAGACTACGTCGAGTATAGATTTGCGACAGCTCCCTGCCGAAAACGACTTGCGAAACGGGAGAAGAGTTGGTACTGAAAATTTGCCTAGGCGTCCTTCGTATTCACTGGGTAATGTCAGTGAGCTACAGAGATCTTCGACCAGGCCAAGTTGTGCAATAGAATTAACCCAGCGCACTTCAACCCCTGTTGCCAAAAACGGCACCACACCTTCAGATCAAAAGCAGGTATCTGCCCCCGTGTCTGTCTGTGATACTAACCGCAAACGTCTGTCTTTACGAGGTTTGTTACTCGAAGAATCAAAAGAACACTCAAAATCTCAGGTCCAACTTCACTCTCGAGGCCCACGTGGCCTCGGATTCGCGCCAAACAATCCCGCCAATTTTCGAAACGAAACTGGCCGAGACAACTCACGACGAGCCTTTTCCATACCCAACGTCTCCAATCTCAGGTATGCGCACGTCCGGTCGTCCTCCGGGAGCCATAATGATCTCAACAGGGATTCCGGTTATGAAAACTCTGACAATGATAGAGAAATGTCCACGCCATCTGACAATAACAGTGTCGACACGGTCAGTATGAATGAAACCGTGAACGAAGAACTTAAGGAGCCCTTGTGGAAAGAGCACAAGGTTGATCATCAACAGCAAAACGGACACCTAAATGGCCACGCCCAGTTTTGTGAAGAGAAAGATTTCTCTAAAGGAGATATAGAAAGAGGCAGCGAAGACGGTGGGGATGTCAACAGTTGTGAAAATGCGTCGGCAGCAGAACTTCGTAACAGGAGGAAAGAACACAAAGAAAAGAAAAGAAAGGACGAACTGGAAGAAAAATTAAGACGCGAACGAGAGAGACCTCCCCTGTGGTATTGTCGTTTGTTGGTGAAGCACCCAAGGGCCTCTTTCTGTGAGTAGTTTAGTAGTAGTATATTGCATTTTATTGGCTGTGGTATTTACAGTACTTGGGTGAAAATTGAATATGCAATAAGCTTAAATTTGAAACTAAAAAAAAAATAAGCAAAATGCAGATTTCATCTTTTGTCCTTAACTTGTAATTTCTGAAGGAATGATATCGCCGTGTTTGTTTAGAACAGGGACTAACCTCTTATAGTGTGCGTGTGTGTGTGTCTTAGTGTTTGTAGCTTGAGTGTGTGTGACAGGGAAACTGTCTGGGCCCAGCCACCCAAGAGTGCAGCATGTCACTTTAATCCAGAGAAGATGTATTCAAGCTATCTCATGTATTAAAACAGGACACACAATTTGGACACGCCTTACATAGTGAATTCATGCAACACGTTCATAAGTAGGGAAACTAAATGGTCTTGTAAATTAGAACCTATGATTAATTTTCCTTGTCTATCTTTTCAGTTTCCACTCTAGGCTGCCACGCCCTCTTTGTGATCGTGACCCTGATATTGTACTCCGCAGGCTATGACATCTTCCCGACGGAGTTCAATCGATTTCCAATGATCTTAAATAATGATGTAACCCGCCTGAGAGAGCTCTCGTGGATACATCGTAACAATGAAACGGACATCGGGAAAGGGCACCAAATCAACCGCTTCTCCCGAGAGAGCCTTATACTGTTCCGAAACCGCAGCGTCCATTTCGACAAATTGTCGCTGTACTATGAAGTGGAAGAAGACAAGAACATTTTTCGGAAGGAGATCTTTGAAGATATGAAGCGCCTAGAAGACGAGATCTACAACCTGACGAATTACCAAGATAAGTTCTGCCAACTGGATCTTCGGAACAACTGTGTGAAACCGATGTCCATTTTGCGTTACTTTGATGGAACTTATCAACACTTGCACCCAACTTTCTACGACCCCGACTTTGAAAATATCCACAAGGTCCTGTTTACCGCAGCTCATCATAATCAAACGAAGACGGCATTTCAGTTCTTCATGAGCGCCGACTCCTCGATAGACGCGAAAGGGGCATTTGCCTCATTAACACGCTCCAGTTTCCCGTTAGGTTGGCCGTTGCCTGGCAACGATTCCGATGATGAGAAAACTTCGCGTGTCCAAGATTTTCTAGTCAAAGACGTCAAACCAAAATTGGTTGAATTTGTGAAGGACAAACCAAATGGCGTAGATCTCATTTACTATGCTCTTATGCTATTTGCTCATGACGTACTAGATCAAGTTGTCTATGATTTAATTTTGGCCGTCGGTAGCTTATGCTTCATATTTGGGTTCATCTGGTTTCAGACCAGGTCATTCTGGGTGACCAGTTGGGCCGTTCTAAGCATTGTCACTGGGTTCTGTTGTGCAAATCTTATATACCGAATCGTCTTAGATTTTAGATATTTTGGGTTTTTCCACATTTTGGCAATTTTCATCATTCTTGGCATAGGCGCAGATGATATATTTGTCTTTTACGATAACTGGAGAGCGACAGGGAAGGTGAAGTATCCAAGCCTGTCACATCGGCTTTCTGATTGTTACCGAAGGGCGGCGGGAACCATGCTTGTGACGTCATGCACCACGATGATTGCCTTCTTCGCCAGTGCCGTATCTCCGATTTTGCCGGTGAAAACATTCGGACTATTTTCTGGACTATTAGTGCTTGTTAACTATTTGTCCGTCATAACCTTCTTTCCAGCTGTGGTGATAGTGCACCATCTCTACTTTAAGGGAAACAAAGCTTGTTGTTGCTGCGCGCCGAAGTCGAGCGAGGCGAAAACGCATTTAGTCAGTAGGCAGTCCAGTACTTCTACTAACCCACAGCAAGAAAAGAAAAAGAAAAATGTGATCATCAGATTTCTCAGCGGCAAATATTTCAAGTTTATTACTCACCCGTTCTGGAAATTTTGGATCCTGTTGTGCTTCGCGGCGATCTTGGGTGTATTCATTTACTACGCCAAAGAGCTGAGTCCAGACGAGGAAGAGGTATGTGAACTACAGTCTTGTAATTGCTAATTGGATTGTAAACAAGTTTATGTGTAAATATATAATTGTTGAGAACAGTTACTTGTAATACACAAATTGATGTCTGCAAAGAATACCATTTCAGTAATACCGTTTTAATTAGCAGGATTGGTTTTCAGTTTGTATCTGTCAATTTGCTTCTTTCCTTCAAGCATCTAACCACTTATAAGTCCATTTGTGAGATTAAATATGAATGAATGTAAACATCCAATTTTTGCATTTCGTCAGCTTAAAGAAATCAAAATCATTCAAAATTTCCAGTTGCCGATCTACAAGCCGTCTAACAACTATGGCAAGGCACAGAACCGCCGCCTTCACGCATTCAAACCAAGCGAAGAAGATCAATACGTCACAGTGTATTTGGTGTGGGGGTTGAAAGAGCGAGACGTTAGTGGCTGTCACCAGTCAGACTTCAGGTGTACAGGGAAACAGGTCTGGGATGATATGTTCGGACTCAATTCCCCACCGGCACAAATAGCTATGAAGGTGAGGCAACTTGACAATTTTTATTTCTCGACATGAAAACCATACCCAATTTTCCCAACCTCAAGGCATTCAGTTCTGTATACATTCCAGCACGCACTGTCAGGTTTGACATAGTTCCATTGAGTGGAAAGTTGCATTATATTCAGGTTAACTAACAGCATGTCATGCCTCGTGTATTAGAATTAATGCATAAGTAATATGTTATTAGAATTCAAATCTGACCATTACTGTGATAACTGTATTGTTATTTATCTGTTGGCGTGATGTTTGATATTAAAACTATTTTTGCAGCGGGCGTAAATGCTGATTTTACAAATTTCAGAATTTGTGTACCCGACTGAAAACCTTGACAGATGACGAGAGAGATGAATTAAAAGTCCGATTGGATCTTGTTACCAAGAAACCACAGATCGCTTGTTTCATGGATAATCTTGAGGCGTTTGTTAAGGTACGAAATGACTTTTTTTATCTGTCATACAGTTCAATGACACGCGAGTTAGTATTTCACATGATGTTCACTACTTCAAAACAATTGAGGGAGGGGAGTCTCTCATTTGAACCAAACTGCCAAACTGTCTTTTCTGGTTAAAAACAGTCAAAGTAGTATAGTGGGTTGGTTTCCATGCAGCTTTACTGGAACTGTGCCTGTATCTACTAATAATTCTGTTATCACTGGGTCGAATAACTGTTCTATTTTTGGCAGCACTTCTTGATGCTGTTTGGATGGACTTCTCATTTGCGATTTCTGTTTACTATGTTTGATAAATATGCAATATGCATGAAACCCCTGTTTAACTCACACATAAACACTGTAATAGTCAGATATACCCATTTGCACTTAATGCACCCAACAAACTGAGTCATAAACAACCCTGTCTATTTTCTTTATCACAAAACGCATACCCTGATCCTAACAATAACATAAGCAGCAGTCTACGTGATGAACAGGGTACAAAGTGCATTTTTTATTTTCCCTTCCAGAAAGAAGAGCTCAAAGATCGGAACCGCAGCAAATACACGAAAAGAAATGTCAGCTATGAGTACCCTCTGACCGAGACTAATACAAAACAGTTTATGGAGAGCCACCCACTTATCTATAACCTAGCCGAAATCAAGCGAACTTTTTATCGATATTTTGAGGTAATACTAAGCAACTCTTCAAATTTTCGTTTTTTTATGATACAGACTAGTCTTAAACCTTGGTTCATCAGTCATACTATGTAAGATGGAATAAAGGTTTATAAAAGGTCTAGTGCAAAATTCCCTAGAAGCACACAGAAATAAAAGAAAATTTTAAGTTACACTAAAATAAATGAGCTGATATTGTAAATATTATGAATCTAAAAGATGACAAATATTAACTGGAATTCCAAAAAACTAAGCACGGTTATTTTGTTAACATGTCCGTCATGTTTCTTCCAGATCTTTGTCTCTTATTGGTTGAGCGACGGGTACCGTATGACGCATACTGAAGACTTCAGCAATTACAACAAACTGATAGGCGAATGGAAAGAAGATGGTTACACCACTCCTGTTAGGATGGTCACAGGTAATGACAATGCTTACCAGGTGGTTGTATACGTATCAGCTAAAGCTCACGTCTGTTCAACATCGCTCATTTAGTTCACTTTTGTTCCCAAACTCATGTTTTTGGAAGAATCCATTTCAACTTTTGATTCTGTTGGCGATTCACGCATTGGCAAAAAACAGTTTCCCTTTTCTATTTGATATAAAAAAAATCATTGTTTCTATTTATTATTTTTAACTTAATTCTATTACATAATTCCCGACTGTGACCAATTTGTAGCAAATGCAAACGTTCTTGTTTACAAAATGATTTCATTTGCATTTAGTTAATATAATCTCCACCAATTGTTACCATCTGAATTATCCCAAAATCTACGGTGCATTCGTAATACATTTATGGCAGTCCTTTTCCCTTTCTCATTTCTTTTTAGGAGCCTATTATGGAACGAAACTGAAATTCATAGCCATCGAGGTGAATACCACATTAAATGCGCATGCGCTGGGATATGCTACGGGCCTGCCCATCATGGAGAGATGGGAGGACTTTATGAAAGAAGAGGTGGGTTGAAATAACTGACTTTTAATGTTAAATCGGGTAAACAGATGTGCTGAAAATGTGTAATCAATGGCAAATTTTATTGAAAATTTACACATTTGAGACTTGGTCTTACTGATGCTGTAGAATCGTACTGGGAATCTTTTAATGTCATTAAAGTAACAAAGTTGCGAAGAAATTGTAAGGAAAATTGGTTTAAGCTTGCCAAAGTATACAATGGTTATCTGTGTTCTGCAAAAGTAATTTTTATCGTTTGTCGATTTCAGCTGGCTAAAATGCCTCCAGAATTACAAGGCGGATTTCAAGTAACCGAGAATACGTGGCACTGGCTGAAGGTCCAGCAGAATCTGGCAAGCACGGCTCTCATGGGAATAGTCATTGGTATATCTCTTTCCTTCCCAATCTTGGTATTCGCCACACAGAATATCATTATGGGGTTCTTGGCAACTCTTACCATGGGTATGGTGACGGTGTGTGTGGTAGGAGTCATTCCAATGGTGGGCTGGAAACTAGGGGTAAGTAGGGTATCTAGGCCTATATGTTAAAACAGATACAGATGAACAGGACTCTCTGCAATTTTGTACATAAAATGCATAGCGTTGTTTGGGTTAATCACATTTATCACCAGTTTTATAAGCCTAGGGTGAAACGTTTATAAAATGTTTATGTGATATTTTAAGTAGCTCTTGTGGCACCGAATGCAATGCAGATAGTGCTTAAATTGAAGGCTCTTTTGAATTTTAGGTTTTGACATCCCTGAATCTCTGTCTCGTGGTTGGACTGGCGGTGGACTACGTTGTGCACCTCGCAGAGGGCTATCACCTGTCTCCACACAGAGACCGTCTTGGGCGCGTGCGCGACATGTTAGATCACGTGGGCATTTCCGTCCTATCAGGTGCCACCACCACTTTGGGAGCGTCCATCTTCATGATGTTTGCCGAAATTCAGTTCTACGTCCAATTTGGGATTTTCATTTTTTCAGTAATTGGATTTTCTATTCTGTTTTCTTTGTTGTTTTTTACCACTCTTTTGGCCATCGCTGGCCCACAAGGTGATACCGGCTCCCTCGCCCCTTTGGTAACTTTCTTTACACATCTTCACATTGGGAGAGACAAAGAAGACAAAGAGTGTGACAAATGCCAAGGTATGGGTTTCATCAAAAAGATGAAACTTGACGACTACCAGCAAGAGGAAGCAAAACCGTATATGGGGAGGGACAGCTCTAGGGTGACCATTAAACTCGCAATATTTGGCAATGACAACAAAGAAAAAGAGGAAGAGGAGGAGGAGGTCGCAAATATCACGAACGGTTCAGAAAGCTCTAAATTTTTGCATCTTCATGACATTCCCGAACATCGACAAAGCCCAATATTAGCCCTTCAACCGGGTGACGGGAACAACTAGTCGGAATCAGCTGACAGATCTTCATCATTCGTTTTGTTATTGGACTTCTTTTCACTCTACGAAAGAAACCATTCCAATGCTGTGTTATCACACAAAAGATAGCCATTACACCCTGATAATGTAGGCCTATGTCTGTAGGCTGCAAAGTCTGGAGGAGGGTTACATGCATGTTAATTACACAGTCATTTATATGTGGTATCAAAACAAGAGTTACAATCGTACTGCACGCACGCACACAAACGCACACATGCACACACACACACCAATTATCAGTTATAAAACATTTTGTAAAAAAAAGATCCGTGTAGGAGATTATTATATTGTTGACTTATTGATAAAGAGGGCCAAATCAGAGCAGCTGTAATTTATAAAATATTTCATTAGTTTTCATTTTATATTTTTCTGTGCATCAAATTCTTGTCCTCCCTCCTCCCAAAGTAACCCAGATGAAAATTGCAAAGTATGCTCAGTATTCTCTAAGAAATTTGCATCCCCGTGCGTTTGGTTAGTAAGGAGTAGACTCACAGCTGTGAAGGTATAAACCCAAGCAAACTGAGGTCAATAGTAATGATGGTTGCTTGTGCTCGACTAGATTACTATAACTCGCTCTCAAGTGAGGGATCAATGATTTTGCAGAGGGTTTTATATTTTTTTCAGTCCGAATGGTGAATACTTAAAAGGTCAACAGCTATTTCTGTGGGTAAGATTTCCAATACATTTTGCATTAAGGGAATGTGTAATTACGAGAGATGCACCGGCTTTGTGTATGTGTGTCAGTGAGTGGATGTTTAGACAAGATGTGTGTCGCTGTATAGACGTGTTTTGGTGACGCTGTTTTAACATTTTCAGTAAGCTGGTAAAGATTGCGGTTTGAATTTTATTAGCTGGTAAACCATTATTTAGTGTTACTCCTTATGTTATTTACTCGTGCGACTTGTATCGATCTGAAGATTTCTAAGAGGGCATAATGTTGGGAATTTGAAGTGTCATTGAAAACTCAGCTCTGTATTTTAATACTGGTGAAGTTTGCATAGATACAGTATGTCGCACGCCAACCTAGCATTAGATCTAAGAAACCCGAGTCACACTCTTTATGACATAACATTTAATTTCAACTTATGAGATTAAAAATTTACCTCATCAGGGATTTACGCCGACACGACCATGCAAGACGAACGATAGGCTTATGTTGGAATTATCAAAGGAGATTTATTAAATACTGTTAAACAAATGAAAACTATGTTAGTCTGTCAAAATATGTGGAAGCATTGTTAAGTAGGACGTTTATATGAATGTATTTCATGAACTGTATTATTAAATTTTGTTTACACTTTTTTCTCAGCCTCAGTATTATCCGAGTGTCCTACCACACTCTTCGAAGTACAATCATATTCGCTGGTACATTTCCTTAGTTATAATATAATGAAGCATCTTGTTGTTGTGCTAATATATATATATGGATACTGTGAGGTATGATCGTTGCACTACTGCACGACGCGGAAGACGGAAGCTTAGAAGTAGGGAGTAACATCACGAAGCGGTTTATAATTAACCGAAGAAATTGTGATAAAATTAGCGTAAACTCACAAAAGTCATAATAAGCAATGCAAAGCAGCAAAGATTTTTTGTCTCGGTGATTTTCACACTTTTAATGTAGTGTGTGTACATGTATATTATACGGAAAAGAAGTTCATTGTAAGGACATTTAATTTATTAAGACCTCTTTATTATTAGCGTATCTGTTGTCAGTTTTGATGTGAGCAGAGATTACACATCTGAGGAGATATTTTCTTCCCGAGAATTGTGTTACTTTTTTTTTGGACATTTTTGTTCAATTTTATTTTATGCTATTTGATTGATGTGTGACCTGAAGGTGCATCCTGCCACTATTTTGAATTAAAAAAAAAATAGTTGAACTGAAAGATTAGATCGCAATTTAGGATGTTCTTTCTAACAATATCTTGTTGGAGTTCTTGTACTCTACAAGTCGGAACAATATTACAACATTATTACAACGTCTGGTTTTTGAAATCACTTGAATTTTCAACAGCCCTAGAGTATTTAAAAAATTAATAATCTGGTGATGGGCTGGTGGTATTAGAAAATTAAAAAAGATAAGGAGTGAAATAAAGCAAGTAGTCTGAAATAGGCTATGCTACTTACACTTTCCCTTAGTTAAGCCATGTAATTGGGGGCAAAATTGTTGTGTTGATACTTATATTAATGTCTCTTCTTGCATTGTCATGTGAATGGAGTCAAGTGAATGGAGTCGAAGTTTGTCAGCACGCCTGTTCTTATTCTTTCTATTTATTCTATATATTCCAATAAAAATAACAGTATAAAAAATCGGCGTTTTTTGTGTGTTTTGATGCCACAATATACACGAGCACAGTCTTGAAATCATTGTCATAGTATGTGGTCGAACTCGAGTTGTACTTTGGACATGCAAATAGTGATACATCTAATTATCCCAACTGCGATGTGAAGAATTCCAGCGGAGATCGAGCACTCCTAGTTCTTTGGCATCCACTGTTAAAAGCAATTTTAATCCAACTTGAATGTTTCACGACATTCACTGAACTAGAAGCATGACTTAAAAAAACATAAGTGTTGCACTCGTTAAGAAAAGACCTTTGGCACGTGATTTAACTCCACTTCCTGCAGTTACAGTTCTACAAACATCTCTCTCTCATTACCTACGTGATATAATTGATACATGTTGGCTAGATTTTAAAATGGGAACCTAAATGCAATGAAGGCAAATCATGTTGGAAACGATATACAGAGTAGGAAAAGGACAATCTAGATATTATTAATTCATTTATTTATTTATTCACATGTTTATTCAAATTGTCAAACACTACCGTTTATTTATTTGTTTATCAAATCTCTGAACGAACTATGTGAACACATATGAAAAAATGCATACACCAAATGGTTGTTAGAACAATGGCTGAAATATAGCAATGTACTTAATCTTTCAGCACATCAGACTATTGCACTGTGAATGGTTGCAACGGGCCCCGAACCCCACGCCAAGGGGGTCGAGAGCAGGCTTCGTAGCCTGTTATTCCTTTAAAAAAAAACCCCGGACCCTCCCCCTTTCAAATAATCCTGGACCCGCCCCTGGGTTGTGAATGTCGATATAAATGCTACTCGAATGTGCTAGAGAAGACAAGACCGTGATACAAGCTGTCTCACACTAGATTATGAAAAGTATCATAAAAAGGACGTTGTTTAAAATGACATTAGCTACTGATATGCTGACAGAAAAGGCTCTAAAATTATATCCGCTATTTTAACGAAATATCGATCGACATGATATGTGTTTACCATCTTGATCCCGGTCTTTTGCTCACTGACGGACATGCAAGTAGAAATGATTAAAGCAGTAAGCCAAAGAAGAACATATATCTGTTCAGTTTTAAAGGGAACTACCTTTACTTGGTTTAATTTGCTTATGTTCGGGAAGTGCCAGAACTTTTTAAAAGTAGCTTTTCGTTTAACTTGTTTTCTACAATAACAAAAAAAAAAAAAAAAAACATCAGCATGAGCCTGGTGAAACAATTTGTGATTTTTTGGGTCCTTATTCTATCAATTACATGGAAGGGTCCAAGCCAGATGAAAAAGACATATCCAATGTATGATTGCTTCAAATAGACATTGTGCTCAGGCGGTGGCAAGACCGTTTGGACAAGTTCGTGGTGATGATTTTGTTTTCACTGTTTCAATACCTGTCCACTGTCATTGCCACTGTTTAAATACCTGGCTGGATACATGTAGTAGTAGTTGATAAGATTAAGAACCTTAATGTTACCGAGCAGAATTTGTAGTCACTAAGGCGACCGTATGTAGTTAAAAAAATAATCTCAATCAACATAATCCATACCGCGTTATAGAAAAAAAAAGAAATAGGAAAAGGAAATGGAGGTTTTCTGACAATTTATTATAATCCATTATTGCAGCACTGTGTACATGTGCTGCCCATTATGTGGAAAATCAAGAAAAAAGGCGGGGGATGAAAAAACTTGAAAAAGGACAGTAAAATGATATATCATAAGGATCAAGAGAAAAATTTCACGACACAATACAGGGGATTTTCTACCGCAAAGCATTCTGTTTCATGTTAAACAACTTTCAATAACTAAAATTTCAGTCCTCATAAGGATATGTCTAAATATTAAACTTTTATAAATATATATTTTATACAACTGAACTGACCGGTGAAAAATCCACTGTCATATACATGTATTCAGTATAGATATTCATTATGCAGAGCTACATGTATATCAATATTTCAATAAAAATATCTTCAAACCCCGTTCCTTGTCTTTTCGTACATTATATATAATATATCTATACATAATATAAAATATAATTAAGTGTTTAGTTCGTTCATTATTTTTACAAAAGGATTACAAGGATTTTCACATATTTTGACACATTTCTCACGTAAGAGAAGGAAAGTAGGTTTATGGCATATATAGGTACAATGGTGTCTGGCAATAAATATGAAATGTCCGTCGTTCTGCAAAGGACGTGAACAGCTGTTGAGGAGTTGAATAAACTACAACCTCTCCAATAAAAAAGATAAATAAAAATTATAAAACTTTACTTCGTCGGTGGGATAATAATACCTCCCAAATGGAGAAGGCATATATTTTATAAAAAATTTAACACTATTTGAATATACATTTAAACGATTATTGCCCCAAGGTCTGAAATAACATTAATTGTCTCTTCATTTTATTCAGTGCAGTTGTTGTGGAATCACAGAAGTAGCCATCAGTTTATCATACAAACAGACCTGGTGGAATCACAGAAGTAGCCATCAGTTTATCATACAAACAGACCTGCACCGAACAATTTTGCTATCTTCTTAACTATAGCACTCGTACATTTGTGCTCCGTGCAAATACAAGATTACACATCTATTTCTTTGTTTAAAGGGGTAGGTTATGCACCCATGGGGCGAGTAATATGATCTTATCACAATATCGTGATCTTAATACATTAGTATAAAATATCTCTTAAAAGAAAAAAATATCTATTTATTGATAGTATTTTGTTTGTTTGTTCCGGTAAGAAGTGTAAACAACTTGACTAATGTACACTTGATAATATCACATTAGAATAAAATATCTCTTAAAAGAAAAAAATCTAAGTTATTGATACTATTTTGTTTGTTTGTCCTGGTAAGAAGTGTAAACAACTCCTCGACAAATGTATACTTGATATTGTCTTACTGGCCGTGTGGTTTGATTATGGCTTATTTTTTACACAGATTGCTAATTACAGTTACAGACAAAGTATGCGCCTGTAATTTAACTCCAGTCCCTCATAGAGGGCACGATATCCCAGACTGGCGGTCTATCTACTTCAACACTCACTGGACATTAAGATACTATTTACACGACTTAACCCGTTTCTTTCTAACGCCCTGGGTTCACATGCATTAATGTGCATTTCACTTGTGCATGCATGAGGTGGGTTTTCTTGCCTCTAGATATCTGTTATCACGTCTTTTTTCTCATCATCACTGGCTGTTTGCCTCATGCGATACCATGGAATGAACATTATTAATCCACTAAGAATCAACGATGTGCCCCCAAAATAAAAAGACGGCTGGTAGTTGTGTAGTCCGTCGTACAGCCAACCTGGAAAAAATAAATTTAAATAATCTTCAAAGGAATTTCATATTTTTTTTATGTGTGTGTTTCCAAAACAGTAAAAATGCGGTTACCACTCTCCCTACAATAAAACTCTATGTTTTGCTTGTGGACATCAATATGTTCAACTGAGGAGCGGGAGGAATAGTTATAATGAGAGCACTGTTTGTGCGTTTCTAGCGCTTGACAATTCATTGGAATACNCCACGCGCCCTTCAAAAAATGCTCTTTTGATTTCGAAATAAATTTGTTTTTAACGCAAAGAAGTCCAATACCCCTTTCACGACTCGGTCATTGTACAGCATGTTATATTACTCTTTACCCTTTTTATTTGACACTGTCTCTGTTTCTCTCCCCTTTTACTTTCTCTTGTTAGAAGGAGGGCAAATAATTAAGCATTCAAAATATGCATCACCAATCTTCAGAAAAGAATGAGTGAATGAACCATTCGGCTCAGGGGCGGATCCAGAGCTATTTTCTGACAGTCTTCCAAATTATCTTTATTGATCCATCCTCATTTTTGACCGTCTTCCAATAGAAGAAATTAGATACCTGTCAATGTAAACTTGAAGATATGACCGTCTTCTGGAAGACCCAGAAGACGGCCTAAATCCGCCCCTGGGCTGGCCCACAACGTCCGACACAGCAGAATAAATTAAATAACAGCTTTCACAGATTTAACTGCAGTTAGCTGTACAGCGTCACTATATACATAATCCGCTGCACGCGCGAAGCTGTTGAACAAAAGGATAGTTCTCTATGGAAGACCTTTTGTTTACATTTATAAGTACTCTAAGGGGGCGTGCCTAACCAGGCGACAAGAGGATTAGGCTAGTCACTATATTCCGTCAAATTCGTTTAGCGACCCTATCATTATCACACTCCCTCTATTGTATTTTCTGACGTTATAATTGTATCTAATCTTCTTACGTTAGATGGAAAAAATGCACACATATATAATCTTATGACTGTAATAACTTTGTAAACTAAAGATATTCGAACCGATCTTTGACTCATTTTAAATACACACGCCTTTCAATAAAATTGATTACCAAATTTTTCATGCTATTACACGTACATTGGATGCACTTTTCCGATATCCTCCATGCCCACAATATGCCTAGTCCAACACTACGTCCACCTGTATTAGTAAATGGGTGATGACCGTGATGTGACTGTGTATAGTCAGTTTGACAAAGTGCCCAACTTTCAAAAAGAATTTTCAGAGAAATCAACGGATCTAACGTAGTATCGGAAAAAAATTCAGGGGAGATGCGCGAAATAAACGTTATAAAGATCCGAAGAAAAAAATGAAAAATAAAAAGAAAGAAAACACTTTAAGCATGAAGTTATGGAGGCCAAAAGCTATTAAGTGTTACAAGGGATTTGCTACTTACGACGAATTCAATAATAATAATAATAATAATAATAATAATAAAATAAATAAAACTTTCATCTATTGAGTTATATATTTCTGAACTCAATGACAAGTGAATGGACAAGTTATGGGTCATAAACTGTTATTTAGATAATGTACCAAAGCATACATGTACACGTATGGAAAAAAACGAAATGGGTGATAAAAAAAATCTAGCCATGTATTTGTTAAGTAATACATACAGTGCCGCCGGAATGTCCCCTTACCAAATGGCCGTATGGTTTCCCAACCCTGCCCCATATGGTCGAACAATAGAGGCCGTATGATAATTACAGGGTAGGGGAATCCCCAAGCAATCCTTATCGGACACCCAAATTAGTCGGTTCAACGAACACGGTCTGCCCCTTCTTAATTGCCTCACTTAAGGTTTCTATTATAGCTGATGCAAAGAGATTGCTATCGCAAACAATACCGGGTTATGTATCAACTGCAACATAAGACTCGAGTAAAGGCAAGTCAAATATTAGAACAAAACTCTGAAGAACAAATCAGGCTTAGTTTTAAAACACGTATAACAATTTTATTTGATGATAATAAGTCACGATCAACAAAAGCGTAGTTAAAATGGAAAATTTTAAATAGCTAATGCATCAAATAAATATCAATGTCTCATTACCTTTATTACATGTGTTGCTAGTTTAGTAGCCTGATGCACGACCTTCTCTCTCAAGTACCGCTGGAATCACCTTATTTAGGTGATTAATATATTTATTACTGTATAATACACTTTTCTGCGTTAATATGGTCATCTCCTCGTCTATAACGTTCATGTGGCGCAGGTCAACCTTTGAGGGACGTCCACTTCGTGGCTTATCTGCAATACCAAGCCCTTCGTCGTATTTCTTTAACGCATAGTAAATGGCTTGTCGCGACTCTTTATGGCCTTCATTTTCCATTTTTGCGGTCATGTTTTTAATTCGCACCCCTTGTTCTCGGAGGGCGATGATACGCAAACGCACGTAATCGCTAAGAGGCATCTTGGAATTGTGATGATTTGGAAAATTTGAGTGNAACGCATAGTAAATGGCTTGTCGCGACACATTATGGCCTTCATTTTCCATTTGTGCGGTTATGTTTTTAATTCGCACCCCTTGTTCTCGGAGGGCGCACGTAATCGCTAAGAGGCATCTTGGAATTGTGATGATTTGGAAAATTTGAGTGTCGATTTATACCGTTCACTTGGCAGGTGACACGATGGCATGGAAATCAGTGACATAAACATGTCATATTAAACAAAATACTTATTGGCCATTTAGGAAGTCCAGATACACAAACAATCCTGTTGACACGTGTCAGTTGATTTAGAATTATGTGCAATTGATTAGTTCGGATTGAAGAGCGTCATCGCAATGTAAACATTAATTTTAGACGACGCGTGTCACACAGTAGTGATTATGTAATAGTCAGGGCTTAATCACTGTGTTTACCCAGCATGAATAAACTAAAGCTAACCTGAACTGATTGTTAATTAATGTGAGATGACACGTGCCAACCAGTGAAGTTAGCCTGAGAGATTGTAATCCAGTTTTTTTAATTAATTTCTTTTGATGCGTTTAAGTATGAAGAAGGCTTTTGGTTAAGTTTGGGCTTTAGATCGTAAAGATGAACTGAATTACATATCAAACAATGATAGAGAAACAGTTCCTACTTTGTGTCCTACAGAATCAAGGAATCAGTCTTTCGGCCGGCCACCCCTCGCCTTGTCAAATAAAGAAATATTCGAAATTCGACAACGGGCCAGTTCCCCAGGCAACTTTTGCGTTCAGTTGATGGGAAGGTTGTTTACGATTGATGAACGAATACGAAAGGACAGATCTAGAAATGTTACGGGTGTAGATGGGAGAGATTCTATATGCAAATAAAGTCTGAACTATATTAAAGATATGGCTAACAAAATGTTTATCACTGAAACAACTGACCAATCTTTTTTGGAAATAAATGCATTTCGTCTATGAACAAAACTAATAGAAATATAAGGACATACTATAAAAGTAAATTTTAATCTTGTTAATAATACGTATATAGTAAAGACAGTTTGAAGCCAAATAAATATTACATGTACAAGTAGTGTTTTATTTGATCTTTGATAAATTGATAAATTCATTTATTAAACTCAATTCAATTCAATCAATTCATAGCTACAATGTACACGAAAATTGCTGTCATCACCGAATCTTTTTGGTAAAGTGACTTTAAAAAATCAATGTTGGCAAGTTCTTTTACTTAAAATCTCCGTATCAGAGTAGAGTGATCAGAGTAGAGTGAAGCCACCGCGCATTAAAGGTCAATTAACGCTTGGACGAGCACTTAATTGCGACCACGCTCACCTTCGATCTTTATCTCAGCGAGCTAGGGTTAGGTTCTTTTGTTAGCAGAAAGTTTGTCACGATAATTGCCCGACGGGCAGGGTATGGAACTATTGTTAACAGAAACCAAACAGCGTATGGATGACAATGTTATTTCCATAGTAACCGAGCCAGGCCGTCCGTACAACCCGCAGCGACCAGGAGGGTAAGTAAGGGGAGATTCCGGCGGCACTGTACATTTGTGCTCCGTGCAAATACAAGATTGCATATCTATTTCTTTGTTTAAAGGGGTAGGTTATGCACCCATGGGGCGAGTAACATGATCTAATCACAATATCGTGATCTTAATACATTAGTATAAAATATCTCTTAAAAGAAAAAAAAATATCTATTTATTGATAGTATTTTGTTTGTTTGTTCCGGTAAGAAGTGTAAACAACTTGACTAATGTACACTTGATAATATCACATTAGAATAAAATATCTCTTAAAAGAAAAAAATCTAAATTATTGATACTATTTTGTTTGTTTGTCCTGGTAAGAAGTGTAAACAACTCCTCGACAAATGTATACTTGATATTATCTTACTGGCCGTGTGGTTATGGCTTATTTTTACACAGATTGCTAATTACAGTTACAGACAAAGTATGCGCCTGTAATTTAACTCCAGTCCCTCATAGAGGGCACGATATCCCAGACTGGCGGTCTATCTACTTCAACACTCACTGGACATTAAGATACTATTTACACGACTTAACCCGTTTCTTTCTAACGCCCTGGGTTCACATGCATTAATGTGCATTTCACTTGTGCATGCATGAGGTGGGTTTTCTTGCTTCTAGATATCTGTTATCACGTCTTTTTTCTCATCATCACTGGCTGTTTGCCTCATGCGATACCATGGAATGAACATTATTAATCCACTAAGAATCAACGATGTGCCCCCAAAATAAAAAGACGGCTGGTAGTTGTGTAGTCCGTCGTACAGCCAACCTGGAAAAAATAAATTTAAATAATCTTCAAAGGAATTTCATATTTTTTTTTTATGTGTGTGTTTCCAAAACAGTAAAAATGCGGTTACCACTCTCCCTACAATAAAACTCTATGTTTTGCTTGTGGACATCAATATGTTCAACTGAGGAGCGGGAGGAATAGTTATAATGAGAGTACTGTTTGTGCGTTTCTAGCGCTTGACAATTCATTGCAATACTTAGAAAATTGTAAAATCTTATCCTAATTATCATTGACGTTTTGGCAACTAACCGATATTCGTACAAACACTTTTCCTTTCCAAAATACATGTAAAATACAGTAGATTCGGTATTTCAATTATAATATACGGGAAATAGTGACTTCTATTTCAGCAGTAGCTGACTGTTTTTTTTTCAATCTTTGAGTGAATAGAACCGTTAATTTTACAAGGAGAAGATAGAATATATATATAATGGTAGGGCCTTCTAAATACTGACCCGCAATTGGTGCACCGAGCATTGTCCCAAATCCTCCAAAATTCATAACCACACCGTATCCCACGGTGAGCCTCCTTTTCCCCAATATGGCTATGATAACATCAGGCAACAAAGTTCCAAATGCAGAATAACCAAGTCCATATATAACAGAACAGATTACCAAAAGAATGAAGTGGCGACTGATTGGGAAGAACAGAGTTGCCAGGCCGGCAATTCCGTAAGAAAGTGCGTAGTTCAAGGTGGGACTGCATTTAACACAACTAACGCTGACGATGACCCCCTGTAGTACTCGCCCGATTGTGTTAGAGATGCCGATGACTACGAGGAGAAATGCGCCTTGCTTGTGTGAGAAGTCCAAAACATCTGCGACATGCGGAAGGTGGACCATCACAACAGATAAGCCTACGCAGAATAAGAAGTTATTGATGCAGAGAAGGACGTAACTGAAACTCAAGAATATCGTAAAGTCAATAATTTTTGGCTTTGGGGTAGTGTCCTCCGTTGCCACTACTGGGATGTCCTGGTATCTAGGCGGGAGCTCATGAAGGACAGCACCGATACTCATTGTTTGGAGAAGAAACCCAGACTGAATCAGGAGAGATCCTCTCCAGCCGTATGTCTCGACGAGATACTCTATTATGTACGGCTGAGTCATCATACCGGCTCCTATCCCTGCTATGCTGATGCCCATGGCCAAACTTCGGCGGCGTTCAAAACTCAACCCAACGATGAATACCGACGCAAAGCAATTTATTCCGAAACCGAAGCCTAAAAAGAAAATCATATATATCTACAAAACTTGGTTTTAAGATGCTAATGTTCTTATCTAAAGAAACCCAATAAAGCATTTTTACGTATTGTTGTGAGTAGACCTAACGTGTGTGAAATGTTTTGCAATATCATTTTCTGACGTTTATCATGTCCCTGTTCTTATTTCTCAGGGTGATGGTAGGGCGATATGAGACCTAAAAATGTACAAGTACTCTAACACGAAAATTCATGCGTAGACAGTCCGACAGATATTCACGTTTTTTGATGTGCAAAAATGATTTTGTTATAAGTGTATTATTATTTAATTAAAGTCTGGCTTTCGGCCAACTCAGTTGAAAATGTCCATTAGCGCAACTGGATGTCCAATTTGATATAATATACATGTTATTTTGGACTGGCATGTGTGTAATCCATGAGTGCATTTAAGAACAGATGATCCGCGGACTAAATGATCTGCATACTAAATTAGTCCGAGCCCACTATGCCCCCATGCGTCCGATCGAACGGAGGAGACTGTGCCCCTGCAGGGACGACGCGTGGGGAGGCGCGCGAGAGACGGAGAGACCATCACAGGATTAAGCGGTCTTCCTTTCATGTAGTGTCCGTCGTATTTGATCCTTGGATCAGTTGATACTCGGACCTTCTGTTCTGAATGGCCTCTAACTAGTCCGAGGGTTAAATATGGCGACCCAATACAAAGCTTGCCGTCTAATCCTCTAATAGACACTGAATAGAAATCCCGTGGGGAAGTATTCAAGTGGGTCGGCATATTTAGCCCTCGGACTAGTCAGTCCACTGTTCTGAATGTCCTCCATGTGTGAATGTGCATAGAGCATAATGTGCATACTGGTAGCAACAGTGCTACAAACATTATTGATTATTGATAAAGCTTCTTAAGTTATATAATAGCTTGACGGTAAATGATGGGAGATGTCCGTTGTTATCTCAACAACATAAACGGTATAAATTACTCAAAGTAAATTGATTAAATGATTTGCAAAAGGAATCACATAATCGCTATGTGACAGGGTTTTCGGAGAGGTCACCCGCTCCAAGTGACATTAGCTGTTGTGCGCCGAGACTGTATGAAATGACAATGTCAGATTTCATGTCTGTTCATTTGATTAGTTAAAAAGATAAGAACTGTTCATTTGACCAAAAAATTAATTTTCTTGGGGTAAACAACAATTTCCCCATACTTACCAATGGTTAATGAATCCATTTTTACATTCAAAGTTAGTACCTGTTTTTTTTTCTAAAAAGTTTATTTGTGTGTTTGTAATAATCTCTTAAGAGATTATTACAGAGTATAGCCACCTATGGAGGTCACGTGGTCCGCTGACAAGCACAGATTTCTAGATCTCATACGAAGAGTTGTTATCCCTTTAACCATTTATAAAAATTGTATCTCGGTGCTGTGGTTAATTTTGTCTCTACGGACATTTTCAGCATAGGGTTAACTTCCGCGGTGGGTGTCTTGTTTCGCACAAAAGAAACTCAAACATGAAAGAATCTGAAAGGAACTCATCGGGTGATGCCAAAGTAGTTTATAATAATTTTCCCTTAAGGTCGACACGAAAATAAGCGTAAAATTGCCCTGTTGTGTTGATGCATTCATGTCACATCTTCAGATTTAGATAAACTTTTTTTCTGTATCACAGTTATGGTATGAAGATATGTAGGACACCGTCCTAGGTGACACTAACATGTGCAATGCAGTAATACCACATGCAGTCCTCTCCACTTTATGCTTGCTGTTATGCTTTCTGCGTTTTCATTAGTAGTAAAGCATATTGGTGACTGCCCTTTTCATGAAATAGGAAAAAAACACAATGCAACGGGTGGGGGGGGATGGTAAAGAGATTCTCCTATCGCCCGTTGTTATTGTTGCCTTTCTTTTATGTCCTTCTTAAAAATCTGTTGACCACAGTGCAGGTTCATACAATGGACGCGTTGGTAAAAATAAACTGTTATTAAAAAACTAAATCACAGAAGGTATTCAATTTCTTTCCTGTGACCTTGCAATACCTTTATTTTTCATTTTAAGAACCAAACAACTAATCTAGCATCACGGTGCAATTTAGTGTATCATTAAATTGTTGGTCATTATAAAGTTCACTAAAGGGTCTGTGTCCTCTTGCCAGTGGCATGAAGCAATAAAAAGATCCCCAAGGATCATTCATAACAACTTTTCAACTTTTTTGACTTTGACAATTAGAAAAATACCCACCCTCAAAGATCCAAAAAGATTGCACTACTTCTTAAGAAATTAAGTAGAAAAGCAAAATGTATTCATCATTGTAGGCATACGGGGTGAACTTAACTGACTGTCACGCAATGGTGACGCGTAAACAACATTACTAAGCTGGATGTATGCCATTTAATTTTTTTGTGGGTGGGGTTAAGATTTAAACCTCAATGTAAAAAGAAATAGTTTCGAGACAAACATCAAGGACAAACATAGCTGGTTTGTCGTCAGCGTCGAATCTGTCTCAGTAGGAATCCATTGCCTGCAACATTTAATCTGTGTGGTTATCATTACATGATCTCTGACTGGTTTCTCAAAAGACGAGCGATTTAAGTTTGTACAGACGCGAATCTACCTATTCAAATCCAGCGAAGAGCTTATTCCCATTCACTTGCCTCTTACGTCTATCTTACTTAAATGTCTAGCGGCTGCCCGTCGACAATATTGCACTAAAAGCAGTGAGCGACATTTCTTTTGTACACTGCAAGAATTTCGCTTTATCTGACCAACCATAGGCACAATAGACCTCTCCGTGAATCATTTTCAAGATAATCTAAGCGATGATTAAATACAATTCAATCTCCGTACGCAATGGGTATAGATTAAATGTCGCATTTTGGTGCCACATATTTTTGTCGGTTGCTTACGAAGGGCTTAGCCATCTCTGCCTTAAAAAAGATTTCTGTATTTAAGAAAGAAACTTATAACATACTACTCCATAAAGTACACTATATAAGGGATAAATCCATCAAAATTAATTTTTCTCGGTAAAAAGCAAATTCTCCTATTTACGAATTGTTCGACCCGTACCTACACTTGGATTAGATTTTTTATACCATTTTAATTCATCGTTTAGTAGTAAGTGATTGACCAGTCGTTTAGAACGCCATGTCTATCTGTATTTAAAAAAATCGACATCAGGTACTTTTATTTGAGGGGTTGTATAGTTTTTAATGTCTAACCTTGAAAAGATGAGTCGCTTTGTAAACATAGAAACATGATTTTGGGAAAGATCTATACCTGTGATTATTCCAAAACTGACATACAAGTACATCAGACTTGTGGCAAAAACGCTGAGAAATAGACCCACGGCAGCGATAGCGCCTCCGAGCATGGCCGTCACCCGGCAACCGAAACGATCCACGATGACGCTGCATACTGGACCTGCAAATAAAACGCCACCTTTATAATTTGAATTTTTAAAATTTTTGTCTACAATAGTTTACAGTTCGCTATTTCTGTAATATTGTCTTATTGTAGGTGATGAACAAATTCTAGGAATATAGTGTAGAGTAGTTAGGCCTAATGGTGTTACGGACTATGAAAAATATTGTTATGTATGACATGTGAAATTTAGTATTGGATTTATGTTCAATTCCATCTCAATTTATCTGCGTTTTGTTTCACTCTTTTCTGTAGATTCAAGTGCATCTGCACTCCAGCAGTGCATGTAGTTCTCAAGGCATAGGTTGGATTTACCCTTGAATCTTGTCAGCAGACAGACAGACACACACACACACACACACACACACACACACACACACACACACACACACACATATGCCAAGCATAATATACCGTGTAGATCAGCATACTTTCAAGTCTGAGTTTTTCGCGACCCCCAGTGGGCTCTCAGACATACCCTGGACTAATCACATTGCGTTAATATGTTGAAGAGTGGCTCAGCAGCAACCTCGTTATCAGCCCATATACTTTCTCAGGTGAAAGATCACGGCGGTCATTTACAGGTACACGAAGAGTTTTTTAATGCCCGCCATTCCAACCTTATAATATCCTCGTCTCAAGGTAACGAAGTTCTTGGGCTTGATAGAGTGTGAACTGGAGAGAGGGGGAGAGACGTCATTTTCATTCCTCACACTCTGAACTGATATAAAGGCACTGATTCAATCACTCCCTAGCGCTCTTCCCGACATCCGACTTGCATGGACGTGTCCATTTATTTTTGTATGTAGCTTAGAAAAAGACCACAGTGACAACAATAACAATAAAACACATGCACATACAACTTTTACCAAGAGGTTTGCACTCTCAAGCCAAAGGTACGTTGATTAAATAGATAATTCTGGCACTTTGTCCCATAAACGCACAGTGCACTTAAACTGATATATATGTATAGTAATGCATAGCAACTTCATACTTGGCTTTCTTCGTCCAAAATGTACATAATGTAGCCTACCCATAAAATGTAGCACTCGTTCTGAGCTTACTTATGCCCCAGTTCTATTAAAGTGCATTGGACGGCTAACCAAATGTCGCTAAAATCGGGACATAACTACTGTAAGCTCAGCAGATATGCTATATTTTATGGGCGCGTTTGCAACGAATATGTTAACTTGAAACGATGCGCGACCACAAGAACAAATGGTGGTTCGCGCATAAGTCTGGCATCCTACCAAGACATTCATGTTACTCATCTGATTATAGATCGCCTTTGTAATCACCTAATGAACATAAGTGCAAAGACTGCCTATACTCGTCTCCAAGGCAAAATTTAGGCGGCCTTCGAAATACAGCCGTACCTTTTCACGTCGTGACCTTCAGTTTAGAGCATTGGTTATATTGGTTTTGTCAAAGCATTCCCACTGTTGGTCACAAAATTCATAACTACATTGTGATATTGATAATGATGGACCTTTTTGAAACTTTGTTATGTGTAATGGGCAATCAAAAAGTACATAGCTAAAATTCTGCCGTGGGCATGACATGTGCACGTCACATAGGGCCTAATACGCATGCGTAAAATTCTAAACACAAAAGATCCACTTTCAGAAAGATCCACGTTAAAAATGGCCAACCAATAAAAGAATAATTAATCCTGTTCGAAGACATCCTTCGTGAATAGATTGAATAAATAAAAATGGCAATATCTGCAAATGGTTATTTGTTCAGTCGATATTTGCCAAACAGTATGTGTAATGTACAGGTGCCCTCTAGAATCATATAATTCGAAGATATATTATTAATCTCCTTTTTTGAGTTCAAACATAAAAGTTCTCTGCAACAAATAAAATAATTTGTGAATACTTGGAATATGATGACACACCAATTTAAAATTTGTATTTTGTTTATTCTGAATCAGTTGGGCTGGTGTAGTATTTCGCCTAATATTTTGGCTCAGGAGGGGCGCAATATATTTTGGTTTGTGATACACTCCCTTTACCTGTTAATAACAGCATGCCATAATTGAGGGATCCAACCCATGCTGTATCTCCCACACTTTGCTTGAAGATCTCTAAGAACTCTTCAAAGTAAACGCCCATGGATGCTGACAGCCCATGGACGAAAAAATGCGACATAAATGCTGCGATCACAATCAAGCATTGTCTTATTGTTCGCTCTCTAGTCCCCATATATTGAGTGTACTGAGGAAGGTTTTTTAGTTCAGATTTCTGTTCAGAAAAGACAAGGCTTGGATCGGATGCCAGGAACAGTTTTTCCTTTTCAACCCCGTTCTTTGCAGGTGGTGTGCGAGGGTCGCAGATTATCGGTGCTGAGCTGTGTAGTGGAATCGCCTTTGTTGAGGACTCCATGGTGCCACTCGGGTGTGGTGAATGTATCCTAGAGTACCAAACAACACATCTTTATAGACATTGCGGCCAGGAAATTTGGAAAGGATAATTAACGTAAGCGGGAAAAGCTTATGGAAATTTCCTAATCGGTTCGATCAGGTTATCCAGGGCCTTCTTCCCAGTCTGTTCCCCGAATAGATGCAAAAAATTGGCCTTTACTGAGAGCGTTACAACGGGTCTGGGACCCTTCCAAATTTCCTTGTCCTGCATTAATGCCATACCTAAACGCAAATACGATAGCAAGCTATACCTAATGCACCCATTCTAGTTACCTTTTTGTATGTGAGTATAAAAGTAGTGCATAGCTTTATATACTGAATAATCAACATAAAACACACCGCTAACATTGTATCTGAAATAATTCAAGGTTCCGTGAACTACGATAGTTCCCAGAACTGGTCAAGGATGCTTCCAGGTATATGTCAAAGTATAAATCATTGAGCTAGCCAACAGGTCTCTTCTGTACACTTGAGATTATACAGATAGCACACACCAGTCACGTGTACCAGAAAGCAGCTAATACAGGTGCCTGTAAAACAGGTGATTATCATTCATGCTCTTCGCATATACCTGGTAGATGTCTGTAGAATAAGGTTGGAATCATACCGCTGCAGAAAAAAAATGAACTGGAAAAAAGATACGGCCAAGTGGCATGATGATGCTCGTGATACACACAATTCCAGATCTCTCTCTGATATCATACACTATCCCCAATCGGTGCTCCCCATTTCCAGCCACCTGCATTAATTCACTCTCATTATTTTATATACATTTAAATACACAGTGCACGCCATACTTTCTGGTAACTCAATACAAACAAAAATACAGGATAAAATAGCGTAGCTTGCATGCTGGTAACCTGGTAATATTGGCTGCAACATAAGTTTTGCACAATAACAATGTGTCGCCTTTAATGTAATATCTTTTATAATGTCTTGTTGAGCAATTACCTATGGTTTAACTCTATAAGATAGATATGAGCAGTTAATATTGTAGAGAAAACACACTGTCCACAAGGTGGAAACTTACAGTGTGTAACGCCCGCAACGGCACTTGCAGAGACAACAAGGACAGACGCTGGCGACGGCTATATGTACACTCACATCAGTGTTTGCACATAAAATATTTTTCATAGAGCCCTGATATATATATATATATATATATATATATATATATATATATATATATATATATATATATATATATATATATATTAAAAACAGAAAAATATGGCTTGTTTTTGAGGTTACGGTTTAAACTGCACTTAACTCCGAATAGAAAATAGATACTCAACAATAAGAGGAGTTGACAATTCTTTGCGCAGTGTCTACGGCGTTCTTTGTGTCAGAAGTGGCGTAAAATTAGCCTCAGGCCGCACGCATAAGTTCAGACATAAACTAGTACGCATAAACAGATACTGTTCATAGGAACATTAGCAGGTCTGATCTTCACCTGTAAATTGATGCCCATCAGCTCAAATTCATACAATGGCAACCAGTGGACTGTCCGAGGCTATTTTTGAAATTCATTAAACCTTATATATTGCCAAATGGGATCCATTGGGCGGCATTCTCTGATGCTGTAAAATTGCGTTTTGGGCGCAGACAGTATTATCCTTTTGCTTTTTTGATGTGGGTTTATCGACAAATATATGCAAGAATACTGAGTGCAGTCCACTCTTACCTGTCAACAACAAAAATAACCAAAACTATTTTTTTCGAAAAAAAGCACCTTCTTATATAAATAATTAAAATGTTATATATGGGCATCATGTTCTAAGAAAATCGTTTTTCATGTGATATGTTACGTATGGTTTACCTTTGAAATTTGCAAACAATTCACTGTCCTGTTAATTTATAACATTTGCGGTCAGCACAGACAGGTTTTATTTTGCTTTTGTTAAATTATTATGAGATGTTGCGATAAGCGATGTCAGCTTTGAAATAGCACTACTTACCCCGGGTACGGCAAGCGCAGAGTGTGGCGCACGCTTAATGGTGTGCTGGCCTAAAGGAAGCCAAATCCCATGTCCAGATCTTGTTCTACCTGGACCAAACTGGTTAGAACTAGATTTGGTAGTCGTATATTCACCCCTGAATGAACAGGGCTCATCATTGCTATTTACTGCCATTAATATACAAATAGGACAAGGCTGTCAGCGCTACGTCACGACTATTGTAAGAAATGAGGCAATATCGGTAAATCGTGTAAGGTGTATTTAGAAACTGTTTCATGATCATTGTTTTTATTAACTTCAGCTTGACACTGCTGGAACAGTTCTATGACCGTAGTAGGCTGCACATTTACCTGAATCATAGCCATTTATCACGTGCCAGTTTTACGTGAACTAGAAAGTAAATCGGTGTACACTGCGCCATTTGTTACATCTGCCTCAAACCAGTTTGTTTCGTAGCAAGGGCAAGCAGGCAATAAATAGTCATAAGCAGCCGAATGCTTTTTATGAATTATTTTGAACAAAGTGTTTTAATGTTGTATACGTATATTGCAGAAGGCACTTGTCGTCCACGCCATAATAAAATATTTTGCAAAAAAAAAAAAAAAAAAGGTCAGGAGTGTTAGGATACAAACTGACAAGATCACTTGCATAGAACTAGCACGGCTGAATCGGATGAAAAAGTAACAGTACAGTGGTGCCAATAAGTGCTCACTTCCTTTTTTCCCTTGTGTTGTAACGGTCCACAATGAGCCATACTGAGCGGTACTTAATGCCCCGTTTTTTTCTGGGTATTTCAGCAACTAGGTGTGGCTTTGCACATCTCATTGCTAGTCTGATGCACGCTGTTATCAAAGCACCCGTGTGCGATAGCGTGGTAGCTAAGGGAACATAACTGTCGTCTTTCTTTTTGTTTACAGGTTTCAAGCAAGCGCGGTTTGTAGAAACAATAACAGGCTGTAAACCTTGCATTTTCACCATTATTTACTGTAACTTCAAGTGAACATATCTGTGTGTATTATATTGGAAATGGAGCAAATAAATTATTGAAAGCTATTCATCGAGTAGCACGTGATGACCTTGAACCATTGACATGATATTGCTGAAACCCGCAGTGATGAAATGCAGGACGTGTTCCATCAACTTAATTAGACATCAACTTGGTAGCACGGCGGGCAGCTCATTAATCTGTAGTACATGTATATATGTATCGGGGTAAGCTGGTCATTCTGCCAACCGTTATGTATCGCCGAGTTCACCGGCCATTAACTCTCTCTTTCCTGTTGTTTTGAAAACGTATTTTGGTAATTATTGTGCCTGTGACTCAATTGTAACTTAATGTTAGATGTCAGATAACTTAAGACAACTAGACTATTGAATTTGATTTCCCTACACTTGCATGTGATCGACTTTCTGTAAAATCAAATGGATGAGGTTTTAAACTGCACTGCTTGACAAGTGATAATATCACATATTTTCTTTTTTTTCTGGACTTTATTACAAGTTTTAGTTTGACCTAAATTGATTTCGCGACGGGTGCCAGAGAATCTTTTCTCTATATTGTTTCAAATCCTTCTCAGTCGTTTTGAATTCAAGTGACCTTTACCATAAAAATGCCACCAAAACACGGGCTTGTGTTGGTATCGCTATGACCATTGTATTCATATTAACCTACATGTAAATAACCAACAGGGGTTATGCCCATGGCCGCCAATATGGTTCTAATTACCCTAAGAGAAGGCGGCGAAGGAGGCTAAGGGTCGAGTATCCTCTCCTCGTCTCTTTCACGAAATAAGTTTGTACTTTTTCATAGACCTGTCTCACAGTCATGTATATTTTGTGTGGTGTATGTTATTATAGCAGCAAGATGTTTGAAAGTATCTTTATCTTCAATGTTTCTCCCTCTGATCTCAGTAGGGCTAGATTCTTTTTTATTTAGCCTCAACACCTTGGTTTTGTCTGTGTTAATTTGAAGACCTGTGTTTTCAGCATGTCCTTTTTTCCTGCATGTGCTGGTTCTTACTAGTACTAGATAAAATGTAGGAGGGCATTATCATCAGCATAATCCAAGTCCTCAAGCAGGGTGATAAAGTTCCTTCTTCTTCTTCCGCTGGTTGTTTTCCTCATGATCCAACCCACAGCAACAATGAAAAAGAACCCTGGCATTACACAGCCTTGTCGAATTACAGTTTTGACCAAGAACCACTGTGTTGACTGTCCGTTGTTGATGGCACGGCTACTGCTTCCACTGTACACCTCTTTGATGATATCAATGAAAAGATTAGGGATTCCCTAAGACAGGACCTTCCAGAGCTTCTCCCTGTTAACGCTATCGAAAGCCTTACGGAAGTTGATAAAGTTAATGTACAGCGGCGATTGGCACTCAATACATTGTTTGACAATATTTCGCGATATAAAAATCTGTTCAGCTGTCCCGTGCCCTTTTCTATATGCTGCTTGTTCATATCTCAGTTTTTCTTCTACTCCTTTCCAAACCCTCTCTTTAATAACTCCGCAGAAGACTTTTCCAGGTATGGAGAGCAGTGATATTCTTTGTCAGGTGTGTCAGTACCAATTAATTGACTGTCTTGTCTGTAACACGTCTGCATTATGTAATGTGCGATAATTTCATTGGGCTGATCCTAGAATGGCTTTTGGAGAGCATGCATTGTACTGTAGTAGTTCTGTTAAGAAACTCTCTATATTTCGGTTATGCCTGCATAGATGATTTTGAAAATAACCAGTTTAACGGTCGGGTGAATTCAGCGAAACAGTGTGTCACAGCATTGCTGTTATGCACCAGACAGGTTATTGTGTAGCAAGGAACGATCGGCACAATCTTTCAGAGGTATGTCTAGACTGGTGTACCTCCGCAGAAGCGATGTCTAGGGCATCCACAACTTACCACCAGGAAACAGGATCCATTGTTCTTACGGTTTTGCTGCCGTAACTAAACAAAGGCAACCTGTTCGCTTCACAATTGCCATCGAGAGCGATTTTAACTAAGGGCCCTTTGCGAACACTAGACTGGTTTTAGCAGGTTACTACACTATAAGACTTCTGAAGAAGTCGCTGTGAACAGCACAACATTGCCGACTGTTTTTCTAATGAGTTGGGCAGCATAAACGGTGGAGCGGACAACATTGGAAATCATGCGGCTCTCACTTTTGAGGTCAGATTTCATCTGTACCGCCAAGGTGGGTCAAATGTGAATTCACAGAAATCCGAAGAGGCCAACGATGAAGCGTGTGTTGCTCCTAGAGTGACTGACGGGGATGACAGCATCAGTATTTCGAGTGGAATTCACATTGGTGCCAAAACACCAATAGTAGTCATCGATGGAAACCTTAACCACGTCAAATACAGGAATATTGTTGAAACCACGAGCCTGCATCCCCCCTTTTTTTTTTGGGGGGGGGGGGGGAGGGTAGGCACCTCAGGAATAATTTTTTACCAATGTCCGTCCACACAGATCCTATGTATTAGCAGATTACTTTCAGAGCCAATTATGTAATTAAGATCGCCAGATTTGAACCTTACAGACAATCTGTTAGTAGTCATTATAATAGTCCTATAGTACACCTAAACCAAGTTGGACATGCTCTGACCGATGCCAGGAATTTTATTTCAGATCAAAAACCTGTCAGAAGGAATGCCTCCCACTCGAGAGCCTTGCTGGTGGTCACATGACGCCAGACCCACCACTGTCCGTTACTGTGACTAGACACCGACATGAGCGTCCTTTGAGGATCGTACAGCTTCTTCACAGACGAAAATGAAGAATATATGGAGATCTAAATAACGCTATTAATGATTGTTGTATTTTTGTTAGCTTCATAAGGAACTGATGTCACAGAGTGACTGAAGAGATTGTTAAAAGTTTTTAAAACACGATTTGAATAATTATTTTCAATTATCAGTCAGATAAAATAGGGAAAAAACGAAGAAAATGATTTATTATTATTATTATTATTACTTTAAAGAATAAAAATAAGCTGCTTGTAATATATAAATGTATTATAAATATTTTAGTATCAAGTGACAATATACATTTTCATACTTGAATGATTGCAGAATTACAATTAAGTATCACAGAGTATCACAGAATTGCCGTCTTAATTTTTTCTCACATTAAACATGTATGTAACCTTTATAGCATAATTTAAGGAAAGTGAAACCAGATGTCTTTAACAGAATTTATATAACACAGCCTCATAAACCACGCTTGTTCTTGTCCTGTATGGCATGGGTACCCTTTTTCCATTTCCATCCATAGATATTCAAACCGAAGATATTCTATTAGATCTGACAAGAAAAAAATTCATCTAAGACAACATTTCTCACATACAGTAATATACAACAATTCAATAATGAAAACAAAATATGCTATAAATGCTGTATTGAATTATTTTTACATAATGATATCAAACATACCCATATAAAGAGTTAAAGAAATGAAAATCATTTAAAAATTAAATAATGCTAAAACAAATTTATATATATTCTACTCACACAACTAATATTTCTTCCGTAGGGACCTTCTCTGTCAGTATGTCAGGGATCACCTTTTCACACTCAAGGAAGCCTATTGTGTTTTTCTTGGTACTGTTGGTTGGATAATTCTCAAATTTCCAAGGAATAAACATGATCAGTCCACTGAGTGTAAGGGCCCCACCACCCAGGTAAAAAGATGGCTGGTAGTCGTGTAGACCGTCGTATAGCCATCCTACAATATATAAAGTTATACTGATACGATAATTACTCCGTTATATTGAGCGATCTTTTAAATATTTTCTAGTATTCGACAATTCCTCTGTTCACTTCAGAGCTGCATTCAATAATTTTTGTGATAACTAGGTCATGAACAAGCTCATTTGAAAAAGAAATAGGATCCCCAGTGAACCGGGTCACCACTAAAATCTAATCACTATTAAGTCTCTGTTGTGATCCGGATCATAATTTCTTAAGCATTTTTCAATGATTTCTTCATCATTGCAAAAAAAGTTTTAATTAATGACCTTGATCTTGTGAAATGGATGTGCTCTCAACTACCACAATTTATCAGTGCAGGATCTTTGGCGGAGGTCTACAATCGCAGAGTGCGTTTTTTAGTTATGTGTATGGAATTAGATTTAGTACAATAATAACTTGTAAATAAAACAAACCTGCCAAAGGGGCCCCCAGTGTTGTCCCTATGCCTCCAAATACCATCAACATCCCGTAGCCAGCAGTAAATCTGTCCTTTCCTATAATCCGTAACAGAACATCAGACAACAAAGATCCAAACGCAGCGGTGAATAATCCATAGATAACAGAGCAAATAACCATTACTGCATAGTGACCGGAAGATGGATAAAATAATGTAGCCAAACCAGCAATCACGTAGGACAGTCCGTATAATAGGGTGACATTGACGAAATGTAAATTGCCTACCACACCCGATAACGTGCGTCCTATAGTGTTGGTGATTCCAATAATGGAGATGAGAAGCGCACTCTGGTCGTGTGAGAAAGACAAGGTGTCTGCAACGTGTGGTAAATGGACAAGAACCACAGACATCCCCAAACAGAAGAGAAAAATATTGGCAGTGAGAGCAACATAATTGAAATTGACAAATATGCCCAAATCTATGATTTTGGGTTTTCTTTCTGAAGCCCTTTCACATTCTGGCGAGCATGTCATATATTTAGCAGTGGGAAGTTTCATGAGGGCACCACAAACGACGCTCTGTAGCATCAGTCCTGCTAGAATCAGCATGGATCCTCTCCATCCATAACGGTGAATCAGATACTCGATCAGATATGGTTGCACTACCATTCCGGCGCCTACTCCTGACATACTAATCCCCATAGCTAGGCTCCTGTGGCGATCGAAGGCAAGGCTCACAACGAAAACGGTGGCGCTGAAGCAGAGTCCAAAGCCGAACCCTACAAAATGACAATACTGTACATGTATGTAATCGCACATCAGTAGATATTTAAAAACAAACGCTTCTTCAATACACATACACAGCATCCAAAGGGGAATATCTAACGAATAATTTTCTTAACTCAGTGAAAAGTACAGAAAAACAGGGTGCATACAACTCTCTGGCAGCAATGCGGAAACTGGAATTAGTATCGTGTCAAGTATGCAAAACTACGGAAGCGTGTAAGGTCCACAACACAAAAATCACAACACAATAACACACAAAAATCTCACAACACAAAAAGAACGACACAATAACATGCATAAATATCTGCTCCTTTTTCTGTTTTGGGATTTGTGTATGTTGTGTCGTTCTTTTTGAGATTTGTGTGTGTTGTTGTGTCGTAGTGTTGTGGCCCTTACACGCCCCTGTACGAAACGTCAAGTTGGCACAGCACGATCATGCAATAAATACCTGTTAATATACCAAGTGTAACGTAGAGATACGAAATACTGGTAGCAAAAGCGCTGAGTACAAGACCTGCGCAGGCAGTGAGACCACCAACCATGACAACGACACGGCAACTGAAACGCTCTGACACGATGCTGCTGACTGGGCCTAGAAATATAAGACTAAATTCGGCATTAATTCAGTAGTAAAATTAGAAATGATCAGTTTCGTGTGACTGTGGTTAAAAGCCGAAGAGAATTCTCTCTCTCTCTCTTTTATGTTACATTTCAAACTCCTCCATCAAACCATAAATAGTGTGACATCTGACTTGTTACAGCATCTGTATCCGCCTTTGAACCAAGAGAGATGATAACATGTATAGAACTCTTCCACCTGCTGTTTAGATAAAGTAAACAAACTATACCGGCTCAATTTCATCACTGTTTATCTTTTCCTCAAAATTATTTAAATTATAGTGCCTTTTACCTGACAAACAAAGCATGCCAAAATTTAATGACCCCACCCACGCAGTGTCGCCAGCTCTTTGTTGGAAAACATGAAGAAATTCTTCGAAGTATACACCAATTGAATAGGCAAAGCCACAGACACAAAAAAAGGTGATAAAGGCGGCGAAAACAATCAAACACTGCCTGATCTTCCTCTCTTTTTCTCTTGGGTCAGTTGAGCAAAATGTTTGCTTGCCGTCCATTGGATCAATTGCCAAAGCCCATTTTGGCTTGCCTCCACTCAATATTGTTTCTGAACGATGCAATAAAGACACTGGATGTGGGTCGACTGTATTCGACATAGTTGGCTCCTCATCCTGTGGGTTCATCGTGACACCAGCGTTTCTGTTTAATGGGATTCTCAAAATGTTAAATGTTATTGTGAACGTCATTGCTTTAAAGAAATGAAAAAGTGCAATGCACAAAAGAGCACAAACCTGTTTTGAATACCATAAGAAGTAAGTTTTTGTAGCACATGGATATACAACCTTGTGCACCTGATATCAATTAAAGTTTCAATAACAATGAATACATTCATTAATACAAGAGCTGTTATATGAAAAACTCAGGTGTATATTCAAAATAGTATTTACAGAAATAAAAAACATGCTATAATACTTGTCAATAGGCATGTACACAAAGTGATACCTTAAATGACTAAACGCCTTATTCGAAGATGACTAATGCACTTCTATTCCACACTGGTTAGAGAATATATAGAGGCAACCACACTACCATGCGTCAAAAAGACTAATGACAACTGTACGTATAAACATTTCGTACTCATTTATTCGCAAGATTCATATATCCTTATGAACTTGGCAACTACTTAATTCTCCCCCGTCTGCATGACTTAAATTCAGAGACCGTTGCGGTTGTCTTACTCTTGAAAAGTGGGTGTTAACTCATATTGTGTGCAGACAGTGCAGTGCAAACTATAACTTCCTTTTGAATTAGGTCACCGTTCTTATTCATGTGGATCTGCATTTTCCCAGGTACCTTTGGTCGTTATTGCTATATAACCTATGACTGACTTAAATATGAAAATCAGGTCAGACATATTGAGCATAATAATCGTATTCATCTGCAATGCCTGTAAACTACCCTGATTACCAGGATATCTTTGATAATTGGAAAATTTCCCGAGAAACAACAGGTTATGCCGTCCTTCGGTCGTGAATGACTGCTCATCGACAATGAATTGAGGCAAAACATAAATAAAGTTTTATTTTAAACTTAATAGATGGATACTTCAAATTTGATATAATCAATTATAATAAGTTCAAAGTAACGGTTATATATTACAAGTGATCTTGTTGGTACGCCGCCACCTGAGAGTCTTTTTTATTTCTAATTATATGTAAAAGAATTTCCATGTGAAAATAACGGAATACCATGTAACTCACGAATCCTGTAGATTTTGCTCTCAATGAGGCCTACGAAGTTTAACACACTTGCTAAAGTAATGGTATATTCCAACAGAGCGATTTCTATAAGTACAAACTAGGGCAAAATATATTATTCAAGTAGTTCATTAATGTGTTTCATCATAATCTCGTGTAATAACTTCAAGTCAGACTACACGTTAATTTTTCGTTTGGGTTCTTTCTGGTGATTGGCGATCAATTTGTAGTTCGGTAAATTATCGGCAATTCATAGGTAAATCCAAATGTCATGTTCAAAGAAGCATGAGAAATTAAAGAATAACAGAGTCATACCAAGACAATGCTGTGTCATTAAACATTTAAATTAATCCAGTATCTGGCGTAGCTGCCACGACCAGGGATGACGTCAACTATTCTTGGTAAAGCCTCCACCAGTGTCCTCAGTTTGTTGATGAATCATTGGCTGGGTAAGCCCATCCATCGACAACAGCCATCTCAGCTCATTCAGTACCTTTCCCTCATGCCCTGTCCCTCACTCCTCTCAAATGCCACTCATGTCCTCGTCACTGTCATTTCCTTGAATATTATTATTATTATTATTATTATTATTATTATTATTATTATTAGGTGAGCACGTAATGCCTAGGCAAATTGCCACCTTCAATTGTACTACAACAATATTTAACCCTCTTGAGAATAAAGATGTTTAAAAAAATTCAGTATAATCTGCTGGAACTCTCTCTACTAACAATACATGTACGTTCTAGAGCATGCCAGCAGTGCTCAATGGGATTCAAATTAGGACAATAAGCAGGCAACTATACTTGCTCAATTTCCTGGTCTGTAAAATTGTATTCTGCGAGGATGATGAGGTGGAGCATTGCAATGCTGAAGCAGAACGTTACGACCAAAACGAGATGGGCTTTCGCATGTGACTTGAATGTAGACGTCAGCAGCTACGCTTTCTTTGATGAAAACCAGACATGCGTCTATTTACGCATTTGCCAGAGATAATTGTGTAAAATCCATTTCTAGTACGGGTCTTCCTTTGTTGGGCCAAACAATACACACTGGTAGAGGTCACGAATTAGTCTGATTTTGGCTGATCCTATGGAAACTCGGGTTTTGGTGTGTTTTTGCCACTATATCTGTCAGAAATGTTGCTTACTTAGGTTTCTGACTACAGCTGATAAGATTTTAGATCAAACGAGGTAAACGGTCCTTTTGCTTGTTTCTGAAACACAATTTAGCCAGGCCAAACAAAAGACTTTAAAGAAAAAATACTTTTTTATTTTCATGAAACGGGGACTTAAAAAACGAAGTGGCGACATTCTACCTATGTAACATTTTTTGTCTTAATGATATTCTAAAGACGTACCGGAGGTCTTCGGACGAAAATATCTCTAAGACTTCTATATCAGCACACACACCGTAGGGCCTATCATAATGTATCACCGAGTTCATTGACCTATCACACTTTTTTGCTATTTCAAAGACAGATTTGTTTTGTAATCTTAACTATCTTAAGATAACTGGACAAAATTAACATTTTCTATCTTGGCACGTGAATGACTATCAAATGAGTGAGGTTTCACCAGCACTCTGTGACCCGTGGTCATATCGTATATTTCCTTCTCGTCTCATCTTTGTCGTTTGATTAAATTGAATTTAGGACGAGTGATCATGTCGTTCAAAATTCTTCTCAGCCGTTCATTTTGAATTAAAGCGGCCATTTTTCTTTGATCTTAAGGATGGAAATGGTACTTTCCAAAGCGGTATCTAGACTTTTGTTGTTTGTGCATAGTCAGACAAAATGTATAAAGAATATGTGTGGGGAAAGATGATCTTGTAGGTTTTTTCAATTGTCAGACTGACACTGGGATAATACACTTACCAGCCATGACAAGCTTTATATGGAACATTCTGAGTACTTGTAAAAAGAGTCCCTCGCATAATATAATCAAGACTGACATACAACTGAGTGTACAGCATTGAGTCCTCCGCCCTTCAAATTCGGCGTACTGATTTGTGTTAAAATGTTAAATAAGATTCAGTATACTTCATCTTAGATTTTAAACGTTTAACACATACCCTTGTTAATAAAAAGTTGGCCTACACCAAGGATCACCTCCGATTCGTTTCACTTCAACTGATGACTAAAAGAACGCTTTTATACCTTTCTTCTTAAAGAGTTTACAATAAACTGCACTGTATTTAAAATATTATTCTTTTAGATGTCTAATTATCATTTTTTTATTTCAATATATAAAATGTTACATCTTTTTAACACTGCCTTTTGATATATTCATTCGGCACATCATTTATGTACTACACAGAGCAGTACAAAATGAACAATTGATATTGTTATTTCCTCTTATTTATTACATTATTTATAATTAACTTCAACAAATACACATAAAATGTTTAAACATGCTTTTTCAAAGTAAGATATAATATCACTTTTTTCGAGTTATGTATCTAGTGATAATATAATATATATATATTTCTAATGTATTTGAATAATTGTTATATTTAATATCATTCAGCTTGTTTAAACATTATGATATAAATGTATAAAAATCACATAAAAGCTGCATGATGTGTTACTTTGACAATATTTATGAGTATTTCAATAGTACAAAAGTTTATTTTCAACAATAATACAAAACTATTTTCCTTAATATTAAAAATAGATAAATTAAGTTACCTTAATGCTGTAAAATTGAAACTTGGAAAAAAGATAAAAATATTTTTTTGCATTATACATTCTTTACAGCATAACTAAAGGTAGATGAATAAATCCACCGAATGCCTCAAAATGACTGTTACTGACAGTGACCGCAACCTCATAAATCACGCTTTGTCTTATCTTGTATTGCATGGGAACCGCTTTTCTATTGCCGCCCATCGTGTTCATCGAAGGAAATATCTAAACCGAAGATATTTGACCAGACCTATTAAAAAAAGGCATCTCACATAACCCACAGCAATGTAATAATGAAAATGTGTTGCTGCATTAAAGTATTCAATATCTATACATTTTGTTTAATGTAGTAATGAAAGCAAATTTATGAATTATTTATTGTCATTATGAAGCGTTTTGGAATACGCCCAAATAATAATGAAAACGATGAACTTAAATCAAATAAAAGACAATACAAAAGTAAACAAAACACCATACAAACTTCTACTTACACGACCTCATCATCTGCACAGACCTTCTCTGTCGGTGTCGCAAGAATAGTCTTTTCATCTCCCCTGGTTTTCTCAGTACTTTTTGTTGAATGATCCTCAAATTTCCATGGAATAAACATGATCAGTCCACTGAGTGTAAGGGACCCACCACCCAGGTAAAAAGATGGCTGGTAGTCGTGTAGACCGTCGTATAGCCATCCTACAATAAATAAATATAAACTGATACGGTAATTTGTCCTTAATTTTGAGCGATCTTTTAAGCATTTTCTCGACACTTAAACGTTCAAAGAAATTAACTTATTATTGGTGTATTCAGAACAAATTGATCCGCGGACTAACAGAACCACAAATTAATTCTTGCCAACCCACTTGGAAGCTTGCCGCTAAATCCCCAAATAGACACTGAATAGATTCCCAGCAAGCATTGTGCGGTAAGATTTCAAGTGGGTCGGCCATATTTGATCAGCTCATCTGTTAGAGGGCATTCAGAACAGATGATCCGCGGACTAAATATGACCGACCTTTCATAAAAGGAAGCCGCTTAATCTCCCTTTAACGGATAAAATTTCGGCTCCGAGTTTTAATTGCTAGGCCTCTGCAGGGACGGCGCGTGAGAACGATCAGGGGATTATAATCTTAAGTGGGTCGGCCATATTTGATCCGCGGATCTGTAAGTTCGCGGATCAACTTGTTCTGAATGCGCTCTTAGTTCGCGGACCAAATAGGTTGTTAATGACCCGTCAATAGGAAAGGTAACTTCCTACATTCATGTTATATAATTGTTTGACTTTAATGGACTATGGGAGTGCATGAAATCAAAATCTTGTAAAATTTAAAACAAACCTGCTACAGGAGCCCCCAGTATTGTCCCAATGCCCCCAAGCACCATCAGCATCCCGTAGCCAGCAGTCATTCTATGTTTTCCAACAATGCGTACTAGAACATCGGGCAACAAAGATCCAAATGGAGCAGTGAATAATCCATAGATAATAGAGCAAATAACCATTATTGCATAGTGACTGGAAGCTGGATAAAATAATGTAGCCAAACCAGCAATCACATAGGACAGTCCGTATAACAGGGTGACGTTGACGAAATGTAAATTGCCTACCACACCTGATAAAGTGCGTCCTATAGTGTTGGTGATTCCAATAATGGAGATGAGAAGGGCACTCTGGTCGTGTGAAAAGGACAAGGTGTCTGCAACGTGTGGTAAATGAACAAGAACTACAGACATCCCCAAACAGAAGAGAAATATATTGGCAGTGAGAGCAACATAATTGAAATTGACAAATATGCCCAAGTCTAGGATTTTGGGTTTTATATTTGAAGCCTTTTCACATTCTGGCAGGCATGTTATATGTTTGGCAGTAGGAAGTTTCATGAGGGCACCACAAACAACGCTCTGTAGCATCAGGCCTGCCTGGATCAGCATGGATCCTCTCCATCCATAAAAGTGAATCAGATACTCGATCAGGTATGGTTGCACTATCATCCCAGCTCCTACTCCCGAGATACTTATCCCCATAGCTAGGCTCCTGTGGCGATCAAAGGCAAGACCCACAACGAACACGGTGGTGTTGAAGCTGAGCCCAAAGCCAAACCCTAAAACAAAGCCAAACGACAATATCTTATCATATTTCTGTACACATTAAAAATAATGCTTCTTTAATGCGCTTAAAGACTTAAAGAGGATATCTAACTGAACATTAAGCTTTACTCACTGAAGCGGACAAAAGACAATATTTCATTTTACCTTATATTTAAATCAAATGCTCGAATGAGTATTGTGTATCACAACATGGGGTAGAAGAAACGACACGTTGCCCACGACCACGCAATAGATACCTGTTAATATGCCAAATGTAACATAGAGGTATGAAATACTGGTAGCAAAAACGCTGAGAACAAGACCTGCGCAGGCAATGAGACCACCAACCATAACAACAGCTCGGCAACTGAAACGATCTGACACGATGCTGCTGACTGGGCCTGAGAAATGCAAGGCTCGAGCATAAATTCATCAAATTACATTTGAAAAATATTTTGTGATTGTGCCGAGCAGCTAAAGTGAAGACATTCATTTTCATATAAGTAACTGCACTCTTGCTAAAAATGATGAAATATTTTAGAAGATATACATAAATTTTCATTTCAAAGTTCTATGTGTTTTTTACTCATGACGTAGTCGCAGGTGTTTGCTGTTGCAAGCAAGTCAATATTTTTTGCACATTTGAAGGGTACCAATGCTTCCACTTAAAGTGGAACTTGGTAACTTTTGTGGATTTGGTGTTTTGCACATAAACAGAAGGGATGTTTGCGCTGGAATCAATCAAGGAACTGCCTGAAAAACTGCACAAAGCAATACAAGCGACCAGGTATCGTCACCGTAAAACTTCAATTTGGAAGGGCCGTATACCCTACCAGATGTTAGAGAGAAAATTGTAAGCAACTTCTCTGAGGGACACTGGCAAAAACGCACAAACAGACACACACAAAAAATAACAATTTCCAGATTATAAGTCAACAGCAGTACTAAAAACTCTTTTTGGACCAACAGAGGAAGAACAGTCGCTAGAAAAGCACCCGACAACTACATTGCCGAGTAATGCATCTGCGGAGACAAGTCTGGTTTTCTGATAAAGTGAGGTTTTCTTCATCATGGCATTGTTAACAGACTCAAGTTTAGTAAAAATTAGCTGAAGACGGTTAAACTGTGGGAACTGCTGTCCACGCTGATGGTTCTGTCCACCTTTGAGCTGCCATTCCTTATGAGGGTCAAACCAATCTGATGTTCTTCAAAGACGGCGTAGCTGCTGACGCCTACATGCACATGGCAGTTCTGACAACAGAAATGGTGCCATTTGCTAGAGCCCATTTTGGTGGTACCTTTCTGTTCCAATATAACAATGTTCCATCTCATCGTGCTTGCAGAACACAACAAGTCACCAATGACAAGGAAATTGAGCAAGTGGACTGGTGCTTTTTTTCTCCTCATATGAGTCCCATTGAGCACTGTTGGGATGCTTCTGACCGTGCAGTAAGGAGGAGAGAGGTTTGGCGGACAAGGCGTTGTTGTCGAGGGGTGAGTTTATCTGAGCAAACAAACTGCATAAACTAAGTACCTCAAAAACAAGATTACGTCATCCGGGTTTTTGGCAACTATCTTACATAATGACTCAGCGATTAAATTCTTAATGGTTATAATATTGCCTTTGGGGGACTCTGCTTTTCTTGCTATTTTGAACATAACATTTGCTTTTCTCTGTAAATTACCGATAATTTATCAATTTTTTTAATCACCAGAAAGTACCCAAACGAAAAAAAGTATGTATAATAACTTGAAAGTGGGGCATGATATTATAATAAAACAATAAGTCAAATTCTGTCCTAGAGTGAACTTACTGAAATCGTACAGGCAATATTCTTTAAGAATAGTCCATCATTTTGAGCAAGAGTGTAAATAGTTAGAACTCTTCCGCCGCAGCTGTTGGCATACAGTATATCACTGAGGTATCTAGTGACATTGAACATTACAGATTAAATATTGACTTTTATACAATAAAGTAATATTTAAAAAATAATATTCGTAATGCATAATACTAAAAACTAAAAAAAGGGACGCGCGAATAATTGATTATGAATATTGGTTTAAAGGGATAACAACTGTTTGTTTAAAAAAGCCGGTATTGCCTGGAGTAAACGGCGATTTTCCCAAATAACCAGTGGTTGATGAATCCATTTCGACATTCAAAGTAAGCCCATGATTTTTCTATTCTAAAATGTTTGGTTTTTGTAAAAATCTCTTGAGAGATTTTATGGAGGTATACATGAATATATGAATCTATCTATGAATGTCCATGTGGTCTGATGGCAAGCACAGATTCCAGAATAATTGCAATAGTCGCCGTTGTGGTGGGAAAATGAAATTCATTATATTTCTACGAGTTGTTAACAATATATTAATTGTGAAATAAGGGTGCATTCCCATAGATTTTAGATCGATCTATCTCCGTGGGTAGTCTCACTAGATTACAGTCAGATAATCTGGCTTAAATGTCCGTCCCGCCTACTACAAGCTGTAAGGGGGTAATTAACTTCCGTGCACGGTCGGCTGACTGCAATTTAGCGCGAACCCCCATTGAGTTAGGTCGATCTAGTGAGATCGATCTAAATCTCTGGAAATACCCTCTAAGAATCTCATACGAACAGTTGTTATTCCTTGAAAATATTGTTTCCTAAGTAATCAAGTGGTTGTAACTTCTTTTTCTGCAACTAATTAAATCTCGACATCAATGCAGCGTGCTAACATCTGAATTACTACAGCATCTGTAGTCGCTGTTTAATCATTACATATACTTATATATTTATTTTTCCATAATTATAGAAATGTCAGTATTTGTTACCTGACAAACAGAGTATTCCGAAAATTCAGTGACCCAACCCATGCAGTGGCGCCTGCACTTTGTTTGAAAACATGGAGAAATTCCTCGAAGTATACACCAATTGAATAGGCAAAGGCACAAACCCAAAAATGACTGGCAAAAGCGGCGCAAACAATCAGACACTGCCTGACCTTCCTTTCTTTTTCTCGTCCGGGTGTATCTTTTTCAATTGTGACCGAGTAAGCCTGGCACCTTGAACAAAATGCCTGTTTGTCATACGCTTTGTCATAGCTTGAAGGCCAATTTCGCTTGCCTCCTCTCACCATAGGTTCTGAAGCATGCAGTGAAGGCACTAGCGGTGGACCGGCACTGTTCGAGATTGATGGCTCCTCATCCTGTGGGTTCATCGTGACACCAGCGTCTCTGTTAAATGGGATTCTGAAAAGTGAATGCAGTGAATGTCATTGCTTTGAATTTCAAATGAAATGCACAAATAGAGCACAAACCTGTCCTGAATACGAAGTTGAAACATTTTGTAGTAAAAGGTATCTTTTTACAATAACTATACTTGCATATACAGTATACAACTGGTGCATCTGATATAAAAATTACAATAACAATAAACAAATAAATATGTTATCTAAGTAACAGTCATTGATGATAAAAACCCCAGGAGTATGCACATAAAAGCACTTGACAGTAAATAATAGAGATACTAGAAATCATGCAACAATGCCAACAGGTTTGCATCACGGAGAATAACAAGGGCTACATTTAAGATAGGCCTATAGATGTACATAAATCATCACTGCAGGTTACATAATAAGACAAGAATAATATTCACAATTTTCACTAAAACTAAAAAGTAATTTTTCGTTGATTTAGTTTTAGTACTGCCAGCCTCTGCGTCCGTACCTGTATGAAATCAAACAACAAGACCGCATTCATAATTCTATATATACAATATAGCTAGGCCTATACACTGAGCGTAAAGAGAATAGAATTAAGCATTCGATCTAAGACCTAACACGTACGTCGGTAAGCAGTACAAACTGTCCAAGCAGATATTACGTATAAGCTGGCCCTACTCGAAGTTGGCTTACGTACTTCTATTTTACATAAGTAACAGAACACAAGGATAAAAACACCCTTCCACGCATCAAATAGACGTATGTCAACGATAAATATGAAAATAACATACTCATTAATACGCGAGATTCCTATAAAAAGATCTGGCCGACAATCTTTTTTCCCACTTGCTTTCCTCGACCCGGTTGTCTATCTCTTTAAGGTGAAACTTTGTGTAGCGAAAACTAATGCAGTTTGAAATTAGGCCAACGTTCATATTAATAAAATCCCGCATTTTTCCAGGTGCATCCGCACGCTGGTACTCAATAACTTATGACTGGCTTTAAAATGAAAACCAGGCCAGAGATGTTATATATTCCAGTACTATTTATCAGCAATATGACCTATTTCTATCCTGCCAGTCCGCCGAAGCGTGGACCTGTTTTATTCTCATATATATTTGCATCTATATATATATATATACCATCTAGTTTAAAAAGACATATTATGAAATGAATAACCCAATGATTTATTCACGCTAGTATAAAATCTGTCGCAAACAGAAATATTAAAATGAAATTCTCTTTTCAGCTTTGTGAATGACATGGAGGAAAGGTGTTTACATCTGGTATATCATTGGAAGTGACGCCAAAGCTTTAGGGGGTACTTATCCTTTGGAAAAGGAACAACAATGGTTATAAGCGTAATTTGTTAACCATTTGAGAACAAAAATTTAAATTTCCCTCAAGTGTGTATAGTAGGCGGAGAATGTGAAGAACAATATGGTGTCTATTTTTGATTAAACGCTTCAGGGATATCCTCCCAAAAGACAGGAAAAACATTGAAAAGGTTGATTTCACACTTTTGCTGGTAAAATCTGTCAATTTAAAAAATAAAATCCAGACACCGTTTTGTAGGCCTTCTCAATAAAAAGACCCGTTTATATTTCATTTGGATTCTGTTTGAAACGTCCTAAAGGTACCTACCTTTAAGGCAACGCCGATAGGTTACGCCATTTTTACATAAACCAAGGGTATTTAGTACACTCGACGACGTCAGGTGTCAAAAAGATATCTGATAGACACTTAAGTGCCTGTATATAAAAACTTTCCATCGACTTCTGAAACAGTATTTAAAATGAAGGTTCAGAACATCTCCACATGATTAAAATATATCTTTTTCGACAAACACCGCAAAGGTGAAATCAACTGAAAATGCTTTTTTCTTCATATTTATGAAGACGAATTCATTACAACTCTTTACTCAATACGAGACCAAAGGAATCAATCACACCTGTCGCATGGCCCTTGAAAAAAAGATACATACATTACCTTCTTGTTAAATTAGTGCTCTATTAAGCTTGTAGTTACCTTCGCTTCTATTGTGTCTCTATAAATATGTACAGAATAAGATGCTACCTGACATTTACCAGTTTATGTACGACTCATCTTTCCACCATTATCTACTGTCCTTTGTTGCCACGGAAATACCATTAGATGCTCCCTTTGAAGCTATCTTAAAGCACCTGAACCTGCGGGCTCCGGTAGTGCGCACCGGGACGCAGCAGAACTTTCAGTGAACTTTTGGTCTCTTATATCCATTACATTTCCCCCAAAATACACTCGTGTACACCTGCCTATTTTTACGTTAACCCTTTAAAAGCAAGACGTATGCCAGCACATTACGGACCTCCTAGACTACACTGGTTTCTTTGTAACCCTTTAAAGACTGCCGAAAGGCAAAGCGCATGTAGTATTGGTAACAGCAGGTTGCAGATAAACTGATAACGCTCCCTAGGAACTCGAGGGAAAACCTTTCGGACTGTATTCCTGGTATTGACCTGGGATGGTTATACATCATCGTGTATTAGACTGGGTTCCCATAAACCTATCATACTAGCTGGATCGATCTAACTCCGGTGGGATTTTCGCTTAATTGCATTCAGTTTAAGCGATTTAAATGTCTGCCACGCCCACTGAAGCTGCTAGGGGGTAATTAACTTCTGTGTACCCTTAAACTGAATGCAATTGAGCGAGAAACAATCGGAGATGGGTCGATCTTGCTAGATCGATCTTGGTATGGGAACGGGGTATAAAAGTATTCACATGACGAATGTACTTTATTACCACAGATGAAGACCAGCAGATTAGAACCAATACAGTCAACATCTTGCAGTAACAAGCTAATGAACAATAAAAAAATAATCGAAGAAAAATACCTACATGCTGTGATTGTACTACAAGACCCTAAAAATACTACACCTCTTTCTATAGTCATGTTGCTCTTCACTGAAGGTTGATCAGTTTCGGACCCAACAGCTAAAACTAATCTAAAACTTTGGAAAGTGCACTGACAACTTATTATATTAACATTTTCTCAATATATCCAGACAAACACCTAGTATTACACTCGAAAATTTACACAAAGAAATCAATAGCTTGCCTTTTCAGCTGAAACCAAGTGTCAAATGCCTTGCACCCGTTTTCGAATAAAGAGCACAGGTTTGTTCAAAACTATAAGACTATAAGACTACTTGAAGATCATCAATAAAAGAAGGAAGAAGACCGCGATATTCTATTGTTACCTATATCACTTAGCAGCTGAACTACTTAGCCTGTCACAATACAGTATGCAGTATAAAGTGGTTTTCAATTACGAAGACCGTCCACTAACCGTGATACCGAGTGCAAAAACAGAACCAATACGTTTCGCTAATTCAGTTGTTGAAATTTATTGGTATTTACTCAAATAATTTTTACTCAACGTTTGGCCTAGGCAAAAAATAACATATAAGGGGATGAAGGGGGTTTAAGGACATACTCTGAGGCAAGCGAACGTCACATCTAACACACTCCCTCACTCACGAAGTCGTGTTACATCAAAGTAGCGTAGTCATTGGTGGATATATATATGGCTATGTTTTGTACGGAAGCGTGTAAGGGTCACAACACCACACACAAAACTCACAATCAGACTCACAATTAGACTGATCCGAAACCCACACAACACTTGCTTTTTACTTTTTATTTTTGTTTACGTTGCCGCGGCGTAGAACGAAAAATAAGCTTCTTAATTACTACTGCGAAATGTCTAAAAGATGCAATGCCCTGATATTTTTATTCAAAGACCACGACAAAACTTACAGCTGACAATTTACGATTTAAATATCAATATGAGCATTCAAAGTGGGCTGGGAGTTCAGAAACTAACCTTACTCATTAATATTGCTAGAATGGGTATTGTCAACTGTGCTCTCCATAAAGGTTTGATAAATTGAAAAAATAAAAGGGCTTGACCATGTTTGCCAATTACTCGGTCTGCTAAGGAATATAAACAAGTGTAGCCCTCAATATCAAACCGTGTCGGACTGGTTCTAAGCAGTCCGCTCACACTGTCCCTACTAATATAAATAAAATGTTCATGTACTTGTACTAATGGATCTGCATTCCACCACATAGACGCCCGTGAATGCCGTGTTTTTAGCTGCGAGCCTTAGCGTATAGTAAATAACTAAGCATTTGGAGATGTCGTTGTAGTATTTTTCTCTTTGATCCACTTTGGAATAAATACGTAAGTGTCCAGTACAAGAGATGGTCTAATAAATAACTAACTGTTTCCTCAATTCCTTTTTAATGTTTGAAGTACATGTGAGTTTGAACTAGTTTTAACCGGTATGTCGACCCTTGGATAATTAAGCTGTTTTGCGGCTTTCGTATTATTAAATTAACATCTTTTATTCGCCATAGGTCAGATTGACCTTCTGAACCATGGTTGTGTTTCTGCTTGAAAGGATGTTACAAAACCTACATAATACATGTAAAAGACGTGCGGGCCTCAATAAACTTTATGAAGAATAGTACTTTCTTCTGTACATTTTAATCGATTAAATTCGCGCTGGAGCTAAGAAAGCATAAACTGAGCATGAGTGATGCTCTGAACGTACAGTATACGAACTAGTTTCAAGTAATGTAGTAAACAGAAGGATCGATAAAAACGGTGTATATAAGTACTCTGCATTGCTTTTTATTATAAAGGACATATCCCCCACATATTTCACCCCTCGTAGACGTTCACAGACCAGTGTGACCGTAAGTGTGAAAGTGTGTGTGTGTGTGTGTGTGTGTGTGTGTGTGTGTGTGACAGAGAGAGATCGAGAGAGAGAGAGAGAGAGAGAGAGAGAGAGGATGAGTTGGGGGGGGGGGCACGATCTTTTTGACAGGTAGTGCCTTCATCTAATGCGAGCACACAGAAAACGAAATAGAAAAAATGATTTCAGTTAACACTTACCAAGGTAGGCCTATATCTTCACCAGAGCTATTTGTAAGAAAGGTGGAAAATAGTCTTGCTTCATACAGACCATGCAGTGTGTGTGTGTGTGTAGTCAGAGATGTGTGTACTGTATACTAGTAACACAGGGAGATAAAACGGTCCCAAGTATCGGATCCAGGTCTGAATCCAATATGATATCTGCACATCTTTAAAAAATGAAAAGTGAAAATCTAAATTGCATACAACTAAAATTCAATGAAAACGTGAGGAACAACAGCATATCTTATCCTTAGAACCGCACATTTATACAGAAGAGAAAAATATTCATGACATTATCAAGTCACCTTATTATATTGTTAGTCACATTTTATTGCTAACGCTAAGGGTATCATATTGCAAATTTTACTAATTAGTATCATATATATAGTGTGCCTGGGCAGAGTAATATGAGGACCCTCACTCCTCGGCCTTAGTTGAGTATAGGAAACATACATGTACAAGCTAATGTGTTTTACACCAGGGTTGAACCGGGGCTGAACAAGTGCTCATTACAACGACGATGTTAAAGACAGCCAGAAATATATGTTGACACGTGGTAATATTTTATTGATTATCGTTATGACTTACATTTCATGTTTACCGAGTTACTGGTGGGAGATCAAGCATGGGGGGCTCAACAATTCGCTACTTTGCCTTTTCTAAGGATAGCTGAATTTTGGTTGCTATTTCAAGGCTTATATTTGTATCTGTGTTTACAATATATAAGAATGAATAAACAAAATTATCCTGATCTCATTTTGACATCTTAAACGTAGTATGATCAATAATAAGTTAGTACGTAACATGTACTTTTGACTGCACTACAAGTGTCTCTCTGTTTGTGTGTCCTTCGAATCTGTCTATGAAAAGAATATATAACTGTATATAAAATATCACAAAGTCGACCTCGGTCTTTTATATGCATGTTTTGTTATTATCCATATAAATCTCCGGAAGGCATTTTCAAAACATTTAAGTTATCGCTCAAAACACATGTTGAATTTACAACAAGATTATTACTATGAATATCAGTCTTAAAACATTACACACCGATCCCTGCATAAAACAGATACATTAATTTCATTGCTGTTTAGCTACTAATACACGATTTATTGTCACTTGTCGCAGATGAATATCGTTAAGGTTCTAATTAATGGTCGGTATGTGTTTTGCGGTTCAGTTAGATGGATCGTGACACTATGTAGATATAATAGGCCCTTCCTTCACATATAAATAATTCAACTTGCACCCAAACATGTACAGTACATGTAGTTGGCAGAAACACATTCTGTAGTGGGATTCCGCCAGTGTTGTTTGCTTGATTACAGGTCACATATCAAGTCAGTACATGGCATTCTGTTTGATATTGCTTTGCTGCTTCAAAGGCGATTTATCAACTTCAACATTTAAAAGACCGTTTCAACCCAATGAGCATGGGTATAATCATTAACAAATGAAGCATGACCTTTACCAGCAAAACGCGTAGCCTGACCGCCTGCCTATAGTGTAAATAAAAACACCAGTGCAGTCGGAGTTGATATTCACTGTACTGTAACGAAGAATGACGTGGAATTAAGACAGGCCAGGAATATAAACATTAATAATTCACTGTACCTGTGGGTGTACGTGTAGTGCCCGTTTTACAAGTACGGTTAAGCTAGCTATTAACTTAAGGACTCTGCTTCTGCTACTTGAGGCATAAAATTTTGCCACAAACCCTGCTTGTTGGCCTATTGATGTCATAAATGCATAAATAATTGTATTAACAAAATACTAACTTGCAGTGGTGGATTGCAGTTGGACTTGACGACGGGGTTGCCTGCAGACGATACACGGTGGTGGGTGGTGCACCAATGCAAAAGGCTATTTCAAATTCCCGGCAATCTCTGCGTTTTTCCTCTCATGTCCTTGAAGCAAAACGGGGCTTTTCAAAAACCTACATGTTGGATTTAAACGAGATGCAACGCTTCTTTGCGTAAACTTGGTTGAATGTTCGGATGTTTCCAGAGCCCTCCCTAATTACGGATGTAAATTTCTCTTTTCCCAGCGATGCCTCGTTTTCAGCCAGATGGTAGGGTTTCTAGTACTGAAAACGAGGCTTTGGCCTGCTGAGTGTACTGAGTGAACGCTTTTGATCGATCCGTTTGGTCACACACCAAAGAAGTACAAGCAGATGGAAAAAAACGCCTGGCCAGGCACTTGTTAATCTGATCCGCGTCGTTTTCACTTATCAACCCGTTTGATGAACGCTGCAAAAATAATTATAAGAGCATTTATTTCTAATCGGATGAGAGGGTGTCCATCTTCTCAAAGGGGTTCCCTTTGAAAAATAATACAAGAAATATATTTTCACATCGTTGAGCTCATTTCTAGGTACCTGCTAGCGTTCAAGGGAAATGCAACCTTATACTTGGTTGTTGTTTGGACAACATCTCATCTTGACATCTGATATGAATATAACAGTATGAAAATATGAATCACATATTGGCTGGTCATGGTAGTCTACATGTAGTGCTGGTAATGTATTTGATAATTTGCTAGCACAACACATGCTGCCTGGGTTGCATGCTCCCCAGGGAAGTGAGATCGTTTCAGGATTCTACAGATGCATAATGACCGGGCAAAGATCGTATAGCCAACTTTTATCGAGGTAAACGTATGCAGGCTGTAAATCCACTCCGAACTATAGTGTGTATGTTATATAATGGAGCAGGAATACTGTAAATAAAGATATATACACGTTATACATAACAGAAACATTTCTAAAGCTGCATGCTGGGTTGAAATAATCACAAATTTCCTGTGCATTATTTGGCAAGGATTATGCCTATATACATAATGACAGCTGATGATGATGATGATGATGATGATGATGATGAAATAATACATATTGTAATTAACAGATATTGTAAAACCACGGATCCTATTGAAACATAGATTTGTAACAGTTTTTGGGAGTGAGCTCTAGCAGCACATCTGAACGCCGTTTCAGTAAATGTATATAAGGCATATACTGTAGGTAGGTCGATGATTCCGTCTTTTCAGATGTTTGATGGCCCCTCCATTCAGATGATTGTGTAATCACCTGGATTTAGCCGTAAGAAGGCTCAAAAGAAGCAGCGGTATTGCTGATGTATGCGCTGATGTATGCGCCATTGGGTATTTCCTATTACACATGTATATTGCCTTTACCATGATAACTTTTTGGAAAAGTTCCACTCTTTTTGTTGGTACAGTATTTTGCTTTGCATTACTTTTTACTAGGACACACAACCACACACCAACATATATCATTTAAAGTAAGCCACTGATGACTCGACTTAAAAAAAAACACACAATTAATTAAACATGGCTCAAACTAGATTTGAGCAGTTTCAAGTAAATAACAGGTAATTAATTTTAAAAATGTCCACTTTTGTTGTGGGTCGTAATCACTTTGACAAAAAGTGGATATCGTGAGAGCAGACATTTTTACCTCAACCTTGATCCAAGTCTCAACTAATCCTTTGATCTTAAAACGGGGAGAAAACTAAGTAGGAAGTGTACATTACTATTCAAACTTCAGATGAGTAGATTTAAGAGGTGTGTCATTTAATGAGTGTTTTTGTACTCTCGCTCCAAAAAGTTGCGTAACTGTCCATCGAACAACAAACAACTTTTTGGAATTTTTTTTTCAACACAGAGGCTTGTCATTTACCTGTGCAGTTAAAGAGTTTTAATTCAATTTTTCAAAATTAACCCGTCCAAAAATATCCGGTATAGAATCGAAAACTACTAGTATTACATGAAAAATACACATTGGCCAAAATTTTTTTTTTGGAAGTGATTCTTTTACAGGACTTTGCGTCCATCGACAGAAATAATCATATTCAGTGGATCCAAGTTAAAGGCTTCGGTTAACATATATTGAATAACTAGTGACATTACGCACGAGACCCATCACATTTTGTTCGATGATGAATGCAGTTACGCAAGGTTATTTTAATGCGTTTTGGTCAAAATCGGTAGGAAAGGGACAGGTAACAGTGGATCCATAGAGGTAAACTAAGTTTAAAGCGTTCTACTTGGCGTCACATTAATCAATTGCTATCACGTCAAACAGAACACCTGCAGTTTAGTTTTCGTATTTTCCATCAGGTATGACTTTGATGCATATTAGTGTTTCAAAATCAATAGAGGACTGAATACAGGTCTTTCAGATCATTTGGAAGACGTTACATAATTCACTCATTGTGCGCTAGGAGGGTCTTATCGCTATTAATTGTCTCTTTTCTCCAAGTGCCCTGCCTCTGTTTAATATCGAATCCCACCCACGGCGCATCTCTCGGTCAAAAGTGACCCTTGCATAAATAGCCTTACCGGTATCTGATGATTTTTGCCGGGATGAAAGCATTTCAGTTTATCATGTCCTGTAGGTTCAGTGTCTCGTGGGGTGTCGACAACTGTATGTTATTTCCGTTGAAACTAAACTAAAAAAAAAGTTGTGCTGAAAACTTCTTTTGTGAAAACTTCTTTTGTGAAATACGGTAAATAAATGACCTGAAGATGTCAGGACTACCCTATAACTGATAGTCAGTTATCTTTTTTAGTGCCCTTAAGTTGGGGTGATGCAGGTGTTGATAAAACCAGATAACAGTGAAGTGAACTAAACGTAGACCCCATTTCCATAGATTTTAGATCGATCTATCCCTGTGGGGAGTCTCACTAGATTACTGTCAGCTTATCCGGCTTAAGCGTCTGCCCCGCCTACTGAAAGCTGTAAGGGGGTAATTAACTATGGTGCGCGCTCGGCTGACTGCAATTTAGCGTGAATTAGGTCGATCTTAATCTAAATCTCTGGATCGATCTAAATCTCTGGGAATGCACCCATAGACCCGATATGCACTTGGTTAAGTATATATATATCGAGTTCGCATCTTCGCGACCGTCGCCTGTGTTCCTTAGCTCTTTTAAGGAGTTGTATGAGACTCTGGTTCTTCTGAGGCTGCATTACCAAGGGACGTGTGGACATTAGTTGAAAAATGCGCCTCAAATTCTTCCCCCCACCCCCCGAAATTTCCTGAATTGTAAGTTTGTGAGTGCATGTCTACTTGCGTGCAAGTATATATGTATGTGTATGTGCGTCTTTGTGTGCAAGACATTGCGAGCTTGCGTCTATTGAGCTCTCAATATGTATGGGCGGGTCTTGGCAGCTAGTTCGGTGCATAATTTCATATTTCCACTCATTTCGAATTAAATATTATGTCTCATTGTCACGGGCAGGTATATAGGCTTATGTCAGCTCTCCTGCCAATTCAACCCTAACCGAATAATAGCTGTGGTATTCCATGTGCTTGCAAGATGCGATTGCTTTTGTTGCGACAGAGGGTTGCGATTGTTTCTCATTTGATTTAAACCTCTCTGATGTTCTCAAACGACGATGAGATTTTCTGATACGTCTTAGGTAAAGAGGAGAAAAAATAGAGGTACCGAAAATGATCTTTTTTATTTAGATACATTCTTGCTAAAATGGTGAAATATGCTAAAATTATACAAATCAATGGTTTCGTTAAAAGTGCGCGCGACGGCATCTGCAGTTTTTTTAATGTTTCATCATTGTAACAAGAATGTATTCATCAAGCAAAATCTGAAGAGTCTAACGAGTCAGTCTACCCCTACAAAATAATTAAAAAGGGAAGCTAACAAGACCATCTGTATTAACCTACTTGTATGGTACATGTAATATAGTCCTACACAGCAATAACTAGTGACGTTAATAAATGTATCACCGGTATAAATACATGGAGAATAATTGAATACACGTTTGTACCAGCATATAGCCATATGCTTAGCAAGCGCTTAGGCGTGCTGTGAATTGCGACAGAAAGGGGAATACCGAAATGAAGGTAAGCAAATGAATATGTTATTTCCCTGTAATCAGAACTGTGGATTCCATCAGGCAGAATGCGCAAGGGAGATAAGAGCTATATGTATTCTCCATGCCTTTCTAGGCGAAACCATCCATGAATTCTGTCCCTTCCTCCCTTTACAAAACACTTTTGCTTTCATGTACATATATCCCATACTTGTAGAGGGTGAAGGGATAGTTTAAAGGTATACCATACACGTTTCAAAATTTCCTCCAGTCAATTTTGTATGTTTACGTATCTTGAAAAGCTACTTATCTGTCCAATTCAGAGCTTAAAGATGCATATCAAGTCAACTTTTTGCCACAAAAGCCAACCAAATGCCAGCATACATGTATAGTAAGTAGTATAACTAAGAGAATTACCAAAAGGCATTGTTTAATTTTACCTGAAAATGATGTTTGAACGGATTTTTCTGCTAGCATTCTATGCTGTATGTCAATGGGGCAGAAAAGTAGGTCATGAAAGTAGGTTAAATTTTTGACCAAAAATTTTAATAAAGGAGCATGCAGTCTTAAGCTCTTTTACGGCTGATCGAGTGATCNACCCCTCACATTTCTGACCACAGAACATGCAACTGCATGCATCAATTGTTTCGAGAGTTGTGTGGTAATGAGGTAACACACCTGGCTACGCATGGAGTGACACCTCAGCTTTGGATTTAAAGTAGTTAGAGAGAAATTAAATATTTTGTAGAAAATTTACTCGCCAAAAAAGAATATTCCATATTTAGTGGTAACCCTCTATTTAGTTTATCCCTTCGCATGTCAAATTTATTCAAGTCGTATAAGAAACTAGTAGAAGTGGTTTATATGTGTTACTGGGAATCCACGCTCCACCGATGCTCGGTTCGTACGTACCTTTAAAATTTAACAACCTTTCAAATAAAAGCACTTGATATCGATATCGTTATTTCCTTCTGGCAATGGGTCCTGAATGAATCACGATATTCGATACAAAATATCGAATTCAAGAGCAAAGACAGGTAGAGCAATGATTCTTGAGTAAGAGGATTTTTGTTTTTGAGAAAATTTAGATTTTGCACAAAAAAATCTCATATAGATAGGCCTACCTTTTAGGCCAATACCTTGATTTCTTATTGAAAACTGAATAAAAAAAATGAGGCACTGGGATTATTAGGTATTTGATTGGTAATGAGTTCAATTATGTTGATTTTGTTTGGGCTAACTTTTATTATATAATATATTTTTAAAAGATGCATAGATATGTCTGCATTCGTTTTAAATACATTAATTTCTAGGCGAACGTTTCAACCTCCGTCGTATTTATTGGTTTCCTATTGCTTTTGAATTTGGCGCCCGAGGCAGAGCCCAAGTACACTGGCAATGAATTGTATCAAAGCAAGACACCGTCTAAACGGGTGATAGCAATGCCAGCACCAGAGCCGCATCTACCAGTGAAGTATTATGTTGCAGTTCATAAAATAAATGCACATACACATACATTACATACATATACAGTTTAAGATATCGATACAGTATATATATTTTTTCGTTTAATTATATATATATATATATATATATATATATATATATATATATATATATATATATATATATATATATATAATTTTTGTTAAAACGATTTTTTTTCTAGAGCCCTAAACCCATAGCCAAAAGGCGACAGCTGACACTCAAGATAGATTGACTAAAACCCAGATCGATGACGAAATGGTCCAACACCCAAGGAGGCCTAAGTCAATATTGAGTAGATGAAAATATTTTAATAGATTACAATAGCTGGCTAGTTTTCTTGTCTTCCGTGGTGGGTTGTGGTCTTAAAAAGAGGTCAATGACTTCTTAACTGAAAGTAATAAACGTATCGCCGCAAATATGTTTTAGTCGATTTGAATAAAATTTTAATTCAAGAGAAAATGTGTTGATTAATTAATTTTTGCGTGAAGTTTTCGTGTATCTGTCCTGTTATACTAGTCGTTCTCAATAACAACGAATCGTCAGTAAATGAATAGAGACTTCACACCGCTCCGATCAAATCAATCACAGCTGTTTGGTTTGTCGAAGTTGGAACACAGCTGGATAATAGAATGACCAGTAAAATGTTTCTGATATTAGCGCTGTATGGATAGTTTTATACATGTAGACTATCTATTGTACATATATCTATAGGCATGCATCTTTGGGATAAAAATCTGTTGATTAAAAAGGACTGTAGATCCCAGGGAAGGTGTTTTTGAAAATAGAATTTTTGAAAAATCTTTCTGGGGTGTTTGCCTTTTCCAACCATGAACTTCAACAGCTTTACCTCCAACCAATCGTTTTGCCTACGATCCTGGTAGCTGTACATAGGTCATCTTCCAAACAACACACTGTATTAGTGCATTAGTGCATTAGTGAGTACTGGTACCATTGCTTAAAACACTGATAACCCCGATAGAACAGAGATGTTTTTACCAATTTCCATCATTGGCCATTATATTGTTCATACCAACCACGAATGCTAACAACTTTTAATGGCTACGAAAATCATATTCAAGGAGACTGATAATGACAACAGCTCCTTACCGTTTTTATAGTTTGTGTGTCGTGAACGTTTTTTTCCAATTCATGAAAACCTTTAGATTAGGCTCACATTATTCTAACTTAAAGTGCGTGTCTCTAGAATTAGCAAGTAAGCCATATAGTTATCCTAATGACGCATATTATAATAAGGCATTGTCCACAGTAGTCTTTTTCATATTGGTTCTAAATGGATCCATAAGTTAATATGAATAAGGTTTTAGATGGACTGTGTTACAGACACGCCCTTTGTTCACAGGGGTGACAAATTATTGCACCATTTGGCTTGAAGGTGAACAACAGGTGGATTGTTAGGTTTTTCAAGTTAGGATCTTTACTACATGTTTATAGAAAATTGCTTTGCCCTTTCACAACACACGCTGTTTTGTCAGTATTAACCTTTTGTAGGAAGGGCGCGTGTTTTCAATCTCAGTTATCTTCTGGGGGCTATGTTGACTCAGGCTCTAAAGATACCACGCAATAGAGCATTTTTAGTAAATGGACAGTCCTTTGCCATTTGATTTCCAATCTAATTTCACCGGTTTTCAATGAGGATTCTTTTCTGGTGATTGAGCAGGATTCTTTTCTCTTGATGTCATGGCGGTAAAACCACTCTCTTACAGCCCTGGCTTATCTGTTCCAAAAGATGTTTTCTACCGATGGTTAAAAACGCCTGTCGTCTCTGGCACTAATCTTCCTTGGGCGGTCACTACGTGGTGCTTTATGGGTATCGCCACTGTACTCCATCCTTCTACAAATCCCGCATACAGTCTGAACAGACACACCATATCTAGCAGATATTTTGGACATCTATACCCTCCTCCGTCGGAGATAGAACTAATTTTATTTCTTCATTTGTGAGCTCCCGCACATTCAATATGGTAGAAACTTGACAGCCAAAAGGGCGTTAAACATTCGATGACACCCTCTATAGTGCACATGGATGAAAATTCACCACTGGTTACGCGAGCAAATCAATTTTTAAGAACGCCCCCTCCCCCCAGGTCACATAGTGCACTATTCACATATATGGTCAATACTTTTGTCACCCCTCTGTACATGCAGTGAGTCGAAAGTGGCTTAAACATCGTAATGCGCATCTTCTGACATGCATCAAAACGGTTCTAAGTCGATTTAAGTCGATTTAAGCCCACTTCACAAGCCCTATTGTAAATGCAGCCTAGTATTGATTATTCTAATCTCATTCACATCGTCACAATTAGCAGCTTCCTGTTTGCCAGCCTCTGGGAAACCGAACTATAGCTATAATGAGAATGAATAATTAATCAGCACTGACGTCAAACGAAAACCCTTTGACGCCATGTTGCATCTGATTTCTGCCATCATTTGACAAAAAACGCCAACAGAAGGACGAAAACGGCTGAGGAAGAACAAGAACAAGGGATACCACTCCAAGAAAGCGACCTATAGGCGACATAATACGCAACGAACGGGTATTTACATCATTTTCTCATCGTGTACTTTATATATTTGAAAATATCGACAGGTATTATGCCGTTATTTTGCGTTCATTGTCTAACAGATGGAAAATTTATGGCATTTATTGTGAGCTCACTTTGATACATTGATGCATTAAATCTTTTTCATCGTGAATCCGTTGCGAATGTATTAAGTATAAGAACAAGATACATGATGTTTCTCTATCACTTGTTTCTGTAAAATGTAAGTTGGTTAATGGGCGTCAAAGACAGGTTGGTATCATGGCATTTCCCTATCGTAATATTTCATTTCGGCGGGATGATTCTTTCAGGATTCCAATCACATTTTTATTTCGGATCTCTCTATGTTCAACACACAAGCAACAGCACGTAACGCTTAGTAAGGTAGTCATTTATGCTTAATCAGCACATGTAATTACACGGTAATAGGTTACAATTGACTATATAAAAGATAGAAAATACACATAAAACTAGATTGGATTTCCGGGGAGGTAATAGATAAGGTAGCCCGATATATATAGCACAGTACATGTATATAATATTCAGCCGTTTCTAAAACATGTCCCATTTTCTCATTAGGTGGAAAGAAGAAAAATCGATTATCATGCGGCTTTCGACGTATATGCTCTTTGCCGTCATGGCAACCATCCTGACTTTCTCCCACGCTTCTTATTACGAAGACAACGACGCTCTGTTCCGAGAAATGCTGGCGGAAATGGAAGAAAATGAAAGAGAAAAACAGTATGGAGTTGATGGCAGCTACGATCCTTACGCAGCCTTCGAAGACGGAGACAAATACGACGATAGTTATGGCCCATTCGCTGAGGCCAACCTTAACCCGACAGTGTTGTACAACCCAGGGATTGAGAAACCTGACAGCAATGATGAGTTAGCCGGAGATGACCCGCGCAGCGCTGATATACGTGATCAAGAAAAAGAAAACCAGAATATGCTTTGGGGATATCAATACGTTTCAGGTAAGATTTATTATTTGGCTTACCGATTTTACCATAGAAAAATATGTTTCTTTCTTGTGTATTCTTAATTTTAATTAAAAATTTTAATTTAAAAATGCTGAATCAAAATTTACAAACTGCACACGGATATTGAAAACTATCAGATTTAAGAATAAACTACATACAACTGACTTACATTTTACGGGGAATCAAAACGTTAAAATAGATACTTTTCATCTCGGCAATAAGATAAATATATAGAAAGCAAACTTTCCCAGGACTGAATACCGTCAAGCATTACTAAGACTTAGGTTTTTTTTTATTGTTTCCATTATTTTTTAAAGGTGGTGCGGGAGAGGGAAAGCAGCACTTGGTGGGTAACATTGATAACTCGATGAAGCAGGAAGTAAAGACAGACGCAGCTTTACCTGCATATTGCAACCCCCCAAACCCATGCCCCAAAGGAAAGACAGGTATGCTACGTTTATATCCGTAATTCACAAATTCTTAGAGAAACGAGTCCATCTGATTATGTTCTATTATCGCGATTTAACAAAAAGATATCTGATAATCATGATGCTAAAACATCCAAACCACAGAATAAAAATGGGATTTAAATCCATACCTCTTTCTCTCTCTGCCATTGGCAAAGCTTTTCATTGTAAAAAATTATACTTATTTAAAGTGAATTGTTTGCAGCTGCAAAGGACAACTGCCAAGAAAACATTCCCGATACAGCCGCGTTTAACCAGCGTTATAACAACTGGCAACAAAAGAGCGGGGCATGCAAATGCGACAACGAGCACATGTTTAACTGCCCGGACGGCGCCACCGTCAGCAGCAAGAAGGCTTATGGTGATGACTATGGCAGTGACGAGCTGGACAACTTGGTAAAATCCTTGTTGGGTGAGAATACAAAGACAAGGGACGAGGAGGTAAAGGAGGATTGTGCATTGCATTCCTAACCTTTCCACCCTGAGATTTGGAGGCTTAGGCTCACTTTCCGCAGTTAGTTTTGTTCAAACAACTGTGGAAATTGAGTCTACATGATAAACCTTTGGAAATCAGGGTGTGCCTTTCGTGCTTCGTTGGTTGTTTGCGCTTAATTCTGTTATAATTTTGCATCTGTGTCGACACAAAAGAAAACACTCAGAGCAATAAAATATCTTTCACAATTTTTATCAAGTGATGACCGAAGCAATTGTCAAAACTGCACATTAAGAAAGCTGCACATTTTAAAAGAAAGCACATCTTAAAAGAAAGTCCATGTGTATAATTCCTTAATTATTCAAATAAAAATATATATACATGCATTTTGCATTCGCTTGAAACTGAGGTAAACTAGAATACACTGAGTGTTTTGTCTTACTTTTGTCTTTTATTCTATTTTCCAACAGAATCTTGTATAACTGGCATAATGTGTATGGCCCGCATAATGTTAACTGTTTCGTTGTTGGATGTCTAATCTGTATTATTGTACAGTTTGTAGTTTGTAACTGAGCGAAATCTGTGTTGGGTAGGTCTTGGTGTTTCTGTATGGCGCATCCCCAGGATTCCATGTTGTCTATTGTAGTGGGTACAAAATTTGCTTTATCAAGGCTAATTTAGTGAAGTGAGCATGCGTAGGTTCATGGTCGGTGAGAATGTCGGTGCTAAGGATTTTCATTATATACCATAGCATTACTCTGTGTTTTAGGGTCTGGTGGGAATTTATAAGCAACACCATTACACGATTTCCAGCAGCAGCTGGTTAAAAGTGGTCGTTAGGGAATCAACGCATGAACAGACTCTTAAACTTGGGGGGGGGGGGGGGGGGGGGCTGGCGGGCAAAAAATGTTCTAGTTTAGAAAGCGGCCACTCCAGTTTTTCGTCTACAGTTAGCCAACTATATTGCCTTTTTTTTTAATTGATATTAATGTGTGCGCATGAAAGAGACGATAAAAACCTTAAAACCATTTTACTTGCAGAATCATGTCTGACATCAACGCAGATGCCGATAAGATGATCATTTTTGTACCAAACCTTGTATAGCGTCCTATGGTTGTAAATTAAGTCAGCAGAACTGCAGAGTCAGCCAAATTTTTATTGTATCACTTAGATAAACATACGGGCACATCGGGCTGTATTCTACTAGGTACACCACTTTAAGCACACGCCCGCTTTTCTGTTTCAGAGCAACCCGTTCAGCCAGGGCTCAAAGCGTGACTCACTGGTTCCCAAAAAGCATCTGCATAAGAGAGTAAGTATATATTGACCCCAAATCTGGTACATATATGGTGATTTTGTAAAATCTCAATCGCAGGATTTATGCTTTAGGCAATGCAAACTTGATTACTTTCTTTGGAAGATGTGCATTTTATGCAAGAAGAAATTTTTATGAATGGAGGTTTAAAATTACATGCACCCAGTTGAAAAATTGTACATGCATTTGTAGTTAAATTCCTAAACCTTTAAAAAACAAAAACAGCAATAAAATATCAATCACATCAGTACATTCAAGTTCAAATAATGTTCAATTATTTTTGCCAATACAAATAATTAGCTTTTTTTATTTTTTGCGTTCAGCTTTTTTTTTGTTCTATTAGAATCTTGAAATTTAATAAGCACAGTTTGAAAAATTGATGTCTTAATGTTTTTCATGTTATATTCAGGAGGCTGAGAAAGTAATGAAAGACCCCATCAAGTTGCCAAACCCCAACATGATTTTAACTGACAACAGTAACCTGAGAATTGTAGCCAAGAAATCGCCTCCATTATATTAATTGATATAGAAAGATGAAGGTGAAATTTGTCAAATGTTGTTATGTTATATCTATCTTTATGGAAAATCTACTTAATTGATGTTAAAATGGAGCAAACAGTAAATGACCATTTGACAACGCTAATTACAAGATCCTTCTCTATGATCCTTTGAGATGCTACAGCAAGTTACAAAAAGTAAATTGTCACAAATGCATTTGATTTTTCATGTTGACATATCTATGTAATTTCAACAAACTGAAAAGGAATTCATCTAACGTTGAACAGTAGATAACAGTGACAGTTTTGAACAATGTTTACAACATAATAAAACATTCCCTGTAAAGAAAATAAAAGAATGGTTTATATGATTTTTAGAAGCAGTGGGCTCTGATTGTGAGTTACTTCTTCATTCAGATATAAATGATCAAATAATAAGCAAACAGCAAAGCTGGCGCAAACGCAGTTAACAGGCTGTAAAGATCATCTGATTGATTTTTAACTTGACCTTCCATCTTTATCAAATCAGTGACCTAAATAGGCCATTGATCAAGCAAAACCTCTCATCAAATTTGCAGTTAAACAAAATTATATGGTTTGGCAGTTAGAGAATGAAGGAGAATGTATTAGACACTGTTAACCAGTATATATGCAGATACTTGAAGTTTGTATATGAAATGTAAACCTTTAAAAATACTCAAGCAATAAAGTATAGGCTGCTTGTAAAGAAAACTTGAATGACTTTAGCAGTTTAATTTTTCACCTGATTAATACATATTTGTCCCAATAAATTTCAACTTTATGGATAGTTTTTGGCACATTTATAACTGTTGTGACTTAAGTTGTACAGTAAGATTTTGTCAGAATGAACTTGAAGACAGTAATATCTCTATAAGAAATGTTCTCTGAAGGTGAGTAACTGTTGGGGTTGTTGTTTTAAATATTTCTTTATCTGTGTAGTATATATTAGTATGTTGGAAAAAAAAACACTTGACAAAACACCCCATTTTATTACTATTCTGTGCACATAAACTAGCTTGAGCACATTGTATTATTGAATCATAAGTGTTTATTTATTTTCTACTGACTTGTACCAACCAACCCACCCTTGATGTGGAGTTGTCATTTATTTAACTGGAGCTTTATCACTATGACAGAAGTGTGCTGGGTAAAATACTGCTAAGTCAATTCAAATAGGACAGTGATCAAACTTCAAATGTTTTTCCTTTTTCATTAATCGTTTTTGGTATTCTAAAATTGTTCTCAATGACAAGAACTCACCTTATTTTTTGGAACTTAACTTTAGATTTACCACTTTTAAGTATTATTAGAAATTTAGTTATTACAATTATTAGTAATTTTGTTTGAATATAGTGATTAAATATTGTAAGCAAGGAATCAAATAATAAAATGTTTTGTTTGAATATAATGATTCATTATTGTAAACTGATAACATTAGCCCAATAAATTCGTATAATCCATGATAATAGATCAATGTGCCAAATGCAGAACAAATTTTTTTCTTCAATCATTCACTTTCTGATATCATCTTAGAAACTAAGTAAACACTGTAGCATTTCCAGAAAAGGAAGGGCAGTGGTTCTGTTTATTAGATACGAAGTGATTAATACTTTTCAAATTTTCTTGCTGCTACACTGTGGGTTATCTTGCCTTCCTTAAGTTCATTCAAAAACCTGTCACTTTTTTTGACTCTAGGAACAATCTTGGGATTAATATATGACTCATTGTTCCAGAGATCGAGTATTGTGATATCTTTGATAATTATGAACATTTATATCTGTAGTATGGAAAAGAAACACTGAATTATATTTTCAAAATGGCATTATGATTAAGTAATTCAATTTCTTCATTTTTAGAAACAGCTGTCTTGTAAAATTTAATTATTGTATTTTTGATGATTCAAAAATAAAGTGGAAATATTAATATTGCATCTGGTTTTCTGTCTTCCCATTCATTCATTTATGACAAAAATATACAATAAAATAATTTTATTTCAATTTATTTAGATACATATACAAGCAATGGACAACCTATTTCTTAAAGCATTTATGATATCATTTTAAAGAAAATGCATTTACTTTCATATGGGAATTAGAACAATAGAGAAAATGATTGGAAACCAAAAATATTTTAAGTTGTGAGCATTTGAAAATAAACCAGTGCTTGATGTCAAACTTTGGATCACACTGAAATACACAAGGAATCTGAATCATTACTGAAAAACTGATCATCTTATTAAAATTCTTATCATTCAGAAGATACTTAATGCAGCTTAATGCAGTCTTTATATCGCAGAATTAATCTTAATCTTCTTACATTTGAAAACCAAGGCTGATTTCACAACAGGTTCTAATAGGTCCAACCCATATTCACTTAAAGAAGATACCAGAACGTTCAATACAAACACATCATTAAATGATCTCTTATTGGCTCATGCGTCAATAAATCTCATTTCTTTATTTTTTATTATCTACTTATTGCACAACGGTATCCAGTATATAGCATTACCATAGTGCTGCCATTAAAATATCATTTTACCTTGTTAATGAATTGACAGATTTCAATTGACTGCGATAAATTACTCAGAAAAACACCAAGAGGTAGTTATTACTTTCACTTCATTAGCCCCACAACTTTAATCCAAAAATCCTGCTGCCATGTTCTTTGTGATAAGACTTCAAGCCCAAAATTATCACTAACTGTTACATATGCAGTCAAATCTTTGCCACTAAACCCAACCAAATGGCAATCAGTTTCAAACAGCACATAACGAAATACTAAAGGGCATTGTGTCATACTTTCCAAAAAACAATATTTGAACATGTTTTTTCCATTTTCTTTCTGTGCAATGTATAACCCTTGGTCATTTCCTCCAGTCATTTTAAAAAATTTTTATGCTTAACAGTTATGTGTCAACATGCCCAGTCTTATTTCTTCACAACACTTTGTTCTGCACTGATACTTGATTAACTTTGGTTGGGACAGAGTTTCGCTCACACAGCATCGCTCACACAGCATCTACACGGTATGGCGCAGATCTGTCTCGAATCTGGCGGCCACTAAGACCTGGACAGAAGTTTCCTTTATTTTCATGGAAAAGACCCATGGACTTCAGTCATCTACATTGAATTTCATCATGAACTCAAAATCTTTGTAGCTGACTCTTCCATCTCCATCCCTATCAATTTCCCTAGAATACATCAAATTTCATCAAATAAGCACTATCTGAACATGTAAAGGTTTTTAAAAAGTAGTACCAGTACACTAATATCTCGATATATTTATAAACTGTAAGTTGAATTTTAGGGTATGTACATATTGATATTTCACAATAAATACAATGTAAACAACTAATGTAAATATAATTAATTCCATTTTACCACCAAAACAGTGGTTATCGCAATGATCCTGGGATCTGTGCTTGCCATCAAACTACATTGACCTTCATAGATGGCTGTACCTCTGTAATCATCTCTAAAGAGATAATTATAAAATACCAAACTTTTTAGAATAAAAAAAAAAAAAAACTAACTTTGAATGTCAAAATGGATTCATTAACCACTGTCTGGTACATATGGGAAAATCATTGGAAAATCCATTTTTTACCAGAATGAACAGTTGTTATTGGGTAGGCCACAGAACAGCATAAAATTGCACAAAAATAATATATCATTGACCATAGTAATTCAAACAATCACATTAATTCAAAAGTATCCCAAATTATTGTCAAATTAGCAAACTATCACCAAAGAGTATATTACAGCTCACTTCCACATTCCCTCATACTTGAGTCAATACATCTAAATAGTAAATCACATGAATTTTCTCATCATGGTACCTATCAAAGTGGGACAAAACAGTACAACTGGTATGAAAAATAATAATCATAAAATAAGTTCAGTATATGTGCACTTAACTTACCTGAATGCAGCATGTATTATGTGGTCAGGGATATGTGGCGCCACCTGTGAGAAGGCCCTTTTTAAATCTGTCAGACTGAGAAAGCCATGGCCTTTTTAATAACAAAAAAAAAGGGTAAATAGCCACATGATTATTAACTAACATAACCTGATCATTAATTGAATAATGCCCGAAATGATCAGACCTTGACAACTGAAACATAAAACCAAAGCAATTTCCATGTTTAACAAGTCTGTGGTAAAAAGCCAAGTACATGTATATCTTAACCAAATTCTCATAAAAATTCCTTTCTATGCTTCAAGCATTTTTATTTTGATATGAAATGTCATTTAACAGAATGGCAACTTTACCTCCGCCATGTTTGTATGTCTGTCAGTTTGTTTGTCATCAACATAACTCAAAAAGTTATGGACTGATTTTGATGAAATTTTCAGGGTAGGTGGGAAATGGGTTAACTTAGAAGTGATTAGTTTTTGGTGATGATCCCGATCAATAATCAATCAATAATCAATAATAATCAAAAATCGCTGCCTTGGTGGAGGTCTGCGCTCTTGGAGTGCTTTTCTAGTTCTATGCAATTTATTCATAAAAAAAGAGTGCTTCTTTTTAAATACTAATATTGTAAAAAAATTCCCACATCATTCAACCAGAAGAGAATATATAACAATGCCAATGTTGTTGAGAAGGGGGAAGTAATTTTCATAATTTTCAAAAATATATATTATACAGCAATATATATATATATTATTTGCATTTACATAATTTACTAGTAAAGGAAGCCAAAATGAACAAAGGAAGTTTGAAAGAACCAAAAATCCTGCAAACTGTCCCTTTACTTTTAGGGAAGTTACTTACAATGAAAATCCATTGCCATAAATATGCTTCTGATTTCTTCATCATCATCTTTGGCTGACATTTTGTTGGACATTACCTCCATGAAACTGTCCAGGGACATCACTGAAGAGTGTGAACACACAATGAAAAGTAACAACATAATTTAAAATATATCTTAATGAACAACACAAGGAACAAATGCAAGGCATAGGAATTTTAGATGAAATTTTTCAACAAGAATAAGGGGCTACAATAAATACAAACTGAGCACTACACAGAGTTAAGTTACCATTGCAACCCAACTACCAGATGTGGCACCAAATGATCCAGAATTCACCATAGATCGGATTGCGCTACTGGTTTTCAAGGTGTGTATCAGTACGCACTTTGAAGTATCAGATGCCACTTCCTTTTGCCTGCTATGTGATGTGATAGCCATGATTCTGCACAGGGTTGGAAAGTGGTGCATTTCTTCAAAATTCATGTGCTACAGACAGGCTACTGCTATTTTCCCTGTTTTATGTAATAAATTGAACAATACCATGATTTTTTAACATAAAGTTCAGGTTTGAACATAGTCAATGATGTTATGTAAATAACTAGGTGCAATCTAATTCTGTCAGCAGAAAATATCTTGTTAGAGGTTAAATAAAGTTTTCATGGCTACTGGGATGGATGGGTTTGATGGAGCAAGCATGTATGATGACACCCGTTGCCATATTGTTGTATTCTTACGATTCCTACTTGATGAAAACAAGGCGTGATACCCAGATGACAGGTAGAGCTCGTGGTCATCGTACAAAATTTTTCACAGCTGGGTATGATACTGTGAAATGCATACTGATACACAAACATACAAACCAGAAGAGCAATCCGATCTACCAGTGAATTCTGGATGCTTTGGTGCCGCATCTGGTAGTTGGATAGGCCTGATCTCCATTGTAACATGGTTAAGATAATGGTGCTTGCAAGCAAGTGATAAAAATGCAACAAATTAAAAGAAGTATATACAAATACATGTATATAACCAAAATATATATACTCATAATTGCAGCACAAAGTTTTAGTTTAAGTTACATATGAAGTCAAATCTTTACCACTAATTTAAAACAGACCAAATGCCACCATATAGTTTCAATTAACATAACCAATGAAATACCAAAGGTATCGTTTCATATTTTCCAAAATTTATATTTCAACAGATATTTTCTACTGTCATTCTATGGTATATATAACCCTCTACCATTTTCGCCAAACCTGATTTGAATGATTATTATTAGCCTATTGTGTACAGCACTAATGGGTCATACATCATGAAGTCATTTGGTGGATTTTTACAAACTGGAGAGACAGATCATATATATATATATATATATATATATATATATATATATATATATATATATATATATATATATATCCCAACCAGAATATACATAAAGAAAAAAAACATTCTTACCCAATTCTTCCTCTTCGGCTTGTCCTCTAAAAAACATTTTGTCCACTTCATACTGTAATGATTGAAATATATATATTGTTATTTAATTCAAATATGCTGACTAAGAGTTTAAAAAAACAGCCAGAAGGCTGCAGCTCCTCCTACACACTTGCAATCCTGATCATTTCAACTTTCAAAATCTACTTTCCTGACAAACCTGGCTACTTCTAAGGTATGTGACATAACAATTTATATACACTTCATTGCTTCCAATAGCCTCCAACTATGTCCCAGCATAGTTATCTAAATGTTACTATGATTTTATAAAAACCTGAATCCATCTGTATTATCAGTGCTAAAATATATATGGCTCTACTTTTGAATTTTCTTAAAGGTGTCCAATCTGAGATATTCCCACCAAATCAATTTCTCCTCAACAAAAAAAAACATTACTCTCCAACAAGTAATTTCTTCTTCAGTCATGAAATAATTTACCTCCAATATTTCAATGTCTAACAGAGCATCTTCATCTGGGAATGGGCTAGGCTATCCAGGTGAATAGCCTCAATGATTAGGAAAGGGTGGGGGCGCAAGTACATCTCCTGAATAAGGGCTATTCACCTGGATAGCCTCATTCCATTAGAGACTGCGATTGACAGATGCATAACAAATTCATTACAATTTCAGTGCATTATCAACTGCGAATAATTTGAGGTTTCAGGCATCTTTCATGGGGTCTTGCCGCTGTCTACGTACACGTTCTATTTTCGCGAAATATATTTAAACTGAAGGTTAAAACACAAGGTCAACGACAGTCCAAATTATTTCTCCGTGTTTTACCTTAGAGGGTTTGTATCCAAAGAGTGAAACCGTTGCAACTTTCAAGTCTTCTCTTGAGAGATACCCTTTATGTCCAGCATCGCTTTCGTGGAAAACCTAGAATGAAATAAAAATTAATAAAAATTTCAAATCTATCATATCCATCACCATCGCAACTGTACAACTATTTGAAAATGGACTTAAGTACTGGTGTTTAATCATGAAATTACTAATTCAAATAGGTAGCAAATTTTATAATGTCCTCAGTATATACCAAGCTAATAACGTGTTTTTCTGTCTCTTTGAGTGGTCTAGGGAAATAACTTTGCTTCTGGGATAGAAAATAAGACCGAAGTACTGAGGTCATCGCGTTTACATCTCAGGAAATAATCACAAAAAATCCCCCCTCCTTATATTCATCCTGCCCTATGGAATTCCGCCGGGGGTATCCCAGTTCACGCGTATGCTATTGGTGATGTAGCGCACGTGACTGAAAAACGTTATTTCATTGGAAGAACGCTCGAAAGTAGGTCATTATCATATTTCAATATGGCTGCATTGTGATTACTGATCTGCATTTCGTCTTTGTTTTTAATTATTTTATCGTTCTGTATTCACCATGTCTGCTCCATCCACACGTACAACTAGACTAAGTCTCCGAAGGTCAAAGAGAAAGCTACGAAGGCGGTCTTCGTCCCCGTTACAGGGAGAAACAGGTATGAAATTCACAATGTTTTGTTATGTCGGCGCGCCATGAAGGCATCATGTATTGATCAGTTTGCTCTTAGGATAGGGCATTATGTGTTTCAAAAGATGTTAAACCTGTACACCCATTTGTAGAAGCATTTGTTTTACATGATATTTAAGAATATCAAACACTTGTGAAATTATTCTCCAGCTTTGCTGGTAACCTTCATCTACGTAGTAGATGTCTTTCCTCAATGTAAATTGCGAAACGACTCCATTGTTGGATGGATGGGAAGATTTGACCCAAATTGGCGTGATTCATGTTTTGAGTCTTTTCCCAGCTACTTTTCTCTTAAATTGTCTGTAGTCTGAAAAAACTAAATGGTAAATTGGGCGCAACTTTTTCCACAAAGTGTGGACAATGATAAGCCAAAGATTCACAACTTATGTTAAACGGTCTATATTGTTCAGCAGTAAAATAGTCTGTCACACTCCATTTCTTGTACTCCAGTATGCAAGATTTTTTTAAAATGATGCTAATTAAACAAAACTCTGTACTATAATGTCAACTCCACATGATAAGGGGTTTTGAGAACAATTGTGTCTAGTTTTAAGATGCATATATGAAGCAAGAGTAAATACTTTGAAACTTAGTAAATCATAGGAAATAGTTCCCGTTTTCAACACGAAATAAATAAAATCTGCATGCAAAAAAAAAAAAAGGAGAGGGTCAGAGATCATAGGAAATAGTTCCCGTTTTCAACACGAAATAAATAAAATCTGCATGCAAAAAAAAAAAGGAGAGGGTCAGAGAAATAACCTTTCTTACAGCAGAAAGGGGCTTTTAAACTGCATGTTATTAAATTTCTGGTCATAAACTTTACCTACTTATTTCTCCCCAGCCTATAAAGCATAACACAAATATATGTGCAATATATTTTTCCAGGAAATAATGAAGTATGTGGTATTACTTTAAGTTAACCTATTTGAAACAATATGGTGGCTTTTGTTTGGAATGATATGCATCTTTAATAAGTAGTTGCAATCTTTAAATAAATATTTTGAAATTTTGCTGTATTTTTTGGATGTAGGATTGACTCGGTAAAATAATTAGAACATGTGTCTTAGGACTTCACTTGGTTTTATCCTCATTATATTTTTAGTACAGGCTTTTAAAAAGCATTTGTCATACTGATTCATACACCTATTGTACTGCTAACAATATATGTATAGAACTTCAAAACACTTAAATGAAAATCGACCTGAGTACTGGTATATTGCTGTTTGTGTTGATAGTATTGTTGATTTAGAGCGCATTCTCAACGAATTAAGCCAGGCTTTACAAAGCCGGTGACCTAAAAATGACGGACGTACATGAAAGAAAAACCGCCTAATCTTTTAATAGTCTCTCCGCCTCTCACACGCCTCCCCACACGTCGTCCCTGCGGGGTACAGTAATTAAATNAGTGTGGCCTTATGTAATAAATTGAACAATACCATGATTTTTTAACATAAAGTTCAGGTTTGAACATAGTCAATGATGTTATGTAAATAACTAGGTGCAATCTAATTCTGTCAGCAGAAAATATCTTGTTAGAGGTTAAATAAAGTTTTCATGGCTACTGGGATGGATGGGTTTGATGGAGCAAGCATGTATGATGACACCCGTTGCCATATTGTTGTATTCTTACGATTCCTACTTGATGAAAACAAGGCGTGATACCCAGATGGCAGGTAGAGCTCGTGGTCATCGTACAAAATTTTTCACAGCTGGGTATGATACTGTGAAATGCATACTGATACACAAACATACAAACCAGAAGAGCAATCCGATCTACCAGTGAATTCTGGATGCTTTGGTGCCGCATCTGGTAGTTGGATAGGCCTGATCTCCATTGTAACATGGTTAAGATAATGGTGCTTGCAAGCAAGTGATAAAAATGCAACAAATAAAAAGAAGTATATACAAATACATGTATATAACCAAAATATATATACTCATAATTGCAGCACAAAGTTTTAGTTTAAGTTACATATGAAGTCAAATCTTTACCACTAATTTAAAACAGACCAAATGCCACCATATAGTTTCAATTAACATAACCAATGAAATACCAAAGGTATCGTTTCATATTTTCCAAAATTTATATTTCAACAGATATTTTCTACTGTCATTCTATGGTATATATAGCCCTCTACCATTTTCGCCAAACCTGATTTGAATGATTATTATTAGCCTATTGTGTACAGCACTAACGGGTCATACATCATGAAGTCATTTGGTGGATTTTTACAAACTGGAGAGACAGATCATATATATATATATATATATATATATATATATATATATATATATATACCCCAACCAGAATATACATAAAGAAAAAAAAAACATTCTTACCCAATTCTTCCTCTTCGGCTTGTCCTCTAAAAAACATTTTGTCCACTTCATACTGTAATGATTGAAATATATATATTGTTATTTAATTTGAATATGCTGACTAAGAGTTTAAAAAACCAGCCAGAAGGCTGCAGCTCCTCCTACACACTTGCAATCCTGATCATTTCAACATTCAAAATCTACTTTCCTGAAAAACCTGGCTACTTCTAAGGTATGTGACATAACAATTTACATGTGTATATACACTTCATTGCTTCCAATAGCCTCCAACTATGTCCCAGCATAGTTATCTAAATGTTACTATGATTTTATAAAAACCTGAATCCATCTGTATTATCAGTGCTAAAATATATATGGCTCTACTTTTGAATTTTCTTAAAGGTGTCCAATCTGAGATATTCCCACCAAATCAATTTCTCCTCAAGAAAAAAAAACATTACTCTCTATAGCATACATCTCCAACAAGTAATTTCTTCTTCAGTCATGAAATAATTTACCTCCAATATTTCAATGTCTAACAGAGCATCTTCATCTGGGAATGGGCTAGGCTATCCAGGTGAATAGCCTCAATGATTAGGAAAGGGTGAGGGCGCAAGTACATCTCCTGAATAAGGGCTATATTCACCTGGATAGCCTCATTCCATTACAGACTGCGATTGACAGAATGAGATGCATAACAAATTCATTACAATTTCAGTGCATTATCAACTGCGAATAATTTGAGGTTTCAGGCATCTTTCAAGGGGTCTTGTCGCTGTCTACGTACACGTTCTATTTTCGCGAAATATATTTAAACTGAAGGTTAAAACACAAGGTCAACGACAGTCCAAATTATTTCTCCGTGTTTTACCTTAGAGGGTTTGTATCCAAAGAGTGAAACCGTTGCAACTTTCAAGTCTTCTCTTGAGAGATACCCTTTATGTCCAGCATCGCTTTCGTGGAAAACCTAGAATGAAATAAAAATTAATAAAAATTTCAAATCTATCATATCCATCACCATCGCGACTGTAAAAGTTTGAAAATGGACTTAAGTACTGGTGTTTAATCATGAAATTACTAATTCAAAATAGGTAGCAAATTTTATAATGTCCTTACCAAGCTAATAACGTGTTTTTCTGTCTCTTTGAGTGGTCTAGGGAAATAACTTTGCTTCTGGGAAAGAAAATAAGACCGAAGTACTGAGGTCATCGCGTTTACATCTCAGGAAATAATCGCAAAAAATCCCCCCTCCTTATATTCATCCTGCCCTATGGAATTCCGCCGGGGGTATCCCAGTTCACGCGTATGCTATTGGTGATGTAGCGCACGTGACTGAAAAACGTTATTTCATTGGAAGAACGCTCGAAAGTAGGTCATTATCATATTTCAATATGGCTGCATTGTGATTACTGATCTGCATTTCGTCTTTGTTTTTAATTATTTTATCGTTCTGTATTCACCATGTCTGCTCCATCCACACGTACAACTAGACTAAGTCTCCGAAGGTCAAAGAGAAAGCTACGAAGGCGGTCTTCGTCCCCGTTACAGGGAGAAACAGGTATGAAATTCACAATGTTTTGTTATGTCGGCGCGCCATGAAGGCATCATGTATTGATCAGTTTGCTCTTAGGATAGGGCATTATGTGTTTCAAAAGATGTTAAACCTGTACACCCATTTGTAGAAGCCTTTGTTTTACATGATATTTAAGAATATCAAACACTTGTGAAATTATTCTCCAGCTTGCTGGTAACCTTCATCTACGTAGTAGATGTCTTTCCTCAATGTAAATTGCGAAACGACTCCATTGTTGGATGGATGGGAAGATTTGACCCAAATTGGCGTGATTCATGTTTTGAGTCTTTTCCCAGCTACTTTTCTCTTAAATTGTCTGTAGTCTGAAAAAACTAAATGGTAAATTGGGCGCAACTTTTTCCACAAAGTGGGGACAATGATAAGCCAAAGATTCACAACTTATGTTAAACGGTCTATATTGTTCCGCAGTAAAATAGTCTGTCACACTCCATTTCTTGTACTCCAGCATGCAAGATTTTTTTAAAATGATGCTAATTAAACAAAACTCTGTACTATAATGTCAACTCCACATTATAAGGGGTTTTGAGAACAATTGTGTGTGTAGTTTTAAGATGCATATATGAAGCAAGAGTAAATACTTTGAAACTTAGTAAATCATAGGAAATAGTTCCCGTTTTTAACACAAAATAAATTAAATCTGCATGCAAAAAAAAGGAGAGGGTCAGAGAAATAACCTTTCTTACAGCAGAAAGGGGCTTTTAAAAGTTCTGCATGTTATTAAATTTCTGGTCATAAACTTTACCTACTTATTTCTCCCCAGCCTGTAAAGCATAACACAAATATATGTGCAAATATATTTTTCCAGGAAATAATGAAAGTATGTGGTATTACTTTAAGTTAACCTATTTGAAACAGTATGGTGGCTTTTGTTTGGAATGATACAGTATGCATCTTTAATAAGTAGTTGCAATCTTTAAATAAATATTTTGAAATTCTGCTGTATTTTTTGGATGTAGGATTGACTCGGTAAAATAATTAGAACATGTGACTTAGGACTTCACTTGGTTTTATCCTCATTATATTTTTAGTACAGGCTTTTAAAAAGCATTTGTCATACTGATTCATACACCTATTGTACTGCTAACAATATATGTATAGAACTTCAAAACACTTAAATGAAAATCGACCTGAGTACTGGTATATTGCTGTTTGTGTTGATAGTATTGTTGATTTAGAAAGGGTTCATACAGTACACCAATGTGCTTACTAACCTTATCTTTTCGTCAGTATTCACTGACTAAGTTTTTTTTTGACAGCTTATTAGTTTTTGACACTGCACTATTAAGAAAAATATGAAAGTAAGCAACTTGCCAATATGTTATTGATAGTTTCTTGTATGCATGTTTTGTACAGAAATTAATAAAATGTACTCACTTAAAAATAATAATAATTTTTTGTTTTAAAACGCATTGTGCTTTGTATCATAAAAGATCTTTTACTCAGATAGTAAACTTAAATTATTAAACACCTTTATTTTACTTAAATAATAAATTTATTAAAAGAATCAATTTTGATATAAAAAAAGGGGCGGGGGAGGGCTTAAAAAACTAGACTTCATTAGCAAATTGCTGTCTTGTTTAAAAAGAGCATGAGTTTGGACTTCTTTATAATCCAGGAAATAAGAGAGTGTAGACAGGTCTACCTGGGTTGTTTTATTTACATAGTACTTCCTGATGCAGTCTTACATGCTTACCTTTATTGGCTACATGATTGCAGATCTTTTGGCCTTATTTTTTATCCATTCAGCTAACAGTAATATGCAGCAGTTTTTTGTAACAAATCGTGTCAGCCAAGTTAACTTTTTTTTCTATCCCTTTTTGATGTGATCAGTAAAGAGAGAACTGGTAATTCTTGTTGGTAATTAATTTCAAGATGTTCATTGATGTTTTTGAAGTGACAAAATTGTTCAATAATGATGTTCCTCATTTTACCAATGTTGGCTATCAGTAATTTTGAAAATCAAGTTCTCTGTGGTGCAAAAAAGAAGCTCATGAGGAAACTAAGTGTGTACAATGAACTTTTGATTAAAGCAATCAGTGTATTGAAGTGGCTTATCAGTTGTGTGTTTGGGACAGCTCAGGTGGTTACTCCATTAACATAATGGGGTTTTTACTGGCCATCTTGACTGGTGTGGGCTTGTTAGGTCAGGGTGTGATAATAGGGATACATAATAACTCCCCATTTTCTGCTGGGTTGACACTGATATCAGGTTATGATAATGACCTCACACACATCTAACAAGTACAGTCTACAATCAAAGCTTGTTGGTTAATTTGAACTGGAAGAGGTGAACGTTTACACTGATCAGAATGAAGACTTGCCTAATGCTGCATGCATTCAGTACCTGGAAACTAGTTTAGTGGAATCAATAGCTCAAAAGCCTCAATGCACCACATTTATCCTTAGACTGCAAAAGCCTCAATGCACCACATTTATCCTTAGACTGCCTCTGGACTGCTTCATGTACAATTAAAAATGTGATCTCTTGATGAGCTTTAAGATTGTCAATTTGCACTGGGTCTTATCTTCTGTAACAGACAGTAATTATGAATGTTTATGTCCAGACACCAATACATTTAATGCTGAAACCAGACTGTCTACATTTTGGCTCTATTACACAAATGGATGGAGAAGATTGAAATCAGTCTCTGTAGACTGCTTTTTGTAACCCGGAAATAGATAAGCTGTTGTTTAATGTATTTGAACACTGTTCTCACATTTATGAAATAAACCTATTTTAAAGGTCAGTAGCCCCATGGGATCAACTGTTATGTATTTTTCTACTGGGAAAGGTACTGAAATATGTTATCCTCAATTGGATGAGGTTAGATTTATTTCCAGGTGCATTATTAATATCATAATGTGTATATATATATATATATATATATATATATATATATATATATATATATATATATTAAAAAGAATTTAAAGGATTTTAAAAGATCCCAGTTTTGAATTGAAAGTGACTAATAAAGTAGAACCATTTAAAGTCCACAAGTAATTGTTCTGATGTTTATAGATTTGTTTACAAGTTGCACTACTGGTTCTTTCTGGATTATTTGGTGCATTTATAATAATAATAATTATTATTATTATTATTGATATTTAACTCTGCCCTCACCAACTTTTAGAGTATTGTTATTCTGCTTACTTTGCTTGTTAGTTATCATATTTGCCGCTGCACCTGGTGAAAAGTTAGTTCTCATGGATCACTGTTATTATTCCAGCAAACGCAAATCTTGTGAGGTCATCAAGTTGTGAACCAGGCCCAAGCATAGTCACACATGGTTACCACTTGAGACGCAAGGCATCTACAAATGAAACTAATGACCAGTCCCTAACTACAAATGCTTTACCAGCCAAAAGAGCCAGACGAGGACAGACTACTTATGCCACTGGTACAAGAAGTAAGTCTATCAAGGGACATTTGACTCAGATAATTGAATTATAGATGTCTTTTAGAACTAACAATGCTGTTAAAAGCTGAAAAGGCAAAGGGTATATCAAGCAAATCACAAATGTATGATCATTATTTTATTTTATTGTATGTTGCAGCATTGTATATTTGTTGTAAATCTGTGAAATGTTTGCAGAATGTAGTGAGGAAGAAGACTTGTATGCTGAACAACATTTGTTATTAAATAAATTCTCTCAACTTTTTTAGATTCAGTGGCTGCCAGATATTTGCAACAAGAACTGCCAGATGAAGTTTTACTAAAGATCTTCTCCTATTTGCTTGAATTTGATCTGTGCAGTGTGGCACAAGTTTGTAAAAGGTTTCACACTATTGCCAATGACCAAGAACTTTGGAAAAACTTGTATCAAGAAGTTTATGAGTACCAATCTCCATTGTTCAATCCTGAATTAGGAAGTTTCAAATTTGTGGAACCACAGGATTCGGACCATGCCAACCCTTGGAAAGAAAGCTTCAAACAACTGGTAAGAGACTTAGTATCCATTTTTTGAGGTTCTTCTAATTATAACATACTGTATCTTTATGTTAGAAAGTGCGGACCCAGACATGCTGAAAATTGCCGGCCGCCGGCCCTTGACCCACCAATCAGGCAGTCGGGCCGACAATATTCTTAAAATTTTAGTGTATGTCGGCCCAATTTGGCCGGCAATAATTTCTGACTCACCTAGTACGGTTATTAATTTTTCAAAAATCTTCCACCCAGTATGTTTATTAACTACCTATCGTACCGGTGGGAAATTATACAAGTACAAGTCCCGCTTTTTATTTTCTTAAATTGAAGTATAATGAGAAGGAAATCGAGATCTCAACTCATTACCCTACTGTTCGACAAACAGCACTGGAAAGTAGGTCAAGCGGAAGTCGCTCTCTGAACACTACGATACACGTGTTGTCTGATTTCAGTTTCTATAAATAGACGTGCTTTCCCTTCAACAGTGACAACTACTCATGTATATCGATTGAATAATGACTTGTCGCAAGGTGATAGGATCATATTTATAGCTAACGAGGTCATTTCAAGTGCAGCAAAGAAGTTGTGTCTGTTTTCAAACGTCAATTAGGCCTATTTCATGCGGATTTATGATTTAAACGATGTTAAATCACACTTTTATGTAAGTTAAACCCTTAGGAGTTTACAGGTATGCAAAACAAACCTTATATCTGAGAATAAATTTACTTTAAATAACGTCTCCTAACAGCGTATGTCTATCGGAGGCGGTTTTGGTGCGTCTTTGGACCCTGACGATTATGAAATTGAACTCGTATATCATATCCGTGGATGCTGTTCACATGAATGTACTATATATTTTCATCATTAGGCGGTGACAAAAATGACATTTTGATACATTATTCAGAACGTATGGCAATTTTTTTTTTTTTTGAAAATAAATTAGATATCCTGTTTTCAATATAAATAAATTATAATACTGAGTGAATTTTACCTGCTGAAAGTTTTTTTTACAATGATAAATAGTTTTTTTTTTCTCTTCCTTATTTTTATTTATATTTTTTATTCCATCCAGTACTTTTATTTTCTTTCTCTTCTACTTCTTTATTTTATTTATTTATTTTATTCCATCCAGTACATTTATTAAATTTCGAGACTTTTTCCACCCAGTACTTTTATTCCATCAGTACTTTTATTCGATACTTCAGAGTAATACAATTTACTGTTAAGCTCTATACAATGCAAGTTAAAGTCATGTGTAGGTTGGGATAATTTGACATTTTGTCTAAAGCTGCTGTAAGAAACTCAAAACTTGGAAAAGTGCTCTTGGGTAGTTTAGAATGATTTAGCTCAGGTAAGGCCTGGTTTAAGGTTAGTCTTGGAAAATTTGTTTTCTGTGAGTTTTGATGCCTTTTTGGCCCTTAGTTTACCTTTAAGTCATATATTACCCAGATGTTATCTGAGCAGTAAAATGTCTCTTCAATAATAGATCTATTCAAAGATGCAGTTATTTGATTTTTAATCACCTAATTGCTACTCAACTGTCCTTTTAAAGTGTATAAAGCAGAAGTTAAAAGTGCACAGTTTTTACGTGAAATAGGGTAAATATACAAATTAATGCGAAAAACATTTGGGCCGGCAATATCTTGTCCGGGCCTGCAATATTCAGATCTAAGCAGGCCAATTGGCCTGCATTGCCCTCAGAGTTTTTAGCATGTCTGCGGACCACAATTTGTGAAAGGACACCCAGAAGTTGAAACCCTAAGAGATTAATATGGACATAATTGCATTATTAAAAGAAATCATTGGTGAGCATCAAGTGCGCATGCACACGCACACACACACACACACACACACACACAGATATATGTCCTAATAGGGGGCTGCAGGTGATCTTTTGATCTTTCTTTTAACACAAATGAAAGTGCTTTCTGTCTTTGTAATGTATGGATCTGTACTCTGCTCGTTTTCTTCAATAATTTACAGTAACCCTTATTAAATTACTCTAAGAAAATACTAGAACATTTGTTTACAGTGAATCTTGGCATGCTTTTGTGATTATCATAATTGTATTTTAATTTAGTTCTGGGACATAATTATCAGATGACAGAAAAAAATTGTTTTTTTTTATCTTTCAGTATCATGGTGTCCATGTCAGGCCTGGCTTTCATGAACAGTATGAGGATAATCCAAAAAGATACCAGGGTAGAAACATGGTGGTAAGTTGAAACATTTGATGAAGTTATTTCTTTCACTATTTAATATGAATCCAGTTATCAGAGCCAGCTAGAAATTTGAGCATTGGCAGCATATTATTTATGAGTTCTGATAGAAGGATTAAGATAGGGGCTGTGATATTTTTTTAAAATGGATACTGATGGATTATGTGGACCAATGTGTCTAAGGGCTCATTGGCATAAAATTAAGTTTATGAAAAGGAAAAAAATAGAATAAACTGTGCACAAGCTGTTAACATGAAACCTGCATTATTGTAAAAAGTGCAGTATGGAAACTGCTCATGCTTTGCTATAATTGAAATATGTAAATAATAATGATAAAAATATTCAGCAATAGCTCCATTCATTTTAATGAATTCTTTTTGTTTATTTGTTTATGTATTTGTTTTTTAAAAATCTTACCTCCTGTAGCAGAAGTTTTGGCTGAAACAAAATAAACTGGAACAGCCAAAATTTATATATATTAAAAAATAATCTTTCATACATTGTATTTGAATATAATTATTTGTGGTTGTTTTTTGTTTTATTATTTAGTTCTGTGACACAATTGACCAAGCATATAGCTATGTTGATTCTGAAGAAATGGAACATCCTTTAGTCTTTGTGCACTCTGGAATATACCAAGGGGAATATTTAGTCATTGACATGAACATAAGCATGATTGGTGCAGGTTAGTGGAATTAATAAGAATACAAAATTAAAGGTTATCAAGTTATGCAGAATTTTAATTGTGGCATCTATTACAATTAAACAGTTAATTTATCTATATAATTTAGACAACATGTTGTTTTTAATATTTATTTTTATATCTGCAGTTGACTATTTGAAGGGAAAATGTGCTAGCGTGCATTAAGACTTTTTTATGTTCTCTTTAGCACCTGGCAATGTAATTGATCACGTTATCATAGAAAGACAGAGTGAATCTACAGTTACATTTATGGAAGGAGCAAATACAGCATATTTTGGTCATATGACTGTTAAGGTTTGTATTTCTCTCACCAATTTAAAATTTGACATTGTGCAAAACATTTATCTTGCACATTTTTGTACTTTGAAGGGAAGTAAACTTAAAGTTATTTGCCATAATTGCAGTTTTTCAAGTTACCATATGGTATATTCCTGTTGACTGTTAATGCCAAAAACTTAATAATTGATATTGGATTAACTTTTTGTAAAGCAATGTTTAATCTTAATCTAAAAGAGTAAATTTAATTTAAATTTGTATTTCCAGTTCTCTCCAGACCTGACCTGTACAGTCCCCCACCACAAGCATTATGCCTTAGAGGTGTCCTCCAACTGTTCTCCCATCATAGATCACTGTGTGATCAGGAGCTCTTCTGCAGGTTAGTCACACTTCTCATGCAAAGTATTTCTGTATTTTTTCAGTGAAGAGCTAGCTCAGCATCAACTGTCTATTTTAAAATTTGGAATAATTTTTTTTCACAATAGAAGACCTTTCCTGAATTATTCTAGAAAGATGACATTCATGGGTGCTTGATTTGAGAAATCTGCTAAGCACAAGAGACATTTGCCTAGCCTAATGCATTGTCCAGAAGTGCTGCATTCTTCAACTATTACTTTTCTTTTCTAGTTGGTGCTGCTGTGTGTGTGGTTGGAACCAATGCAGACCCTACAATCAAGCACTGTGACATCAGTGACTGTGAAAATGTTGGCCTTTATGTCACTGATGCAGCACAGGTAAGGTAGTGCTCCCAGGCAAACAGTTTAATAGTTGCTAAATGTTTCGACTGTAGGCCTTTATATGTATTTAGTTTTTATCAGCACAAGATTGATGTTAGACAGTAAATGTACAATTTCACAGATATATTGATATTTAAGTTGTTTGTAAATGTAAATTCCTATTAATCAATGAATGTTTCTTGAGAGAACTTGAGTGGACATGAAAACTGATTTAGTAAAATTACACATTAAAAATTTTTTTTAATCTATCAGGGCACATATGAAGACAATGAGATAAGTCGAAATGCACTGGCTGGTATATGGGTAAAAAATCATGCCAACCCTATAATGAGACGTAATCACATCCACCATGGGAGGGATGTTGGAATCTTTACCTTTGACAATGGCAATGTATGTTTATTTATTTAAAAGCTTTAACTTATGTTTGGATTGTTACTTGATAGTATTAATTGTGTCTTTATCCAGATGTGGTGTCAATTTTTTTTTTTTTTTTTTTCAAATCAACTTCTGAAATTTGAGTTAAATATATTTGCAAGCACTGTTCTTCTGTACTTTAACCATGTTTAGATATTATATGGATGAAGTCGTGGATGCCATACATATGCCTGCTTATAGCAATGTGTTGATTTTCTTAGGGTTACTTCGAAGCTTGTGACATTCATGATAACAGAATAGCAGGGTTTGAGGTGAAAGCAGGTGCTAATCCAACTGTAGTCAAGTGTGAAATCCACCATGGGCAGACTGGAGGAATATATGTCCATGAAAATGGGAGAGGACAGTTTATAGAAAACAAAATCCACTCCAACAACTTTGCTGGTGTGTGGGTCACATCAAATAGTGATCCTACAATAAGGTAACTGTCTTTGGCAACAATGCTGAGATTTAATGTTAAAGTTTGCTTTTTCGCCAAATCTTCATTTTTACTTTTACAAGGCAAATTACATTGAAATTGTTAATCTTCGTGTGTAATCTCAAGCACGCTAATTGTTTATTTTTTTCCAGGAAAAATGAAATTTACAATGGTCACCAAGGAGGTGTTTATATATTTGGAGAAGGGCGAGGTCTAATTGAAGGAAACAATATCTATGGTACGTTAAAATTTGGATTTTGTCTAATGTGATCATAATTTTGCACTAGAACAAGATAATGCTGGAGGGTAAAGTGTATATCATATGCAAGGTTTACTTGTTAGTGATTGCAGCATTATTTGGTTTAGTATCTTATGAGATGTATTCACACATGATAAAATTGTTCTATAGCATTTTCTTTGACATCATCAGTTGACTTGTTATCAGAAGGTTTCCAACCCAGCAGAAATAGAGTAAAGTAAAGTAAATTGACATCAGATCTGGGTATCACAGGTATGTTACTTTTTTAGGTAACGCTTTGGCTGGAATCCAAATTCGGACAAATAGCAACCCAATAGTACGTCACAATAAAATTCACCATGGGCAACATGGGGGAATTTATGTGGTAAGTCTAATTGCCAAGATTTATAGACATGATGTCAGAAAATAATTTTGTTGTAGTTGTGTTACCATTTTAAAAATATATATATAAATAGTAATTTCAGAAAAATGAAGCATTTACAACCTTAAGGTGATAAATGAAATAAATGATCCAGGCCGTTGAATATTTATAGATTTCATCTCTCTAATCTGTCATCATTTTCTTAAAGCATGAAAAGGGACAAGGTTTGATAGAAGAAAATGAAGTTTATTCAAACACACTAGCAGGAGTGTGGGTGACCACAGGAAGCACACCTATTCTAAGAAGAAACAGAATACACAGTGGAAAACAGGTATGGGAACTATTTGTCATTAGCATTTTACCTGCATTGAATGCTATATCCATTATTTGTAAGTTTAGATAATATCAAATATATACATATGGGGGTTCTTTTGCATAAACTAATATTCCTTCCTAGTTTAGTGCAATTTATTAGGCAGTTTTGACCGATATTAAAGTTCCATTTGTTGCAATCATGAAAGGCTATTTGATTTGTTAAGATTTATTGTTGTTATTAAAGTGTACCCTAAGTATGTTATGAAGTTTTGATGATGGGGAAAAAGAATAAGAGTTAAAAAGAAAAAAAAAGTTTATACATAATCTGCTCCAAATGCTCAGTAACTTCTTATCCTGTGACTAAAATTATATTATATATTTTCTCAGGTTGGTGTCTATTTTTATGACAATGGCCATGGGACATTAGAAGAAAACGACATCTTTAATCATCTATATTCTGGAGTCCAGATAAGGTAACTGAATATCTTTTCAATAGTTTGCACAATTTCTTTTAAGGATGATTAAGTTCCATAGCAATGTTATACTATAATTATAACCTATTTACTGTAGTTGAAATAGAAGACTTTGGATATGAATGGTCAATATGTGTAGCAAACAGGGGTTACGTGGTTGTTTTTGGCCAAGATGAGATGTACTTGTTTCTTTTCTATTCAATACTAAAAAATGTTTATAATCAAGTATGATGTTTCTATCCTGCTTCCAGGACTGGTAGCAACCCACTCATCAAGAAAAACAAGATATGGGGTGGCCAGAATGGTGGCATTCTTGTCTATAATAATGGCCTCGGGGTAATAGAACAAAATGAAATTTTTGACAATGCAATGGCAGGTGTGTGGATCAAGACAGACAGTAACCCCACTCTGAGGAAGAACAAGATCCATGATGGCAGAGATGGTGGGATATGCATTTTCAATGGAGGAAAGGGTATGCTATTGTTACATATTTATTGGTTTAATCCATTGCTGGGTTTTAAGAGCATGATTGCTCTGTCACTGTACTACACTTTGTTGGAAGGAGAACAAGAGTGTTTCTGATGGTCAGATATAACACATTGAAATGCCTTATCCACTTTTACTGCCAGTAGGAATGTTATAACCTTTACTTGGATAAATGACCACTACATTATGTTGTCCCTTGTTGTATGCTTTCACAATAATGATAACTTTAATACATATATCACTTTGTATTAGGTATTCTGGAAGAAAATGACATCTTCCGCAATGCTCAAGCAGGAGTCCTGATCAGTACCCAGAGCCACCCCATCTTGAGGAAAAACAGGATATTCGGCGGAAGAGCAGCTGGAGTGGAAATCACTAATGGTGCAACAGCAACTCTAGAGTTCAACAAAATTTTTGACAACAAGTTTGGAGGGTTGTGCTTAGCAAGTGGAGTTCATCCTTCAACTAAAGGTTTGTTAAACTTTAGGCAATAGGTTATTATTAGTACATTATGGAACAGTGGTGACATTGTACAAGTTGACAGTTGTACAAGTGAAAATGTTTAAGGGCATTATCTTGTTATGAATCTCAGTTAAGTTTTGCATATTTTTGTAGACAAACTCTTGGGCACGGCCATCAACAGTATCCGCTTGAGGTGTTCTGGAATGTATCAATTGGGGTGACAGTGTATTATCTGACACTTGCGTCTGTCTGTCTCTCTTTGAGTAAAACATTTGACATTTTCTTTAATTTTTTGTTCCAGAAAACAAAATATTTGGCAATCACAATATGGTAGAAAAAGCTGTAGCCACCGGCCAGTGCCTTTACAAAATCTCCAGTTGCACCAGCTTTCCCATGCATGATTTCTACAGGTAAGTATAGAGGCATAGTTGTAAAGTACAGGGCAAAACTAGTAATATAAAAAAGTGTATGTTAATAATGCATACTAGTTAACAATCCGCAATTTTCAAGAAAATTAAGGAATTAAAAATTGAAGTCTAATAGCAGAAACAAACAGATTGTTCGCGTTCTCGGAGAGCTGGTAACACAATTTTATTGCATAAGGAAAATGATCTGAAAAAAATTCATCTTCCTGTTTTACTTTGTTACAGGTGTAGGACATGTAACACCACAGACCGGAATGCTATATGTGTGAACTGTATTAAGTCTTGCCATGCTGGTCATGAAGTGGAATTTATTAGACACGACAGGTACATTTGTATTGATTTTTCATTGCATATATTAAATCACTGTCAGAAAGCACAAAGCTTCTCATTTAATATAGAAATTGCATAAAAATTGAAGTCATCATTATTTCTTGCAGTGCATTTTTACATATTTATTGGTCAAAATATTTTTGAATGTTTGAAAGTAAATTTTATTTCCAGCGGAATATTTTTCTTTCTTTGTGTGTTTCTCAAGCACTGTCGAATCAATTGGTTAGTTGCACCAGATACTTCACTAATAAGACATCAGTATATCCAGTGTGTGTTCATTTGGACATATCTTGCTTTATAAACTTAGGTTTTTCTGCGACTGTGGAGCAGGGACACTGAACAACTCGTGTACATTGCAAGGAGAGCCCACACAGGACACTGACACTTTATATGACTCTGCTGCACCGTCTGAGACACATACATTGATGGTGAATTAACAAGAGATGTCCATAATGCATAACGCCAACTGCCTTTGGAGAATTTTCCGAAAGGGTGGGAGATACCATCGCTTGTGTGCAACAAGGTCTAATCAAACATGATTATTGCAATAAAGAGGATGAGAAAGAACTGGAAACAGATTGATAGAGGATTTTGGCAGTGGGGTGTTGGGATTATTGTTGTGCAATCAAGATTTTACTTTTACAAGTCAACAGAAAATATACATTTACACACACATTCACCAGATATATACATACAAACACAACTTTATATATAAATATGAATATTTGTGTATACTGCCAAGATGAGAGTGCTATAAAGAATCAAACGAAGTCTCCTCTTTTACAGGAGATTTTGAAGGCCCCTGTTTGGTAAAGTTTGATGAAATGCTGTTTGCAGTTCACAGGGTCTGGTGTGAATATTGTACAAATGTGCCAGTAGCTGTAGGTTGTTGCACTCACAAAGTGTGATTGGAGTGAAATGTTTTGGTGCTAGTCCAAGAGTATTTATGTTATATCTGTGTGTTGTGTGTAAGATTGCCTTTTACTGTGAAAGGAGATCTTAAAAGAAAAGAAAAAATAAATTAAAAATTAGGGTGAAAGTTGCCTTAAAACTAGTGAAAATTTTAAGGAATATTATTATGCACTTTTTTGTGCAACGATATGTTATAATTCACTTTAATGAAATAATACATGCACATTTACAATGCTGAATGTGGAATTGACATGTTGATAAATGCATTATTGGTTTAATCAATTCCCAGCTATAGACTGTTTAGTTTATTCATCTGGAATTACCACTGTATTAGTTGAATCATGCTAATATAAGTTTTCAAGGGACTTGTCATTGTTATTGTATAACATCTATTTACAGTATAATATCACTGTTGTTACCATTTTATATCAGTGCAATGACTGAGTCACTTATTAAAATCCACCTCAGAATACATAGGTTATTAAAAATAATGAATAATACTTCATTATTTCTAACAGAAGCAAGAACTACCAACTGCTGAACAAGGAGTTATAACATCCCAGAAAATGAGTTTTAATATGTTTTCAAGTGCACTGTACTTGTATTTCATTCATTGTTGCAAATAATGTTGCAGCTTGGATATATAGCAATCGCATTGAAGAGGTTGCAGTTTTTTTAAAGCGACATGTAGTATCCTTTTCAAAAAGGTTACATGAATGGTAGTTCTGGAATACTTGACCTTAGCAGTAGAATCGGTTTCTTTCCCACAAATTTAAGGATTTGATTTCTTTCCCTTGCACAGAAAAAACAGCATTGGGATTTTTCATTTTCATTCTTGTATAAAACCCAGATCCAATAGTTTGTTGTATTGAACATGTTATGTCTTCCACCACAATAACCCCCCCCACCTTCTACCCTTCTATAATAATATGCACACGTAAAGATTGGCTTTGTAGCTGTGTACATTGTAACTGAACAAATTATTTTTCTGTTCCATTTTTCTAACTAGTCACTTTGACATAGGATTGGCACTCTCCTTTCGATTAATAGATATTTTTACTGTGATTGATTCTACCTTAAAACATGGCTTTCTTTGGATATTTTAGTCTAGATGGAGAAAAGGGAAAATCTTTCAAACATCACAACCCACCTTAAAAACCCACTTAAGAGTGGAGCTGACTCGCAGACAAATTTTATTGAAATGGGTTTAATTTATTAGATGATATTACATGTTATTTGTGAGAGAGTATTTTATGTACGTGGTTGTGTTGAAAGAGTTGATGCCTTGCTGTTCAACACCAAGAGTTTTCTATTTTAAAATGGATCAGAACTAAAGGGGTTCTTGTACTAATAAAAGGGTCCCCATTTGTACTCTCTTAAAGGTAAAGGGGAGTTGCTTGCATTGCTACTGCTGTCTTCTTGCCTTGACGTTCTTGGGTGTTTAACAGTTTAATGATGTGGTTGTTTTTGTTTTGTTATTGAGTATAACGTGGTACTGCAGCTCTGTACAGCTGTAGAATAGCTTTTGACTTTACAATAATATACTGAATCCACATATATTAAACTTCTGTTCATGAGTAATATTCAATTTATTTCCACTCAAGTAGATTGACAATGACTGGGAAGTTCAATATGTTTACAATGCTTATTTGCCTCTTTTCACTTCTGTACAGCTTTTCCCCCATGTAATATGTAGCAGTGTAAATACATGTAGCAGTCATCACAACTGCATATTTGACAGAAGATACTTATTCACAGTATTGAACATGTAAAGGAAGCAGCTACAAATAAAAATATGAATGGATTTTGACTTATTTTTTGCATTTTGGAGTCTAGCTTTGCCAAATTGTGTGTTCACCCTCAAGTGGAAGCAAATGACATCTTGGGTAAATGAAAACTTGTCGTGAAGCAAGGACTTGGGAACTCTTCATTTAGTTTTTATTTCTTTTTATTTATTTTTATTTTTTATTTTTTTTTGCAAACAAAACAAGCAGACCAATATACTTCAGAATTTTTCCTTGAGAAAATAATGAAAAGTAAACCACTTGTCTTGCAGGAGGATTCGTGTTGAGTATGAATCAAATGTCCATACGATACTGTCCATAATTCCACAGTTTTATGTCCAGTATGTAATGCAGAGCACCCCTGGTATTTTTTTACTAGTATGTAGAATACAAAAGTTCGCTGCATTTTGCATCCCTGCAAGCACCATTAGGAGGTTTTTTCATTTTGCACTTAAAATATTTTAATCAAAATTAATGTGTACTATGCTATTGAAGAAAGACAAGGACAAACCACATGACGTAGGAAATTACGAAATTCGAATAATTTAACTGCACAAAGTGTCCTTTGTAATCGTCGTGTTCTCCAAAACCTATTAGGATCGCAGCAAATCGCTGTAAAGTTTCTAGTTAAACGTAATTAATTAATTTTGACGCACGTTATCTGAACCTGAATCTGTATCCTTGAAGCGCTGCACACTGATCATTTGGCAACAATTCGTTACTTGAAATAAAATATTACTTACAATTTTTTTTAAATTTATGTTAAAACATCTGAAAAGGCGAGGCACTTCATTTGGCAAGCAAAGCAAATCTTTCACCAAAAAGGTAGATAGTTTAATATCTTTAAAAAAATTAAATTACACAAACTATAATTCTTTCTCTTACACTTTCGGTTCCCAGCTCTGCGTGCGGCTGTTATACTCCACGCGTTTGGAATTAAACACTAACAGATTCACTTCATTGGAGAATCGAACGCCATCATTACTGACTGATATTTGCAATCTAACAACAACATGAACTGCTTGGCCTGCAATTGGTTTCGCTAGCACAGCACTCCGCACTGTACTGGGAATGTGGCAGATCACTTCGCCGAATGACACGAACTCCGCCTTCGTGTTTTTGGTTGTAACTCCACTCTCCACGAACTCGTGTCCATTGTATGTCATCTGAAAATACAGGTTTTTTTATCAAAAGTATTGTACACCTTCAACAACTCCCCCAAGCATTTTTCTCAGCTTTCGGAATTTTTCTCTACACGAAACACGGTTATTTTAGGTGTTATTTAGATCTTTTAAATGCTACAAGAACAAAACTGAAACACTCTATCATTTGCATTGGCTGCCAAGTCGATTCATCTTTTAAAAAGTAATAATTGAAACCATGCTATGTCCATGTCTACATTTATGTTGTAAATTATTTGGCCAGTCTGTATAACGTCCCAATCGCTGGAACGGGTGCAAACGAATTATTCAAAATAGACAATTCTTCACTCACCACTATGTGTTGTATCTTGCAAGTGAGATTCGAACTCCTGTAGAACGCTCCAGTCGCTTGAAGTCTGGTCGTCAAACATGGCCGTCTGAGCGCATCGCAGAAACGCTTTTGCACAGCGCGCCCAGATATTCTGAAGAACACGCTGGGGATGCTATCTGTCCTGACCGAGCAGTCCTCAGCAGTGAATCCAGCGTGACAGTGACACTGTCCATTGTCGCACCGACCCTGTCCGCTACATTGACGAGGACAGCGTAGACGCAAGATTTTCTGAACATTTTCTTTCTCACTGGAAAGCGTGGATGCATACTGGATGCAGCGGTCCTCCATATTGTCGGAAGCGGCTTCTGCAAACGTTACGTCGTTTGTCAACTGGATATTAAAAAACAAAGTGTTTGATTGAAGAAAGTACCATGGAAAAGTTGATCTGTGTTATATATTTCTAAATAATATTGATTTATCGGTAACTTCGGTGCAGTTTTTGAGAATGAATCTTTGGTCAAAACGTTTAATAATTTCCATACGTGTATCTTTATCAAACACAGGCAGATACAGCAACCCTTACCTTTTCATTAGACATGTGACACCCTTACCCGAAAGGGAGAAAAGGCACACTTTAGGATTAGCGTTTACGGAAGAGTCAGTTAATAGTCCCCTTTTGAGCACGTCATATAGCCTACAATTAAACTGATTAAATGAATAATATCTTTTCCGCAACTTAATATCAGATATACATTCTTCCATCGTGGAGCTGACGTCAAACCCGGGGAGATCCTTGCACAGTGTCGAAATTGAAGAGGTCTCGATGGCCTCACTGCAGATGCGCCTGATCTCCTGAGGCTGGATCACCACCGGTACTTCGTCAACAGACACTGGTGCGACTTTCAACATTAAACCACCCATAGCCTGCACATTCCTGCCGGGTCCAACACCAAACCAACGAGGCACAACACGGGGGTTTGTAGGTGCAAACTGCCAGTTTGACCGGATCTTCTGAGGTTGGAACTCCCCACCAAACCCATCAGGCTCAACACTTGTAAATGCATCCTGCCAGTATGGTTGAGGGTAGGCCACCAACGGTTCCCGGCGAGCAGACACAAATAAATCACCCATAGCCTGCATATTCCTCCCGGGTCCATCACCAGGCCCACCAGGCACAACACGGGGTTTTATAACTACAGGCTGCCGTGCAGTTGGGACCACGGGTGTGTACACGTAATCGTCAAATTCCATGACGTCATCAGAGGACATCATAAGGTCCTCAATGTCCCGTCGCTTCCGTTTTCCACATGTCTGAGGAGTGATGATAGGTTTTACTGGCTTCATGTTCGTGAGGTCGGTGGGATCTGGTACAACTTTGGCGTAGTCGCATACGAATCTCTCTTCCCCCGTTTTATTGCAATAGCAGAAGTCTTGAAGGGTTCTTGCCAAAGGTAACGGGCACGGAAGCTTTCGACCGAAGTAGCTGTCTTCAACTGTAACTCTTGATGCGAAAAAAAAAGAAAATAGGGTTTATATGAAAATTAACACATGTAGTTATATCATTTTAAATCATGGCATATTGAATATTTGATGCTTTACATTTAATCTATCTACACATTTTGGATATGAGCTTTTTTATCGTGAAAAATTACACAACGTTTGATGTCCACAACTTACTTGTTGTTTGAAATGAAATTTGGAAGAGATCCAACGATGTCATTATGACTCTGGTCGTCATAATTACCGCACAATCCAGCCATGTGGTTCTTGTAACCACTGGGAACGCTGACTGTTATATCTAGACCCCAATATCTGTTTACGCGGGCCTCCACCCAGGCGCCAGACGCAAACTTCAACTAAAACAGACATATATATATATATATATATATATATATATATATATATATATATATATGCGGTTATACGTGTATTGTTATACGTGTTATTAAAGCATATTTAATCATATTTTTAAGCCACGCACATATCAGTATCTATCTATCTATCTATCTATCTATCTATTTATACACACACTACATACATTTGTATTAAAATTACAAATAAAAATGAAATATGCGTGTGTGCGTGTCCCCACTTCAAAAAGCAATGATATATATATATATATATATATATATATATATATATATATATATATATATGCCTATAACACCAGGATAACATATAACATAACACCAGGATTTGACGATGGTTACTGGAAGAGGCTAAACACGCACTGCGTATCTTAGATTGTGAATTAACGTACTATATATTTTTTGCCCGTGGAATCAGAATGGATGTACGTCCCGTTTGGTAACGTCCCCGTTATAGCAGTAGTCCTGTAATACACCCTCGGTTGTAGTTTTGCTTTTCGTAGTTGGTCGACGTTACCATGGCAAAGGTCTACTATTAAGATGTGGGGACCTTCCCTCGCCGCTACACCACAGTTGCATGCCACACCAGAGCTCGAGCAAGACCAATGCCGTTCGCGAACCTTTAACAGGAAATAAATAAGAAATAAAAAAAAATCTGTATAAACTCTGGATTTTGCATATTAATTGACGCAAAAATATTACATTGAAACCCTTCTTTTTCGATCATCACCTTACAATTGAATAAACAACTTGTCAATGTAGCTATACATCGAAAAGCTTTAAACAGAATTGTTACCTCAAATTCTCCATATTTTGATCTAGTCAAGACAAATTCTCCAAACTCGCGCAGGATATCAAATCGTCTATAAAATTAAGAAGACACACAAGATTCAATGATAATTTATTTCCATTAATCTTAAATAAAAGGGGGGAGGGGCAGACTCCTGCACCTTCTTGTAAAATCGCCATTGAACTCAAATACTCATTTGTCTGAAATAAAACGTTTAAACATGACGACGCCAATAAGAATGAGTAACACAGCTTGAAAGCTTGTGTAAGTGTTATATTAAACCTATACTAAAGAAACAATTACAGAAGGGTGACAGAAGTATTGCACCACCCGTGCAGATAGTGCGGTATGTGACGGGGGCGGGGGACAACCGTTCGTGAAGAGTGATTCACGGTTTATTGCTCATATAACCAGTGATGAATTTTCATCCATGTGCACTATAAATGGTCTCAAGTTGCTACCAAGGTGAAGGTACGGGGCCTCACAAATAAACAAAGAAAAGAAATTGATTCTCTGCGGGAGTAGGGTTCAGGTGTCCCCCAGATAGCCGCCAGACATTGTATTTGGCCAGAGTGTATACGGGTTTGCACAAGGATGTAAGACACTGGTGAAGGTCATACGTTACCACAAAGTAGCTAGCCCGAAGAACACTAGTGCCAGAGACAACAGGCGCAGTGGCGGATTTTGGGGGGGGGGGGGGGGGGGAGGCCCTCACCTCTCCCTTCGATTTTTGAAAATAATCACAATAATGGTCTCCTCTTGAAATTAGTATTTTGACTAGCTGAATCACAGTTTTAACTGTACTAAATGGTAGCTTTGCTGTGCTTGCGCAATTTACAGGTTGAGGTTAAAAAAAGAAACTTTCCAAAGAAGACTCCATGTTTCTGAAATTAACACAAGCGTTCCCTGGCGGAAACCACTTAACACCTTGGTAAACAGATGAAGAAGAGTGAGGTGGGCTGCAAGAACCATTGCATGGGCCGTAGGTCAGAACTGGCGCCATTTTGTATTTTCTGATGAGACCATATTCAGTGATAACAACATGGGTGGACGAGTGAGAGTATGGAGAACGTCGTCAACTTCTTATCCAAAGAACATGCATTTCTTTGCCAGACAGGGCACTTACATAATAGTTTGGGGGTGCATTGGTTTCTTCGTAATTCGCTAACTGGGGTTGATCCTAGAAACCTGAACCACAGAGTGGACTGGTCCGCCCAATCACCAGACGCAAACCCCATTGAAAAACCGTGAAATGAGATTGGAAATAAAGTGCCAAAGGATCGTCCCTTTACCAAACTGATCTCACCCAAAGTGTCTTTACAGTTTTGACCAACATAGCTCTCAGGAGATTTACTGAATCCTTATCAGTCTATGCCTAGAAGGATGGTCAGGGTGGCCGTGTCCTACAAAACAGTAATACTGACATAATAATATGCGTATGTAAGGGCAAAGCACTAACTAGTATGTATACCTGTAGTAAAGATACTAACTTGACATAGCCAGTTTTCAATAATATACAAATTGAGAAACGTAACAAATCCAATTGTTGTTCACCTTAAAACAAAATGGTGCAATACTTTTGTCACCACTCTGTTAAAAAATAAATTACATAAAAAGACTTGTATAAATTTTATAAAAAGGCTTTTTTTAAATTACATAAAAAGCGCCACTTAATTCTGCACATGCAACTTCACTTTCATTTAATTGAATAATAAACCCCAATCAAATTTGATTTATTACCCGACTTGACTTAACATCCTCACCACAAGATTCGTGAACATTTAACAAGAGTATATTGTCGTTAGCTAACATCATTCGCATCCAATTTACTATTTAAATGATTTTATTAGGAAGAGCAGGCATTTTGATAAACATGTCTCGTATGGTTTATCACATGTATGTAATAAATTTTCCCTTACTCACCTGCCATCAAATGTTTTCAGATGGGGATCCGTGACACTAGTGCAAATTCCCGTGTTCACATCTACTGTGGTTACCTAGACATTAATGTATTTTAACATCTAATTAGAAACTAAACGCATTGACTTGTTGTTGTAAATAGTAGGCCTAACGTTGTCTTTTCTTTCAAGAAGCAGAATGCAGACGTAACTTCATTTTGACTTTCCCGCACTACTAAACTCTACAATTTTTAAAATGGTGAGATGCCAATGCTTTTTTTCTAAAAACTATTTTAGTGTTCTTTTTTTTTTTGGGGGGGGGGGGGGGCACAAAATCGTTTAGATAACTTATAATGTTTCGTCTACGTGTGATATTCCATGTTGCAGAGAGATTTTTATCAGTAGCGGTGACCGCAGGGTTGCATAAATTCAGGAAATTTGTGAAATCCTGGATCAGCGCCTTTCCACAAACTTTTCTTGATCTTTCCCTAAGCTGCCCAGCGACAATTATGACAGAAGTATTACATTTACTGCTAGTACTGAGATTAACTTAATCAGACAACCTTAACCGAGAATGGTCGACTTATCTGCAGTCACAAAGTTTGGCTAGGCGTAAGTTAGCTACGTTTGACTAGTGAAGTAAGTAATTTTGACTAACACCTGTCTCTCTGGCCTCTGCAAGTAGCGACGTATAGGGTGTTGTGTTATAGTACATATCATGTGGTGCACATTTCATTACCAAAAATGTTTTGACATTTAGAGAAGTCAGATGTACGTTTTCTATGATAAAAAAGCAACACTTTTGTGTATAAATGTATAAAATATAATGTAAAATCAATTTACCTGGAATGCTGGAAGAACATAATTTTCCCAAATGCTCTGTCCCAGCGCCGCTGGTATCGGTGTAAAATACAACAGTTTGGGGATGTCTGGTCGACCAGATGGCCGTGCATTGTCCATCACGGCTTGTATTTTGACAGGTTTGCTTCCAAACAATTTATGTGCCGTCTGATTCCAGTCTCGTTGAAGGAATATCGTCTCGCATGTAGATGTTACGACGGTCTTGGCCACACTGGGACTTTCAGTGCGCAGGATTACAGAAAGTTGGCTCTCCAAACCAGGTATAAACATAATTTTGTGTGTCTCCATGGTGACAGGAATTGTTGAATATAACTGGATTTCTGTGGGTTCCGGTGCGTCTTTCCGCACGACTATCTGGTTGATGTCATTGCCGTTAATATCTGCTATCTGGAGACGATGAAATGCATGATGAAAGACATAATGTGCCTATTTTTGCAACTGCATAAAATAACTTTTATTTCTGCAGTTCAGGTTTTTAAGGATGGTATTTCTAAATTGTTTCGAATTTATGAAATAAGACACATAGAAGACTTATTCATATAGTATTATAATTTTAACTGATTTTTCAATTAACTGTAAAAGTAAATCTACAATATACGGAAACAAACCTTTATTCCAGCAAAGTAGTTATTTCTGCTGATGACAGGTCTGCTTGTAATGGCGTGGCCGCTCCAATAAGGACGAACCTGACATCTTATCTGTTAAAAACAATTACTACACAAGATTTATAGATGTTTACAGAGGTTCACTCCAGAGTAACAAAAATGTCTTGCCAAAATGTCTCATACGATATGTCTATAGATAGCTATCGATAGCATACGTTGATTATGAAAAAGCCTTCGACTCAGTAGAAACCCAGTATATACTGGCATCCCTGCAAGATCTAGGGATCGAAGATGGATACGTAGACGTCCTCAGAGACATATACACTGATAGCTCTGTAACAGTCAAACTACACAAGACCACCAATAAGATCAGGATCAAGAAAGGTGTACGCCAAGTAGATACAATCTCTCCTAAACTGTTCACAGCAGCATTGGAACGTATATTCAGGGATCTAGACTGGCAGGACAAGGGCATAAACATAGACGGTACCAGGCTCAATCACCTTAGGTTTGCAGACGACATCATAATAGTAGCAGATGATGCAAAAGACCTCGAAGAAATGCTACAGGCGTTAGCAGATGAAAGCGCAAAAAGTGGGCTAAAGATGAACACCAGCAAGACAAAGGTGATGTTTGGA